TGGGAAGCGAGCATAATGCGTAGTCAAATCATGGAAGATTAGTAGAAATGCCATTAGGGTGTAGGTGACCCTTCCCTTCTAGTATATTACCCACAATTATATATAAATAAATTGGTATACGTATAATAATAATGTATAAGTAATTATATATAGGGCCCCTATCCCGAGTGCATGTCACCATGTGCGAGTATGTATGTATATGTATGTATCACCAATTTAATTAGACCTTTTTAAATATTGAAGAAAAAATATATCATTAAATAGTTAATTAGAAGGAAAAAATGAAGAAAAAATATGAAATAATAAAATTAATTAATAATAAAAGCAAATGAATAAAATAAATGATGAGCTTAATTAATAAAGAAAAAACAAAACAGCAAGCACGATAAAAAGAAAAATAAAAAAGAGCTTTATTGTTTTTAATTAGTTTTTATAATTAAAAATATCACAATCCAAAACAAATAAAGTGTTTTTACCAAAGGTCAAGAGTCAAATTTGAGAGATTAATGCATTTTGCTAAAGCTGAACCTAAGCCTGATGCACCCATTGCACCAATTTAATTTCCACTTTTTAAATATTGAAGAAAAAATATATGATTAAATAGTTAATTAGAAGGAAAAAATGAAGAAAAAATATGAAATAATAAAATTAATTAATAATAAAAGCTAATGAATAAAATAAATGATGAGCTTAATTAACAAAGAAAAAACAAAACAGCAAGCATGATAAAAAGAAGAAAAAAAAGAGCTTTATTGTTTTTAATTAGTTTTTATAATTAAAATTTTAAATTAACTTTTATAATTAAAAATATTACAATCCAAATCAAATAAACTGCTTTTATTAAGTGTAAATTTTAATAGCAAAAAATGAAGAAAAAGTATCAAATAATAAAAAATGAATAATAAATAATTAATTAAAAATTTAAATGAAAATTAAGTTAAAATAGCTAAAAAATTTTTATTTTAATAAAAATCATTAAATAATAATGATAATTTCTATAATAAAAATTATTTATTTAAATAAATTGAAAATTATATATACAAAAAATATTAATAATAAAAAAAATAATATCTTTTAATTAAATATACTTGAGATCAATATGTAGAATCTAATGAGGTAAATGTGAAGAGCTTAAAAACTTTTTTTATAAATTAAAATAAATTTAAAGGATATTAATATAAAAATTAATAATTACTTCTTCTAATTAGTTATATTCTATAATCTATTATATCATTTATTTATTTTTCAAAAATATTAAATAGCAATTTATTAAATTTGATTAATTTATTAATTAATTATAATATCACAGAAAAAATAATTTAACATTCATTATTTAAACTTAATATTTGTATTTAAAATAACACTTAAAAATATATATAGTAGGAATTAGAGATGGTCAGTTATTTATTTAGCCCTATTTGAAAAAATTCTAGTATTTAATGTTTTGAAGAAAAATTTTTAAAAAAGACTAAAATTAAAAATTTAATAGAAAAATCATAAAGATTTATATGAATTAAAATTAAGAATATTTTTAATTAAATTCTATTATAAAATTATTATTTTTATATAAATTATATTGAAACACATCAACCATTCAAAAAAATAGTGATATCAAATCACTAAATTTTCGAATGACATTTAGCTATACCATTTATACATTAAGAAATTTAAGATACCTATATTAATATTTGATTAATTTACTTATAAATAGATATTTATTTTTCAAATTTATCAAACTTTTTCTGCATAGAAATTCATCTTCCTAAACATAACACATTTAGCCATAAAAGAATTAGATTTACTTTTTAAAGATTTGACTGATTTTATATCAAAAAGGATTATAAGAAGTAATCCTTAAGACCAAAGAAGAATCCAAATTTATGACATTGCAGTACTCATTTTTAATAAATCTAATGTTATAAAAATACTCAAAGTGATAGCAATTATTTCAAATAAAAGAGCAATCAAGAAATGACCACATCTACAACTTGTAATGTTTTTAGCACAAAAAAGCGCTGTTATTATTTTAACTAAGGAAGGAAGCAAAAAAGTAAATAACCAATACAAAATCATTCCTATTAAAAATTCAATAACCAAATAATCGTCTATTATTGTTGATAAGTTGTCTTTGTTGTACTATTTAATTAGAACTAAAAATTTAGAATAAATTAACTACAGAATCAAAATATTTATTATAACATGTCTTATTCTAAGCTTATTGCTAAAGTTTTAAAACGAATAATTACCTGCTTGAATTAATTAATAACCAGAATATTTTAATTTTGAAATTTTATCCTATCCATTATTTAATATAAGTAGATTATTTTAATATCCTTAGAGATTTTATAATGCATTTTAATAAACACCTTAGAGAATTAGCTAATTATTACAAATTTGTTGTTACTGTGTTTGTTATTGTTATTGTTGTTATTATTATTGATTATGTTAAATTCTTTATTATAATAATAAATCAGGTGATAAATTTATTGATTCTACTTATAAGCTAAACCTCGTTTACTATGGTTTTATCTACTAGCATTCTACTTTTTATTCATCTTAATTAATATCTTGAATATTTTTATTGTTATTAGATTAACTGAAATTATCTGGAACTGTTTAAATAGGAATGCCTGTGAGTAATTAGATTGGGCATATTTCAGTGTTAACTATACTTTAAGGATTAAATACCTTTTTGTTTATTACTTAATTAGAATTAATAAAGTTGTTTTAGTTTTTTTAGGAAAAATGTATCCAGCAATATTGCAAAATGGCTAAAAACAATAAATTAAGTATAGCTATGATAAGAGAGATTGTTTTTTCATTCAATTTAGCACCGAGTAGATGTTTGCAGTCATTTTGTGCTTGATGAGAACCTTAACTTTATGCGCATTTTAGACATCTTGATTAATTTGTATCAAACTAAATACACTAATCCGAAGGACAATCTGTTAATCCTTAATTTTATTTGCTTTCAATCTATTGCAAAAATCTTGAACGATCACTCTGTTCATTGGATATATTGTTTGCTAGACAAATACTCACAAAAAAAAATGAAGTTATTATCTAAATTAATTTAAATCTCATAAACAAGAAATATTTTTGCTTTTTGTTGTTTGTTCTTTAATTAGTTCTGTATATAATTTATACATTAATTTATTATAACAATTAAAATTGTATTATATATGGATAGATTGAGGTAATTAAGATATTGAATTTATTTTGTAAAAAACTAATTTATAAAATTTATAGTTATTATAATATCTTAAATTATTTAATTATTATTTTTCAGGTAAAGCAATTAGTTTATTATAATAAATAAAATTTTGTTATAGTATGAATAGATAGATTCTGGTAATAAAGTGATTAGATATATATATATATATATATTAATTACGACAATCACTAATTTACAAAATTTATTGTTATTATACTATCTTCAATTATTTAATTACTCTACATACAATATTTATTTTTAAGGTAAATCAATCAATCAATTTCAAGATTTATAAAAATCTTAGCTTACTATAAATAATTTATTTTTAAAATTGAATTTTTCTTGTAAGCTTGTGCTACAAAATTTGCAGTATAAAATTAGCAATTAATCAAAGAATTCGTCAAAGTACATTTAATATACTTATGAAGAGTATTAAAAAAATGAAAATTATAAAAATTATTTTTTTATTTAATTATTTTTGTATTAGAATTAAATTACAGAAATAGTTTATATAAAAATAACTCTCTCTCTTTATTAATAAATACTGATTGAATGATTATTCCAATAAATCTGATTGTTAAAGACATCATCTCTCATCAATACAAAAATATTTTATTAATTTAAAGTATTTTAATTTCATTTTTTTAAGAATACTATTAAAAATATTAAAATATAAAAACTAAGTAAGTCATTAATAAGATAAAAATTTACTTTTTAAATGTGTTTTTGTAGGAATAATTTTGGTTTTAAATAAAATAAATCAAAAATATGAATAAATTTTTAATTAATATAAGTTTTCATTATATATATTTATTTATTATCTTAATTGTGTTACTGTAATCCCCATATAATAATGTGACCCCAAAAATCCTATAATTTTTCTGCCTTAATTCGTGGGGTCTAATACTTTTAACAATACCCTGTAAATTTTCTTAATATTTGAGGAATTACAATATTTAAATTATTATTAAAAGTTAAACTTTGTTTTCTGAAAATATTGTTTTTGTTTACAAAATGAGTATAATAATTTTTTATTTTTCTCAAACTTTTAATTAGATTGATACTGAGAGAGATCATTTATTAAGTTGTTTAAAGCTTAGAAAAACAGAAAAAACAAGATAAGTTGATTTTTTGGTTAGTTTTGAGTATGTGAAAAATTTTTGTTTAGATAAGAAATAAATCAAAAAATGGATTTTAAAATTAAAAGTTACTTAAAAAAATTAAAAATTAGAATGAATTTAATAATATATAAAATAATAATATTAAAGCAATACTAACGAAATTGATATATGTATAGTTGCAAAATAAATATAGAAACAATTGTTTAATTAAGGGATTATTTTATTTAGTCTTTATATGACTTAATTTTTCTTTAGTGGCATTTTTATTTCAGAAATGTTCAAGACTATTGCTATAACTATGATTTAACGTAATTAACACAATTTTGGAGTTGATTTGTTTCTTGAGGACTGAGACATCCAATTAGTTTTTGGTAGAGATTGTTGTCTCTTTCCATACAGCTGGCCATAACTCCTTCGAAGTAAAGGATTTCATCAAATAATTCAAGAGGACTTGTGTAACTGAGAATAACTTTACTTTTGAATTCAACATTTTCTTCATAATCCTCATCATTTTCATCATCATCATCGTTAGCATTATCATTAGGATTATATTACATTTATTGTAATTGTTGATGGAATTATTGAACTTCAACTTCAGCTTGTTCTTCGTTATCTTCCTTTTCACCTTTCTCTCTGAGCTCCACTATTTCCATGCAGAGCTTGACAAGATATTGCATAAGTCCTTGCATAGATTGGAGGATTGTAGAAGGTAATTGATTCTCGTTTAACTTGAAAACAGAACTTATACCTACGAGCATTCTTTGCTTATCATAGTCAGCTTTAAAGTAGTTAAGTAAATCAAAGTATTCTCTAAAGAAACCACTAGTCCATCCATTGCTTTCCAATATTTATAGAGTGAGTAAAGGATTATAGTAGATACACAATGCAACAACTTCAATGTTAACAACTTTAAGAGGTTTGCACTAGGTATTACCCATTCTTTAGATAGATTAAGATACAATTTCAGGAAGAAGTTAGTCAATTGTATTTTCTTACATGTTTTCAACAAAGCCAATAAGTAAGCTTGTAGCCAACATTTAATCAACTTCGTTAAACTCACTAGAGTTAGAGTAAGTTATCTTAACCATTTCAAATAGCAATTAGATTAAGCTTTGGTTGAAAGGATCGCTTTGAGTTAAAATTACATCTCTTCCCTTTTAGAAATAGTTCTTCATAGGTCCAATCATACTATCCAAAGCTTCAACCCATTACTCTATTTATTTTTAAAAATTAAAATATTTTTTTAGTAAATATTTAAAATAAAAAGAATTCTGAAATGTTTTTTTGTTTTTCTTTATGTTGAAATTAAAAAATAAATGCTAAGAAATTATTTATTTTGGAAGTTTTTAAGATAAAAAATGAAATAAATTACTTCTGGAGTAACTTGTGTTTTAGGTGAGGATAGAGAAAAGTTAGATGTGATCATTTGAAGAAAGAGAGTTGATGTTAAGTTGAGGAGGGAATCCCAAAATTGCGTAACAAATAAAGGGATAGAAAATCCAAAGATTATTAGAAATGCAAGGAGACTTGAAAAGAAGAGTGTTGAGTAAACTGAATCCTTCTTCTAAGTAATGGAAATCTTTGTCAGTGAGGCAATCAATAATGAGTTTAAGTAAGAAATCGTTTTCCATTTTTGAATAAATTCCAACTTCTAAAGGTGACTCTAAAATTTAGTTGATAGCCTAAGTAATATTTAATATTAAGACTATTTAGCAAGATAAAAACATTTTAAAATAATAAAAATTACTTGAAGACAACCTGCAGCTGGGAGTTCACCGTCTTCACCTGCTTGATCTTCATCTAAATCCTTTTCTTTGTATCTATAAAAAGCTATGGATAAATGATTAGCTAAATCATAAGCGAAAGGAGTAATTTCATTAGTGAAGTTTTCTACGATGCATTCTAAAGCGCAAACTAAATTTTCATTATCTATTTATTGCATTAACTTGATATAAATTGAAAGCATATCAGACAAACCTGGACGGACTAAGTCTTTAACACCCTCTTAGTCAATGTAGTACTAGAGAGCAATAGAAGCCTTTACACGTACAACCAAATCACCGTCAATCATTCTTTAGCAAATACCCTAAATATTATTTATTAGTAAGTTAATTTTAAAATTGTTTAATATTTACAGCTATGATGGTGGATAAGTTTTAAGGATTTTTGAAGTCAAGGCCTCCATATTTACCAAGCAACCAGCAAGTACGAGCCTTAAGGATGTTAGCCTCAGAATTAAGTTCCTTAACGATGTAGCTTTAAATGATATTTTCTAATTGATCAGTAAGATTCTTCTCTTCATAGACCTTTTGTTGTTTTGCAAATAGTAAAATTAAGTTAAATCAGTATTAATTGCAAATTACAATTTATACTTGTTCTCTAATTACTCCCATAAGTTAGAAAAGACCCTCTTTCTGTGCAATTGTAACATTTTAATTGTTACGAGGATTCACTCCCTTGTCAAGACAATTCACAATCAAAGATAAAACATATTCCAAGTAAGATTCATTATTAGGATTTGTAATCTTGCAAGCTTCCTTGATCAACATGATTGAAGTATTCTTCATATTTTTTATGATTTATTTTAGTAAACATTTTTTAACTCTAATAAATTCATTCAATTATTTAAAATTAATTTTACCTTATTCACTAAAATAGAGTTATCTTCATCCTTGCGAATGTAATCTTCAGGATCTTGATTGTACAAGTTAAAATCTTCTGGAGTAGTTGAAAGCAAAGGAATGCAAATATCTAAAACAATCTTTTCAAGCACAGCTATTTATTAAAATTAAAAAATATTTTTTTGCTCAAAATAAATTAATTTAAATATTTATTTTTGATAAATTGATAATTCATGATGTTTAAAAGTTATTTAATCATTATTTCATTTGCAAAATTAATTTATTTATTAAGGTGTTTATATAAAAAATATTTATGTTGCTGGTTGTGATAAAAATGTTTGAATTTATTACGATGGAGAGCATTGAAGGTTTCATCATGGCCAAGGGAGTAGTAGATGAAAAGAATGCAGTTATTAATGACAATATCTGAAACGTATTAGCCTTTGTAATATTCATTAAAGAGAATTTCGAGCACAGATTCAAAGAATGGGACTGCATACTTTTACAAGAAAAGGCAAGAAATTTGTTGGATGACTCTGTCTTATGGATTCTTGAAGCAGTATTTATGGAAAATTCTTATTTTTATAATAATGTTAAGATTATTAATTTTTAGGGAAATAGATTATACTAAATAAATATATTAGATTAGTTAGGTATCTTGTTATAACACTTAAAAGAACAAACTAATTAATTACTTGATAAGGATTTTAAAGCACCACTTTCTGTTTTTCCAGTAAATGTTTTTGTCAGGGTTTTAGGATTAGTTGATGCTTTAAGGGATGTTGAATCCAATTAATATTTTGAAGATGACCATCCAGTTTTAGAATGTGCTTTATTCAGCCAAAATGATGGGGAATTGCATATCGATGGCCATGAAATAGATTTTAAGAATGCTTTTCAACAGAGGAGCAATTTATTCGCTGTAATTTTAAATCATTTAGCCTGCAAGGTTTTACAAAATAACTATAGACTTATTAATGATGTGATCCATGATTGCACGATTATCAATTTCAAATTCATATTTTTAATATAATTTTTCGAGAGCAAATAGACAGCCCTAAATTTCTTCCATGTTTTGGGAAGGAGCAAGTCTATTGATTACTGTTTCCAACAAATCTGGCCAAACAGCAGGATAGTCATAGTTAATGATTATGCTTAAAATCTTTTTGTAAACTTTACAGATTTATTGATCACTAATAGATCTAATTAAAGCATCTAAAATACTTTGTCTAAGTGTTGCCTTTTCTTTTGATTTATTAATTAATTAATTGTTTGTTAACATTATTTTTATGCGAATTTCAAAAAGTGCTACCTTATTCTAAAAGTTAATTATTGTTGTAGTTTTTGTTAGGAAGCCAGAAGTTTTCTACAGTATTCTTTAAATTAGCAATAGCTGAAAGACGAATGTTACTATCTTGTTGACTGTTACTGTCAGCAAGAATCATTAAAGATACACAGTAGTTTGGATTCAAGCAATTTTGTTGAATGAATTGCTATCCTTAATTAATCATTTGTTGATCATTAGAAAAAAATCCTTAAAATACTTAGATTAGAGTTTGTTGATCCACCATTTAATATTGTTTTACCTATTCAAATTTAAAGAGAATTATGAAAACTTAATGGGTTAGCCTTTTGAACTAATTTAATGATTAAGCATAATGAGAAAATAAGCGCTTTACCCTAGTTAATTGCTTTGTTTGTATGTTTGATTGTAAAAATGATATCTTCAATATAGTAAATTTTATCTTTTTTTATTAATTATTTTTTTTGAGTTTGAAAATTTGATAATTTAAGAATTGCTCAAATCTTTTCTTTTTCTTTTTCGAAATAGTTGTGTCAATATGAACATTATAAAAATAGCGCTTCTGATTTAACAAGCAAAACACTATTTATTATTCTATTAATATTGCAAATTAACATATAAGATCTTATTGATTCTGCAAATTCCTTGTTTTTCGCCTTAAGCGGGTAAAAAAAATTAAAAATTTAAAAATTTAAGATATTTACAAACTATTTGATTATTCATTCATTTTTGATGTTTGCGACCAAATATACGAAATATACGTTAATATTTTTTTTTCAATAAATAGAAACTTTCAATTAATGAAAAAATAAATAAAATCCCAAACAAATAATGCATAAGAAAGATATGAATAAATCTAAACGGTATATTTTTTATGGAATCTTAATAACTAAGATATTTATTTGTCATTATCTCATTAAGAAGGAAAATAAAACAAAAATGATATTTACATTTCTTCTTTTATATAAAATTAAATATTTACATTTTATTCAAAATATTAAGATATTTTTGATCGATCAACATTTCAGAAATTTCTATTAGATAGGCTTAGATTAAAATTCACCAGAATAAATTAAAAACAATTAATTATTTAAATAATTTTTATATTCGTTAAAACTCACTCTAATCTTGATTTATCTAAAAATTAGAAAAAAATATAGTTTTAATTTAAAATAAAAAAAACAAAAAAATTTTACAATAAAAAAATATTTTAAATAATTTTAAGATTTAAAACAAATCTAGATAAAAAAAATATTGTTTTTATAAATCATTTAATTAAAATTATTAAAAATATAAATTCATCAATTCATAATATATTATTATTATATTTAATTGAAAATAAGAAATCCATTCTTTGTAGTGTTTCATCAAAAATATTTGTTTTTTGTGATTCTAATCAATTAAAATAAGTAAAACGAAAAAATTTAGTTTATTTATCACACAAGATAGGAATGAAGGATTTGCCAATAAAGAAATCATAAAAAAATAAAGTAAGTCAAAAAAAGTAAATTCGCTGAAGAATTAATAAAAAAAAACAAATATTTTTCATAAAATATAAACTGAAAAAATGAAAAGCAATTGATGAATTTTCTGAAAAATAACTTTTTACTTTTTAATGAAATTGCTAAATTAGATTCATATTAAATTTTTAAAAAATGAATATGGAAGTTACTTCTTTTTAAAATTTCAATAGTTAATGATATAAAATTAATAATTGAACTTAGAAATGCAGAAAGTTATATTTTCAAAACGAAAAAATGGAAGGTTTTTTGCTTACTTGATTGTTTTGTGTGGTTATGCTTAAGTAAAAGCAAAAAAAGAAAGAATATGAACAATAGGATAGATATATAGTGAATATTATATATTTTTTAAATAGGGTATTAAATTGTTTAAATCTTCATTCTTGCTCGTACAATCCGTTTCCATGCCTTTTTTCGAAAAAGATAATCTTAGAAATTCTGATGAAATCATGTGAAAAGCTTACATTTATAAATCGGTGTTGGAGTTTATAGATTGCGAAGATTACTGTTATTACATTTGAGGCATCATCTGTGAACTACTTTACTATTAAGTAGTTTGCATACTACTGCTTTATTGTTGAAGTTGCAAATCTTTTGTTAGCTATTTAGTTTTAAAAGGAGGAATATTTTGTATATGTGAATTATAAATATGGTCAATATCATTTTCATTTTTCATTCTAATTCTATTTCTTTCCATTGTTTCTCTGCTTATATCTTAATCAGGATAAGCATCCATATATCTTTCTATAATTTCCTCATCTTCTAAATAAATTCCTGGTAACTAATTACCAAGAGTTAGCCAACCTGGCATAGTGTTGTGTGGTCTACCAAATAATTCTATTTTTTTCCCTCCAGGACACATTCTTTCTATTAAATTGTAAATCTCATCTGGTTTTCTACTTGTTTCTCTAACTTCTGAGACTATCACATCACAGTCGATTTTTCTATTTATCTTAGGATTACCTTTAATTCCTACAAGACAATGTTCTTTAGAGTGGTTCAGCCAGTGGCCTGTTCTTCCTGTTCTTATAATTCTTTGCAATTAATTTGTTTTTACCCAAATAATTTCTTCAACTCTTCTATATCCCCAATTAGTTAAGCACTCTCTACCAAGTTCCATAGCACGGCCAGTTACCCATAAAAAGATAACACCTTCCTCTTGAAGTAAATCAACTCTCATTGCTTTCATTTCTCTATCCTTTTATTATTTATAAAAATAAGTAAATAAAATTTCATTAATTTCTTCATTTAAAAGCTATTTCATTGTTAAAAGGAGTTTTGTAAAATCTAACTTTAAAACAAATAAAATGCAACTATTTTAATTAATATCTAATTCTATTGCGAATATCTTAAAAGAAAATGTAGCTTTCTGCTATATTTTCAAACTCATTAATGAACTTTCATATTATTAAATGAATATATCCCATCGAAAATTCTGAATAGATTTTAAAGCAATAACTTATATTAATTTATTTCTTACTTTCAATGTACCATAAGGAAGAGTCATATGAATATCCCAAGGAGGATCAGCCATTATACAGTTGAATTTACCCAAAATATTAAAATCTATTTGTCTTAGATCGCAGTTAATCCATTAAGGATTGAGTTTTTTTTCAATTCCATCTAGCAAAAGATTATCGTTATTCATGTTATTTATATCCACATCTAATTCATAATGAACGAATTTGCAGTAATCCATATGCCTGCAAGTATCTAAATAAGAACAGTTTCCTAAATTTTCATCTGTATGAGGACGAATTATCTTTCTGAAGTGCGCTTTGTTGCAAGGCACTGTGGAATTTCTTATTTATATACACTTATCTCTTGTACCACAATCACAGTAATCTATTCTTCTAGAGCCTTACTTTCTGAAAATAGCTAATGCAGATTCTTCTGCTGCTGAAATCTTATTCAATAAATTGCTTTTTTCTTTACTTTGTGTAATAACTTCCTTTTGAAGACCCGTTTCTTTCTTTAATAAATCTTCGATTTCCTTTTAATAAGTAAATAAATTGTCATACTTAGAGCGAACAAACTAACAAATAACATTTATATTAATCAATATAAATTTTTGTAAAAAATACTCTTTTTGATATTGCTTGTTTTGGTGGAGCTGTTGTTGAGCTGCTATTTGTCTTTGAAGAGGAAGGTTGAGGCTTTTTATCAAGGATAGGCATGAACTTTGGTCTATCTTTCGAAAATTCTCTTGATAGTTATTTAATTTTATCCTTGTTAATATCTACGATGAAATCAAACAATTTAGTTCCGACAGCACATGTTTCTAGCTTGATGGCTTTCTTGTCATTTAATTCTTGTAACAAAGGTATTAATTCTAATTTCTTAATAAATGAAGAAGAATCTTTAATATCACTGAAGGCCTCTATGAAATTCTCAAACAACTCAGCTGAGTGCATTGGGTAATCAAATAAATCACTCAAAAAATAATCTAATAAAATTGCGCGAAATTCATGCTAACTGGATGGTGGAAACTCAAGAAAATCATATTTTTATTTTTTTCCAGAAGGAATAATCATGCTAGGATTTAATAGCTGTAAAGGCTAAGATGGCTACATTCCCATCAAGCCAAAACTGTTCTAAAATTAATTCATCATTCCCATAGAATTCATTTAATTTTAAAGCATCTATTGCTATTATTGCTAAGATTACTACTGCTAATTTAACTACTACAATCCTTATTAAGAGGAATTTCTCTATGAATTTGCTTAAGAATTTTTCCCTGAACCAGATCCTCCATATTCGGAATTCTATCCTTGATTTGATGAAGAATTCTAATTATAACCCTATTGTGATGAGTTACGATTGCTATTTTTAGAGCTTGATCCTCCGCCGCCGTTGTTACTATTGTATTACCTGCTTTGACTGTCATCCTTCGAATAACTGCGGTCTTAATGAATGTCTCTTTTACTGCTTTAATAATTACTGCTATTGCTATTGTTATTGGCTCCACTGCTAGAATTACGAGCCTTGTGCTTTTTATTTGATATTTCCTAATCTTTTACAGAGCTTCCCATAATATTAATTAATATTAACTCTGTTTAGATAATTTTTTTCTTTAAATAATAAATCAATAAACTATAAATCTATCTTAGACGCTCTCTTAAAGCTTCTAAATATTTGATTCTATTAATTTAAGTATAAAATTTACAATTGCAGAAGCAAAACATATTCAAATCATCAAAATGGCTACTGCAAATCTTTAATAAAAAAATGCAATCATTTAAATAATTTTATTTATTTACACTAAAAAAATCTGTCTAAAAATTTATTTATTTATTTTTAACGAATTCTCTTTACTTATTAATTTATATTTCAAATTTTAGTGTACCTAGACTTATTTAAATTTAAGCAGTGAACCAACATATTCAATCATAATAAAAAGCTTCCACTGAATAAAAAAAATAAATATGATTGCTATCAATAATATTAAGCTTTTAACTACAAATAAATCAAAATTGACTTGTTTAATAAAAATAAAACTAAATAAAGAAATATTTATTTGTTTATTTAATGAATGAATGATTGTTTATTTTAATAATTCTATCAGACTTAATAAATTAATTAACTTTCAAATTATTAAAAAGAGTAAGAAATTAATAGAATATTTACAAAGGCAACTAATTTATTTATAAACAAGAATGAGGAATTCGCCAATGGCAAACGATTTAGAATTTTATACAAAAAGATTGAGGACAGAAGCTGCTAGACAGCAAAGCGATTCCTATTAGGCTTTTGTGCCTGTTTAGGTATTTGAAGAAATCGTTATACAAATAAGTAGAAGACTAGATAGCTTTGAGCAGAGATTGTATCAACTTGAGAATAGTAACATGTACAATGACGACATCCTTAAACTTATCAGAGAGGAATATAAATAATTCAGTGGCATCTATAAAACAAGTGTTTCAGATTTGAAATCAGACATCGAAATTCATAGCAAATACATCAAACAGCTAGAAAAGGCTCTTAATGATAATACTACTTTCTTGAACGATTTATCCAGCACCATAGCTACTAAAGAAGAGTTGAATAAAACTAATAGAGTAACCAACGACCAAATAGATGCTCTAAATAATGAGCTATAAAATTTCATCAACAGTGCCAACAAAAACAACCAATTCATGGTATTGAAGACCAAAGAAATGGAATTGCAGTTCGAAAATTTAAAAATAAATAATATTAACTCACAAACAAATTCTTATGATCTAAAAGAAAACTATATTGCCAGCAATCAAACAATGCAGAAATATGTAAATGAGCTGAGAGAAGAACAAACAATTATAGTATAGAAAATTTAAAAATCTGTTGAGAGAGAAATGGAATGGATTAAATCGAATTTGGTTAAAGTGATAGATTTAGTGATTCAGTAAAAAGAAATTTGATAGATAGCTAAAATCAATACAAAAAGCAGATAAATATTAATTTAATTATTGCAAATTATTTTGAATATATCAAAATACAATTTATTTATGTTTTATAAATTTTATTTGTAAAATATCTACTGATTGATTAATTGATTAACAAATTAAAAAAAAAGAATCTAAATTGATGAATTTTTACTTTTTTAATCTATTTTAGTTTAACTCAATATTTTAATTAAAATAAATAATTTTGCATTAATATTTCATAATTTTACTAAAAAAACTTTTTAATTTATTTTCTAATTAGCTTTTATAGGACTAATACACGTTTTAGTAACTACTTTTTCAGAATTACACTTAAAACAATTTAAAAAATATTTAAAGAAAGTTTTTAAAATTATTATTTATTTTATTTTGTTCTAATGTTAAAAGTAAATTTACTTAATTATCTTACATTTCAGTTATCTTTATTACTTATATTTGCATCTTTTCTAGATATTTAAATTAAGATTTTTATTATTTTATTTTAAAACTATCAGAAATAAAATATTCAATTTTATTAAATTTTATTTCAACTTAATATTTCAATTTTCTTTCCTAATTTTATTTTATCAACAGAGAGTCAAATTGTGTCTCTTCTAATTAAAAAAACGAGGGTAGCTAATTTATCAATTTTAACCTAAAATTTTTCTAAAGCCCATAATGTTGAAAAATATTTAAAAAAGGTTTTTTAGAATTGATAAATACCCTCTGATTTTTGAAGTTGCAATAAAGTTTTAGCTTATGGAAATAAGAATTTAGAATAAAATTAGTAAGAGGAGCAAAGTTTGAGGCGCAAAAACTATAAAAATGCAAAAGAAGATGAGCATGAAAAATATGAGTGAATGAAAGAAAAAAGAATGCAGATAATACAAAAAGTGGTTTGAGTAATATTAATCACACAACTAAAGAAAGAAAGATATCTTTTGGATGAGGTCAATAAGTGATTTAAGTTGCTTAAGATGACTTTGAAAGGTAGCGATAATAATAATAATTATTATTGCAAAAATATAATATAAGAAAATTAGAAAAGAAAGAAATTTATATATAATCCCACAAAAATAATATAAACATTAATATATATACTTAATATACAATCATAGAATCAATACGAGTGATACAAAAAAAACTCATAAGTAAAAAATTCGAGTGAAGAGAAAAAAGGAGGTCATCGCAAGATGGGTAAAAGAAGCTGCGAAAAGGGAGAAAGGGGGAAAAAATGCTAGAAGTAAAGTAATTTAAGTAATAATGTGAATGGAGTTTCTAAATTGATAACAAAGAGCCCATAACCATAAAATTAATCTCATCATTCTTACAGGACAAGATTATAAATTATGTAAAATGAGAAGTAAGGAATGAACTTAATGAATACGGAACTGACTGTAACTACTGCCTGTACAGTCACACTTTCAAATTATAATATGAATAACAGCAAAGGTTCTTACTTTGATTAAGTAACATCTTCATTTTGACAAATTATTTTTACACTTTAAGTGAGTTTATTTGTTTGTTCTGCTTTCAAATTTAAAGCCGCGTTTTTTGCTTTTAACTTTTTTAGAAATTACTTTTTTTGGGTAGCTACTTGCTCATTCGTCAGAAATATAAATATTGAAAAAATCAATAAATAAATAAATATACTATAATACTGCAATCATTTCATACCATATTCAAAGAACAAATAAATTATCCTAGATATTTTTGTTAGTAGAATGAGAGAGAATATCAAGCTAAAACGGATGAATCGTAGTATCAATTAGATGGGTGCAAGCGATTAGAATATAAAAATAGTTAGAATAAAAATAAAATTATGAAATATCTTTTTTATCATGTGATCAATAAACAACCTAATAAATCACCCCAATTAATCAATAAGTCAATTTTTTAGTTGATTTAATTATTGAAAAGAAATAGAAAAATGTAATAAAATTAACTAAGTCCAAAGAGTATTGAGCGAATAAACTTTAATTAAAATACGATCTAATCAATTTTTTTTTTTCGCTCAAAATTTTAATTTATTTGTTGCTCACCAATTGAAAAATAAATCAACTTATTTTCTTACTCAACAAAAAAACTCAATACTATTCTGACGATTAATTTATTATTTTTACAAAAACTTTCTACGTTACTTTTTTCTTTCTTTCTTTCTTTTTTTTCACCTAATCTGAATTTCCAAAATTTTCAGTGAAAACGAATGAATAAATGAATGACTGATCAAATAAATTATTAATTAATTTTCATTACACAAAAATTTAACAAATTTATAAATTAATATAATAAACATAGAGTTCGACTACTATAAACTGTGACTTTAGTACCACATTTGCTAATTCTACTTAGTAGACTTAATACAATAACACAAACTGTGCCATAATGGAAGATACTATCAATCCAGATTATTTTGAGCAATTTTTTAAAGTTGGAAACAATAACTAAAATAACCAGAGACCTAGAAGGTTAAAAATTTAAAAACTTTAATTCTAGAACAATGAAGATACACAAAAATTGCAGGACAAATTTAAGAATCCTCAGCTTTAACAAAAAAAAATAACAAAGAAGTAGCTCTAAAAATTCCAACCTCAAGATTTTCTTTCTGAATTAGAAGACATTTTTAAAAATTTAAATGAATCCATAAAGACTTACAATTATAAGATTCCTTCCAATCCAAATTACTAAAAAAAGGCTTCTGCCACCTAAATTTTCCATCCTATCACTTTCAAAAAGAGAATACTTCTCATAGACAACATTATAAAACTTGGAGTGTATTTCAATTACCAAAGACAGATTGTGCAGTAAGCAATCGCTCTTTTCGACACTCTCTTCCTCCAGCCTAATAACCAAATAAAGGAAAAAAACCTTTAACTGTATGCGATTACCTCCCTATTCATTTCAGCTAAGAAGGAAGTAAGCTTTTAATTTAATTTATCAGCTAAATATCTTAAGCTACCAATATACATACATAAATAACATGCAATTTAAATTTATGAGACACTTTAATTAAATTAATTTTCCTTAAATGTTAGGATTCTAATAAGTAAACGCTAGACAAATACGTAGAATTCACAAATTAGTACACAAATTAAGATTTTATCAACTGCGAGATGAGTATATTAAATGTATTTATTTATTCTTCCTTTCTTAGACACTTTTCATTTCTATCAAAAATTGAATTAAATTTATTTCTTTAATTTAGATTTTTAATTAATTTAATTTTCTAAAAAAAGCTCCTCAAGTGGTAAATCAGTCCTTTAAGTTTAGAAACAGTCAATGGAGTTATCATTGATTTGCTAGAAGGCAAATTTTTCGGATGTGGCTACATGAAGTAAAATTTCGCCTTCTAATTCCGTCTAAATGTGCTCGTAGATTTGATTAACTTGAAGTAGAACTTAACAAATTTCTAATACTGTATTAAAAACATTTCTCTAGCACTAATCTTCGTCAGTCTTACTATTGCTCAAGGTTGTTTTTCAAGCCTCGACTAAGCATAGATTGACTTGACAGAAAATATATTCCATCTCTGTAATTAAACCACTTCTTCTTGCAACAGTACCACTCTAGCTAAAATAAATGATATCTTTGCCCAATTCATGCGTAAATACTTCTACCTTACTTCTATCAGCGATATTGCTTTAGAAATTTAGTATGTTGCTAAGTTCCTAGACTTTCTCTCAGATCCAATTGTAAAAATTAAATTTAAATAAATTACAAAATATATTATTTAGTTAAAATATTAAAAAAATTAATAAATTAGCCATAAATTTAATCTACTTCAGTATTTTAATTTAATGAGAAATTTTAATCATTCGATAAATGAACGAGTAAAATAGGTTGAAAATAATTAATCTAGAAGCTAAAAATAATTAATTAAATAGCATAGAAGAAGATATAGGATAGATTTAAAAAAATGAAAACTTAAGATTCAAAAATTAAAATAAAACTAGAAAAATTATTTTTAAATAGATTAAATTGATTTGAATTTAAAATTATTAATTTGTGAAATTTATCTAAATCAAAATCTTGTCTAAGAAGAAAAATAAATAATAAAAAATTAGATTTTAGAAAAAAAAATAAGAAAAAATTTGATTTTATAAAACAAACTGAAAAAATGGAAATATAATTTTTAAAAAGTAAGAAAAAATCTATTTTATTCAATCTGAGTTGTAATAAAATATTAAAATGAATTAATAATAAAAAATTGATATTAAAAGTAATTTAAAAAATTAGAAAATAAAAATGGCAAATTTTATTTCAAAATTATTTTTTAGCTTTATTGATAATGATAAAAATTAATATTAAACATTTTTATTATTTAAAAAAGATTTATTAAGTCCCTAAAAAGATCCATATTTAAGCACACTTCCCAAACGCAGTGGAGTTTATTTAAACTTCAAAGTTCTTGTGAACCACTTATTTAAACAAACAAACAAAAATAAACAAACATTAATCGACCAATCATCATCTATCTAATAATCTATCTATCTATCAATCTACCTACCTACCCATAAAAAAATAAAAAACAAAATAATTATCAGCATTTTAATAAATAATAAATATTTCTTAGTTTAAAAAACAATTAGAGTTATTGCAAACATAATTGAGCTGAAAGTTAAACAAACACACACACACACATAAATAAATAATTAAATAAATAAATAAAATTAATAGATCATTTTTAATAAATAAAAAATATAACTTAATTATAATTTCTCCTTGAACGAAATGATTTTTCTTTACTTTCTTCAAACTTTGAAGTCTATTTCAACTTAAGTTGCAAACCAAATTGAACTAACTTATAAAATATTTGCTAATTATGACCTTAAATAAATAAATAAATATAAAAAATAAATAAATAGATCAAATAACAAGATATACATCATGATAAATTAATGAAAAAATAAAAATATAAGTTAACTAACTAACTGTCCATACTGTAATAAGAAAATGCTCTTATTTGTAAAAGCACATAAAACCCTAAAAATACCACCTAAACATAGGTAAATAAAATTAATTAAAATAAGCATTTATGCTTATATAATAAAAATGAGTAAAATCAATCAATACCTTTTCAATTAAAACCAACTAATAATTACATATGTATAAATGCATGTAAAACAAATTCTTATTGTCCTTTAACGCTTTTACTATTACCTACCTCAACTTTCACAAATAATTAGTTCATGCTATTAATTCCTATATGTTATTTAACTCTTCCTTGTCTATTTAAATAATTTTCAGTTATTTTACTTTTATTTATTTGTTTGTTTGTTATGTTTTTTTAGTTCATTTATCTGATTTCAAATTTCAACTTTTTGAGCCACGTTTTTTTTATGATTAAAATGATTAATTATAACTTTAATTAATATTATAAATTTTATTGAAACTTAAAGTGTTTATAATTAAATTGATATAAAATAGTAAAAAAATTTTTTTTTTTTAATATTTACACAAAATTTACTTAAATTTATTAAATAAAACTATTTTCTAAAAGCATTAAAATTTGATTTTTTTTAATGTTTTATAAATGAATGAAAGTATTATTTTTTTGTTTTTAAATTTTCAAAGATTTCAATTAATTTCAAAACAAACTTTGAACAATTATTATATAAATGCATGAAATTTTTAATATTTTATTTGATAATAACAAAGTGTGATTAGGTTAAGCTATTGATTTGCATTTTGAAATGAATTCAAATTCTAATTTTAATTAAATTTTTATAAAAATGGATTTTTATTCAAATCTTTTGAAAGTATTATTGACATCAATTTACTTAACTTTTTTATTTTTTAAATTTTCAAAAATGAATGAAAATTTGAATTTTATTTGATCAAAGATCTAATTTTCATAAAAAATATTTTGATTAAATATTTCTGCATTTTTTTCAAAAGATTTTAGATATTAATTCAGTAAATGGAATGAAAATATATGAAAAGAGTTACTCTTTAAAGAAATTAAACCAACAATATATAAATTTGATTGTATTAATTCACAGTATAGAAAGCTATTATTTGTTAAAAATACATAAAATTTTAGTAGAAGAATATTAATAGAATTAAAATAGAATAATAAATTTAATAAAATTTTCATTTACAATTTGAAATATTATAAAATAAAAAATAAATAAATGTAGATTTGTAAAATTAAAAAAAACAATTTATAAAGATCCAAAATTTTTCTAGTTATATCTTAGTTTTTATGTTTGAATTTGTGGAGATAATATTTAGAAGCGAAAATATGGAATAGATTGAATCAGTTTAAAATAAATAAATCTTTTCTATCTTTTTGAATGTTATTTTTGTTTTTTACTGATTTAAATAATTAAAATTTGCCATTCAAAATAACAAAATAATACTAATAAAATAACTTTTTATTTAAATTTCGTTTATGTTTATGAAAATAAGTCAAATTAATTACAATTTCAACGTTTGAAATCTAAAATATGATTGTAAAGTCTATCTAAGCCAGAAAATAAATAAATAATAAATGAATGTTTCAATTTCGTAAAAAAATTCTACTGAAATAAAATGGCTTTGTTTTTAATCACAAAAGTCGAATAATTATTTATATAAAGGAGTAATTGAAAAGTATATTTTAAGGTTAGTTAGTTAGTTAGTTATTTAAAGTAATAAATAATTTGATGGCAACTTTATGAATATATATAAATGTTATGAAATTAATAAATACTTTTAAAATTCATTAAAACCTTATAAATAGAAGGTATGTAGATAATTTATTTAAAGTAATTTATATTCGTTCAGCTTAATGTGAATGCACATACATGCTTTTATATTTAATTATTTCAGGAAGTGTGTGTGTGTGTGAGTGAGTGATCAATCAAATGTTTATTTAGTAACTCGTTTTTTTTGTTAAGATTTTTGGTTATTACAATAGTAATTATTATAAATAGAATGGTAAATGGTTAGGTATGTAGTTAGGTAATTGTATGTATGTATTTATGTATTTTTAGAGTGTGAGAATATGATTTGCTTTAATTATTGAAGAGATTTTTTTTATTTATATTTTTGATCTATTATATCTATTTAAGATATATGTGATGGAGTAAAAATTTATTTGTGGTGTTTTTAAATGAAGAAAGAAGAAGAAATTAGTATTTGTTTTGGGTAACTAAGAAGATTTATTTGGATTTATTTATTTATTATGAGATTATGGTTAATTTTTTATTAAGTTCTATATAAATATTTTTCTTTATTCTTAAATATTATTTAAATTTGTTTGTTTTTATTATGTCTTTTTTTTAATTTATTCAATCACATATTGTCCATGGAGTTCATTTGATCGTCAGACAGCACTATCTGTGTTGAATTTATTGATTTTATTTGAGGGTTAGAGACTTAAGAGTCATCAGAGTCCATTTTTTTTTCTTCCTTTACGAAACGACCTTTAACTCTTTAACGGGTCTTAGCGATTTTCTTTCTTACTTCATAGCGGAGTACATCCCATTTTCTAGTTAGCTTCTTAATCAAATACTTTTCAATTTTTTATCTACGAAGTTCTCTTCTCTTTTGCATTTCTTCTGGGGTTAGCTAAACACCAAATATTATGTTGGGCTAGTACATAATTTGGGATTATTGAGGTTAGTTTTAACTTGAGACTGAGGATTGCATTGGTGAAGGAACTTATTGTGTCTGAGAATTATTTTGCACGTTAACCTCAGAGCCTGTTTCCTTTCTCATTAAGTTTTAGAAGATATTCAATGAGGCTTCAAGTATGAGATTCTTTACATTAGATTATTGTTGTTATGGGGAGGAATTAGAGTTAGTTGAGTCGATTCCTAAGTCCTAAAGCATAGAATTTTATTTAGATTGCATAGAACGAATTGGCTTTGGAATAAAAACTTGTCCACTGATTTTACGTTCGAACTAGCTCTGAGGAAATAGTGAAAAGCTATTCAAATCGAAAAGACCCTTGAAGTCTTCAGCAGATTAAGATGCATCCGAGTTAGATCTACCCTTCTCAATCAAGTAGCTTTAGTTTGTCTATATCTAAGATTGATATTAATGTTACTATTGTTATTATTGTTGTTATGTTTGTTAGTTTTGAGTGAGTAGAGCCAGTAAGAGATTTAAATCTTTAAGATTGCTCTAGCCGTAATAAGATGTGTTAGAAGAAGGGAGATAGTCCTAAGACCCTACGCTGGAGTTGGAGAGAGCTCTGTCGCGGATCTCGGTGGAGGCAAGAGAGTCGGTGTCACTAACTGCGAGTTTGGTAGAATGCAATAAGAAGTTGTTCATGTCAAAAAAGCTCATTTTAGAAGGATTTCTTTATATTTATCTATATATGTTTTTTGAAGATTAAAGTAGAAATTTTCAATGGATTTTTATTTTTTTTGGTTTTTAATTATTTGTTTCCTCTTTTTAGAGGCAGTGAATTTTTAATTTTCTTTTTTTATAATTAATTATGATTTTAAAATGCGCAATCTATAAGGCTTTTTAAACTCTACAAGAAAAAGAAGAATCTTATTAGATTTTAAATTTTTAAATCATTACGCTATGCAAATCGATTAGCAATAAACAACTTATTTCTAACGGTCTTAAATCAATTAAATTGCCTAGTATTAATCATAGATTCTCTTTTTCCCCACTGTTAACTAGCTTTTTGGGTATTCTTGTACACAATATATCGTCAGATTTCTAATTTTTTTCCACAAAATTTAGAAAGCTGTTCAAAACAAATATATTGTCGATTACTATATTTTAACACGCACTTCCTTCACTGGTAAATAATAAGCAAGTAAAAAAAAATCAATGGAAGCCATTTAAATATTTTTTTCAACATATCACTAAAAAAAACTCTAACAAGAGCAAGATATCATGCCTTTGAATATTAAAATAGAAATACATCTTTCTGCTGTATTACCAACAAAAAATAAGCCACATAATTTGGTAGAATTCCTACATTTAAGTTTTCTGCTTCTACTAGAATAATTTCTTTTCTTTCTACTTTGTTAAAAGTATTTCAAAAATTATGGCTCTAAATTGCGATGATCTTATTGACATCTAAGTGAAATTCATTTTTTGAATCTTACTTTATAATTTTTATTTTCTAAAATAAAGTCTTAAACATACCCAAAATATATTTTAAATCTCATCAATCTATTTATATATATTGAATCTGTTAGATATTTTAAATCGCTTAGGAGAAAAAATTCACAAATTAATAATGCATTGCCCTCACATTTAGGACTCAGTATTTTATTTATTGATGAATTGATTTGAACAAACAAGATGCGTAATTAAATGAAGATCAAACAAAAGAATAAATAAACTAATTAATTAATAAAATTAGAGATAGTTTATTGATTGATTTTTCATTTAATTATTTAGCATTTCAAATATCTAGAATTCACTCTAAATTATTTGTTTCTTTGATTGTTTAATTTACCAATAATTTACTTTTTTACATTTAAATATTTGTTTTAAATATCTTTTTGCATCACAGATTTAAATAAAGAGATTTGAAATCTTTGCATAAGTTCGCAAAAATTTTTAAAAACTTTTAGCTTGTTTCAACATCATAAAAATACACATTAAAAATATAATAAACAATAGCATTTATTTATTCTTCATTCGAATCACCTAATCTTATCTTCTTAACAGAATAAATTTTTAAGCATAGCATCAAAGAAATTTCAATTTTAACAAATAAGTTTTATACTATAAATTTCTTGATAAAGTAAATTAGAATCCTCATGTAAAATACTCTAAAATTTATTAAAAAGAAAGAGTTTCTATTCAACAATTAAAATAGACTAGCATAAGGTATTAGGTCTAACTGTTTAATTTTAATCACTCTGAATAAAACGTTCACAAATGAAAATTTAAAATCAATTTATGCTTAGAAATTTTTAATTTTGCGAAGATATTTGATAGATATTTGTTAAAACATACTTTTAAATGATAAATCCATTCAAAATTTAACTCTTAAAAGGGATATCAAAAATTTGAACGAATATAGTACTTGATTGGTGATTGAAAGAGACAAAGACTGATCTCAATAAACTGATCGATTGATTAATATATTGTTTTACCTTGATGATTAAAAATAAATAGATAGATAGAAAGAAAGATCAATCGAATTATTGAAGGGTAATAAAGTAAGTCTATTTATTTATTTACATTAACTATTTTTTCTGCCCCCACAAATTTGATATCATAAATGTTTCTTGCACATATACGTTCAAATTAATTAAATAGCTTGATTGTATTTATTAATAACCATATATTAGTTAATCAATTCGAATTATCTGATTAATAAAACACACCTTTTCACTTCTCTTTCAACATTATTATTTAATACTTATCTGTTTAATTCAAATGAATATGCAACTCACCAAAACAAATTTTGCTTATTCATCATCATTTAACTAAGAGTTTTCATAGGATTGCTCAACAATAAAACTCATATAACTTATCCTCAATAAAAAGAAAAAAATTTTTTATACTTTGTTTTTTTTTTGCTTGTATTATTAAATAAATTAGTAGTTATTTAAGCAACTACCTGCGTTTTCATTCAAAATTTTTTATCTATTTTTTAGAAGAAAGAACAAATTTTTATTTCACACAAAAATCACGCTTCCGCAAACACAACACAAACAATCACAAACTCAAAAAAGAATAAAAATCAACATTTCTTTCTGTTATCAAATATATATAAAATGGGTAACACGAATAGCCAACTAAAAGTTTATTTAAAAGAATTTGATGACCTTAAAACCAACAGATTTGCTAGAATAATTCTCTAATCTTTGAAATCTTTCTCTTATGCTTACGCATTTAAAACAATAATTACAATACTCTCTAATTTAAAAAAGATAAAGAAGAACCCTCTTCTTTTCTTAAATATCCTTTTTGGGAAATAGTAGATTAACACTGGGTTATTCTTAGGCACTTACTGCTTTATTATGAAAATGTCAAACACTTTATTGAATGATATTTCAAATCACCGAAACATAAATTCTTTTTTAAGTGGTTTCTTTGGAGGCTTAATTAGTATTCTATTTTTAAACAAAAGCATAAGATCTATATTTGGACTCTATGTGGCCACAAGAAGCTTTGACATTATATATGAGGCTTATGTTAAAGATAAATGGTATAAAAACTTTAAATATGATAAAACTATCCTTATGTGCGCTTTCCTATTCTTTTTGGGATATGCGTTCTCTCATGAACCTGGAACTATGCCAAAATCAATGATTAACTTTTTTGTTGTTATGGCAAGAGAGCATGAAAATGATAAAATATTCCACTAGATTTGGGTGCATAAGACCAATAAAGAGTTAATGAAGAGAGGAATTGAGCCTTACGACCCTATTAAAATACTATATAGCAGTAAATGAAACATAATTAATACCATTTAAATTATTAATAAAATTAATGCTATTTAAAAATATTTCTTTTGAAGTAATTCTTTATAGCTTTTAATAACTTACTTAGCTTACTGGCTAAACAAATCTCCTACTTCTATAAATCCTAAATATTTACTAAATGTTAATCATATTTCATTTTACTTATCCATTTCTTTTAAAATTAATTTTTAATTTTTAACTTCCATCAACTAATCTATGATAAACACAAATAAAAAATTTTATAATTAAAATTCACTCTCTGTCACAAAAAAAATCCTATTTCAAACTGAAAAAGAAAAAAAATTAATATTTAACAAACATAATAATAATTTTTATTTACAAACAAATCAAATTTTTTTTATATTCTCTCTTAATTAAAACAACTAACAGAATTGTATTATTATAATCAAATTTAAAATATCTATTTAAATACCTTCCATTTATTTTTCATTTATACCTTATTTCTTCAATTTTATGGCTAAATATTTTATTAATAATATGAAAAAAATATTATTTTAAAAAATTTTTTTAATTTTGGGGTTAATATAATTTGGGGTGAATTAATGAGAACTTACAGTTTATTAAAATTTTTAATATTTGCATTTAATAATAAATAATATTTTTCAAAAAAATATTTTCAAGCTAACTAAATAAAAACCTTTTATAGCAATCATATAATATAGATATAAACTTAAAATACAAAAAAAAAAAAAATTAAATAAATATTATTATATTCTTATTAAAAAATTAAAAATTTTTGTTTTTAAAATTAATTATTAATAAAGTAAATAATATTTTAAATGTATTTAATATCTAAAATTTTTGAAAAATTAGTCTGATAATTATAGATAAAAGGATTAAAAACATATTAAAAGGAGAGAAAACTAAATCTTGGAAATATTATTATAAAAACTAAATGATTGTGGTAATGAAATTATATAAAAAGTAATTGAGTTTCAATAGAAAGAAATAATAAAATGTAGGCTTTAATTTTGATACAGTAATAACATTCATTATCTTTTAATTTATTCAAAATTATTATATTAAAATTTTTTATTATTGAGTTAGTGATTAGTGCTAGAATATTAATTTTTTTAATATAAATCAAAATAAAAGTACTTGTGTTAGTAAAATTAAAAATAACAGTTTTATAAAATTCTAATAGGATTAAATAAATAATTAATATTAAAAAAACAAACAACATATTTAATCTCCTTTATATTTTATTTATTACTTATTATATTTTCTGTTGCATGGGTTAGTAGAAGTATACAATCTTTTTTTATTTGCTCTCAATTAAATAAAGAATATGTTTTTAGAAGTTTCAAATAACTTTAAATATTAATTAAGACCAAAATTCTGATTATATTATGGATCAAACACTCTGTATTGGTGGAAGGTCAGGCGAGATAAAGAGAGTTTGTCAATCAAGTTCATCTATTTTATTTTGATTAAAATAGTCTTAAACGATATGTTCCCTATGAGCTCCAGCATTATACTGCTAAAAAAATAATTTATTGTGAAAGTTGGTTTACTTTTTATTTACATAAAAAATGGTCTAAAATTAATATATAAGAATTGGAATTCAAAGTTTCCTTTATCTAAAGAAGCTCAATAGAAGGCATTTGAGGTATTTGCACGATAGATATGGACTTTTAAAGATAATTTTCATTTTTTAAAAAAATACTAAAAGAGATATCCTCTTTGGACTTTTGATTAAGAGTTAGCATTCATCTGAAAAAATCACTCAGGATCCCAATTTTTAGACAATCTCCTCACTTTGATAGCAAATTTCATACTATTTTATTTATTTATTAAATTCACTTATTTAAATTAATCAGTTGTTTTTAACATTTTATTTCAACATTTTTAAGAATGAATGAATGTATTCTGCTTATCTTGGATTAATTTGACTTAAAGATATGAAAAACTATCCAATATTTTCTTCTACGAATAGCCCAATAACATATTATTCTTCTTTTTCAATTTAGTTGCTTTGGTATCAATTAAATTCTATGAATTGTTATAAATAGTGACCATACTTTGTAAAAATTTGATAATTCTTCTGTAAATCTATCATCAATCATCCATCATCTCTTGTGTTTATTTTCTCTTTATTAAACTTTTTATCTTCCACTTTTCAACAAGATAATCTATTATCTGTCACAAATCCCTTTTCGAATTACAAAATGAGTAGTTGAATTTAAAACATAGAATTACTAAAAGTAAAGTGAAAGTTTAATCATTTGTTTTTATTATTTGATCAAAAAATAAAATTCGAAATAAATTTTGTTTAACTCATTCAGCCATTAAAAAAAAATAGTTTATTACAAAATAATGATATTTAATCCACAATAAAATAATAATAATTAAAAATTAATCACCTAAACACAATTCTATTTTACATACTGTAATTAAATCAAAATAGAACATAATATGTGTTAATTATCTAATAAATACTTTAAGAAATTATTATTAATATATTTGATGTGTTATTTATTGAAAAGTTTGCAAATTATAGTTTTTATTTGTTAATTTATTCAGATTAGCTAGCTATTATTATTTTTGATATCTTTGATGTTTTATTTATTTTTAATCATAAGAACCTAACAAAAAGCTCAAATCAAACTTTATTAATAAATTTATAGCTACATCTTTTTTGGGATGTTGATCCATACTTACTTTTATAGTAATTTTGTAGGAAAATCCAGCACTCTAGCTCATAGTCAAAATCTTTTGCAGTTTGTTCTAATTAAAATTATTCCCTATACTATTTTAAACCATTTATAATGTTTTCATTTATGTCTACTTTGTAAATCATCAAAAATGTATTAAATGGAGATTTTGCATGAGGCAGCTGCATACTATTGAGCAAATGGCTTTCCAAAGTAACTGTCGTAGGTAATGAATATCCTTCTATCGATTTACTCTCTAAATGAACTTACTTTAACAAGCCTAAAAATAGAAGTAATAGCTAAATCTAAGCATCTTATGTGGTTAAATTTAAAAATCCTTTTCTTAGCATTTAATTTTTGTAGAGATCATTATTGCGACCAAGAATTTCAACCAACTACTAACTTTAACCTATCACAGAAGGTCTTAATAAAAGATTATTTGGATTTATGGTAAGAATTTAATACATATATCTCTAATTTTCAGTTGCAATTTTACTCCTTTAATCTAAGATTTTCAATGCTTTTTCTACAGAAGCAAACTATTGCTATGCGAAAAAATTATCAATTTCTTCCAATGAGTAATATTCTTAGAGCTATTTCAAAATATTTTATGATGATTAAATTCTTTTTTAATAACCAGTAAACAAGTTAGAAGCAGCATGAGCTCTTTAATCAGGTATCTAAGCTAACATCTACAAAAGTTCTTAAAAAACCAACTTACCAGGTGTAGCAATATTGTGATATGTTAAAAGAGATCCATCAGAAAACGTTTCTACTTTAGAAATAGGTCTAAATTTATGCCATTCGTAATCCTCGCTAGATTAGTAATGATTATAATTTAGATTAAAAATATTTAGGTCAAGCATAATTTCTCCTAGCATAAACACCTTAGTATATATCTACATTTAACTCTATAGAATGTTGGCATAGTATGTCCTTGAAGGAACTAAATTCTTAAGCTTTTTTCCTGATTTTTACTTTCTCACTTTCTTTTTCAGCATCTCTTAAGAAGCTATTTTAATAGTGCTTTGAGATTTATTCTTTCCATATGCATGTTCTTATTGATCATTATCACTTTAAGAATTAGAATTCATAGTTGCTAGAAAATATAAATAGTAAGATTAGGTCGATTAATTATATTTGTTTATTTATTTATTGCTTTTTTTATTGGTTAAAAAATTTAGAAAATTTATTGTTTACTAAATTACTTTTTAATCAAAAAAATATATTTATTTTTTACTCCTTCTTATAAAAAATAAATATCTCCATATTATTTATAGAGCATAGAATTTGACATAAATATTACTCTTTGTTCAAGCTTTTGCAGATTAGATAAAAAAACGCTTACAAATTCAATAACATGAATAAAGCTTTAATTATCAAATTAATTTGGATAAATATTAAGAAGGAAATAGTAAGATATTATTATTTTTATTTATCTGTAATCAATTCTACTTGTTTTCAAAATCTGAATGAAATTTACATTAAATGAAGCAAATTAAATTGTAAATATCTTGTCAGAATGCCTTATAAAAAATAATCCAATTAAATTATTTCTTTTTATGACTTGTAAAGTTTGCAATTAATTATATTTTAAAATAATCTAAATTTATTTCAGATTCTTATTTTAAAATTGATATTAATTTTTTTTTATAGTAAATAATTTTATTATTAATTCAATATTTAAATAACATCTAATTAAATATTTGATATTTTTAAGAAAAAAGTTATAATTTTACTCTTTTACTATTATCAATATAGAACAAAAATACTTTAGAAATATATTTTTTTGAAAAAGGAAAAACTTTTTATGAATAACAAGTATCTTTAGTTCATAAAAACTTTTTTCTCTTTATATTCAAAAAAGAAAAATACATTGTCTTGATATCTAATTTTTATTATCTATAATTAAAAAAAAAGTAAATAATTGGTTTTTTCAGTTCCTCGACTAAGAAAAAAAATTTTTTTGCTCACCACTCCCTTAATAAATCAGGATATTATTTTTACTTCTTGAATTGAAATAATTTATATTGTTTTTTCATAATAAAGAAAATAGCAAGTTGTATCTACGTCTCTTTTTATGCAGTAAAGTTATTATTAAATAAAATAATATTCAATAATTGGCAATAACTTAAAATAGGTAAAATTACATACTATGTTACTCAAATGTAAAAAATAAAGAATAATTATCTTTAAAAATAAATAAAATTAATTTTAGTCTGATTGAATTTATTTAATCAAGAAAATATTGATGAAAATATTCTTTCTTTCTATATTTTTATTGATCAGTAAGGTAAAAGTCTTTAGCTCTTTGATCGAATAACTTATCTTTTTCTTTTTTTTTTGATTTTTCCTTGGTGTATATTTCATCGATAAATTTATATTTTTCAAAAACATAATAATTAATCCTAATATCTTTCATATTTTTAATCCAAAATTAAACTTAACTTGATTAATCTTTTATTTAAAGTGAAATAACAATATACTTAAATATTGTTTTTGGATATGTAAATATTCTTTTGATACTAAAATAATTTTTCCTACTTTTTAATAATTAATAAAATTATTAAAATAAATTTCTTTAAATTTATTTTGTAAATTCTGCTAAATAAACAATAATTTTTTTCGATCTAGCTACATGTTTTGAGCTTTAAATCTCTAAAATAAATAAATAAACGAAGTAGAAAATGAAAAAATCACAAATTAAATACAAATTCGATATTTTAAAATAATAAATTTCTTTAATAAATATGATTTATTTTTATCGGTTAATAATTAATTTGTTTTTTTTATTTTAGATTATTTAAAAATTTATTTTAGTTAATTCAAAGTTATTACAAAATTTTCAATTATAATTAATTGCTATCTTTTTTATGTAATAAATAATTTAAAAAATCTTTAATATATACAAAAAATATATGGCTTTTTAATAACATTTATGGTATAAAGAGTTTTCAAAAAATTTAATAAAATTGTTAATAGCTTTTCTTTTAAATTTAAAAAGTAATTTTAATATTTTTATAATTTTTAAAATCAACTGTAAAAGTTTAAATTATTTTCCATATTATAATTCCCATTTTTTACATTCTTTACTGTGACTTAGAATGGTTAGTAAATCATTTTTAATTATTTTAAAGGGTTTATAATATTAAGTTTTTCTCCATTAATTTAATTTAATTTTTGCTGTTAGTTCTGTTATAACAGTGATGTATTTTATTCTTAAAGACAGTTTTCATTATTATAATTAGAAATATTTAATGTTCTTTTAAATTATTTCTTTAACAAATGATTTCCCTTTTCACCATTTATTTAAATCCTTGAAAGAGTTGTAAGGTCAAGTGCTTTCGTTTTTTATAATTCTTCAGCTGGCTTTAATGGTAGTAAGATTTATTGAACGTTACTATAAATTTTAAGAGGTTTTTTAAGAGTATTTTCTTAAAATTATCTTTAATGAGTGCTATTTTGCTTCTAATTTAGATCATGCTCCTTCAAAATACCACTTCGATTAAATTATTACTATTAATCGTTTTGCTAATATTAACTTTCGTTCTATTATTATTTTATTTAATGAATTTACTATTAATTATCACTTTTTAAGTATTCAATTTCTTCTTGATTTTCTTAATGTGATTATTTGGTTTTTGATTACTTATCAACTTAGTTGCAATTAGAGAGAGAATTTACTGAAAAAGATTTCTATCTCTCAGTCATAATTTAGGTTTCTTGACAAGTTTATTGGTTAATATTTTAAATTTATTTTATTTAAGTGTTGTTTTTTTCTACATAGTTTATTAATGATGGATTATTTTTTACACTTTAATAGAAAAATGGGTTTTTTTAAAATGTTAATTTGTTGATTTAAAACTGCTTTTGTTGATGAAGAGTTGACTGGCTTGTTGCAGAAATAAGATCTCTATGAGAAAGTTATGATTATTGCATCGCAGACCTTCTTTCTGAGTCGGATGAGCTTTCCTTTTGAGAATTATAATTTTAAGAGTTTCTGATATTCTCCTTTTTTTGCATAGGAAGGTACATATTTTCTGTTTATATGTTTTTTGATTGTTTATTGGAGTAAAATGTGTTAAATGGCTGGTTGCTATTCGTAAATTTATTACTTTTTGAAGAATCTTTTGTGATAAAATTGTATTCTTACATCAAGGACTCTTAAGGTAAGCATAATTCTACTTCCTTTATTTGAATCGCTCTCTAATTATTAAATTTATCTAATAATGACATGGAATTTTCATTTTCTTAGGTTTTTAAGATATCAGTTTGATTCATTTAATCGTGAGTAACTTTGTTTGCCTAAATTTATGCTGTTGTTACAGTATATGCCCTTATCCTATTCACAGATGAAGAAATATTCATTTACCTTTTTTGCTATTAGCTAGATTGACAGTTTAGTCTTAACTTTGGAATAAAGAATCTCTACATATAACTTGATTGTAATTCATTTTTATAATGATTAGTACCATTAGAATTATTATTTGTATTATTGAAGCTATTTTAGGTAATATTATTATTGTTTATCAAGCTTTTCCTTCTTTATGGCTAAACAAATTTAAAATTCGTTTCGAAGCCACCGCTATTGGTAGCAGATTCAGATCCTGAATTTTAATTTATATTTTCAAAGCATAAAGCTTAAGTGCTAATTTTGATGTCTTTTTTAGCATGGTTCAGATAATAATGATGTTCTTCTCTTTGATTTTGCTAGGGCCTAAAAAAATTTTAATTAGTTGACCTATAATTCTCTTGCTAAACAGGATTTTTTTGAGAAACTCTTTCATTTCCAATCTCAGTTTTTAACTTTTTAAGAGTAGGAGATTCGTCTCTTAATGGTTCATTTACAAGAGTATAAGCTCTTTATCTTTCAATATATGGCTAACAATTTTAAGAATTTCTTATGGTATATTTTAAAAATTTCATGACTTTTTTTTCTGAAATCTCAGTGTTAGCATTCAGGGCATTTACCTATTTCTAATTCTATTTACCTTTTAATTACTTTTATGAATTTTACCTACTCTCAATACTTCTTAACATCTTTTATCTAGATGGATTATCTTCTCTATCTGATTTTTACTGATACTCTTAAAATTCTTAGTCTACTCTTTTTGTTTCAAAATATACGTTGTCCATATTCAAATCACTAAAATATTATTCTTGCTCTTCTTATAAGTAGGATTTGTAAGACATCATTTTTTTCTCATTAACGCTTTCGTTACTTGCTTTTGCTTGAGAGTTAACAACTTTGCCAGTTGGCATAGAATTAATTTGCTTCTTTTGTTCTTAGTCTATAAAACAATTTACTTTGTATCTTTGATTTTAAAATTATTTAAAAGATAAATCTCTGCCCTTCTTACTCATTTTTAGAAAAGAAAGTAAAAAAAAGTAATTAATTGAATATGTATTTGTTTATTTAATTATTTGGATATTCTTAATTATACGTTAATATCGAATTAATTTATTTAATATAGCAATAACTTATTTAATAGTTATAATAAAAATAACATATAATTCAACTAACTAAATAAATACAAACTTTAAGCATAAATTAATAGATTGATTGATTAATGTCTTTCTCAAAAAGAATATTAAATTTATTAAAAAATATATATCACATTTCTAACTAATTAATTAATCAATCAATCAAAAAAGATTACTAAATTCTTATGATATACAAATAAATGAAATATCATATTTCTAACTAATCAAATGCATTATTTTTTTATTAAATTTTTTTTTAAATCAATTTCATAAATAATGGTTTGAATTAATTTTAGCATAATCAAATACTTATAAAAAATGTAATATATTTAATTAATTATCTTTTTTCAAAAAGAGTTCTATTTCATTAAATAAAAAATATATCTATTAACTACTAATTCCATTTATTTATAAATAAATTAAATATAAAATCCTAGCTAATCGAATGCATCATTCATTTATTTAGCATGTTCTTTATTAAATTGCTTTTAAATAAATTTCTTAATGATTTAATTAATATTAGCATAATCAAATATTTAACAATAAATTATAAAAAATACAAAATATTTAATTAATTATTGAATTCAAAATATTTAATTTGTAAAATGAGATTTAAATATATCATAAGGCATAATCAAAAATTTTGATATAGAAATCACTAACTTTAAATTGTGTCATTTTTTTATTAATTTTTTAAAAAATTTTACAAAGTGAATTTCAATTTTTTTAAAGTAAATATTATTGAGTTAAGTAAAATAAGAATAAAATACAAAATATATAATAATATATGGTTGGTTGGTAGTTAGGTAGGTAGGCAGGTTGTATGGGTTCAAAATATTTACAATTTTTGTGTAGAGTTTTCCGATCTCTTAAAAAATATATCGGATTCTTCCGATTTTTCCGAACCCCCCCCTCCCCGTCTTTTTAATCACTGAATATAACATTAAAAATTTCAAATTATTTGATCGTTTTTGGAGAAACAGAGTGTTTGCTTAAGAGGATTTAATTTATTTAAGTAAATTTAGTTTTTTTATTTTTTATAAATAATTTATTTACTTATAAAAATATTATTGATATTTATAAATATAAAATCAATAATAAAATCTATCTATCTATTTATATTAAGGTTAATAACACTTTTTCAAAATATTAAATAATAAAATATATAATATTATTTAAATATTTTATATTTATTCATCCTTTTTACACCAGTTATTTATCATTATAAATCAAAGACAACTAATCTTTTTGATTTATAACACTTGCTTAATACTTTGAATTCTTACGATCCATTTATTAAGCTAAAACTTTTATAATAAATTTGTGTAAATTTTAAATAAATATCAAAATAGTATAAACTTTTAAATTAAAAATTATTCTTTAAATTAATAAATAAAATAATATTAGTGCAATAAAAAGATAAATAATTAAAATTAATAAAAGCTATCAAATAAATTCAATGAGCTTTTTTGTTTTATATTAAATTTAATAGTTTAAAATATCACAATCCAAAACAAATAAACTGTTTTTACTTTAGGGTAAGTGTCAAATTTGAGAGATTAATGCAATTTGCTAAACTAGAACCTAAGCCTGATGCACCCATTGTACCAATTTAATTTTCACTTTTTAAATATTGAACAAAAAATATATCATAAAATAGTTAATTAGAAGGAAAAAATGAAGAAAAAATATTAAATAATAAGATTAATTAATTAATAATTAAACAAAAGTTAAAAATAAAATGATGAACTTTATTAGTAAAAAAAAAACAAATAAAAGCAAGCACAATAATAAGAAAAAGAAAAAAAAATTTTATTGTTTTTAATTAGTTTTTATAATTAAAAATATCACAATCCAAAACAAATAAACTGTTTTTACCTAAGGTTAAGTGTCAAATTTGAGAGATTAATGCAATTTGTTAAACCAGAACCTAAGCCTGATGCCCCAATTGCACCAATTTAATTAGAACTTTTTAAATATTGAAGAAAAAATATATCATTAAATAGTTAATTAGAAGGAAAAAATGAATAAATAATATGAAATAATAAGATTAATTAATTAATAATAAAAGCAAAAGTTGAAAATAAAATGATGTGCTTAATTAGTTAGCAAAGAAAAAACAAAAAAAAGCAAGCACAATAATAAGAAAAAGAAAAAAGAGCTTTATTGTTTTTAATTAGTTTTTATAATTTAAAATATCACAATCCAAAACAAATAAACTGTATTTACTAAAGTTCAAGTGTCAAATTAGCGAGATTAATGCAATTTGCTAAACCAGAACCTAAGCTTGATGCGCCTTTATCACCAATTTAATTTTTACTTTTTAAATATTGAAGAAAAAATATATCATTAAATAGTTAATTAGAAGGGAAAAATGAAGAAAAAATATTAAATAATAAGATTAATTAATTAATAATAAAAGCAAAAGTTGAAAATAAAATGATGAACTTAATTAGCAAATAAAAAACAAAAAAAAGCAAGCACAATAATAAGAAAAAGAAAAAAGAGCTTTTTTGTTTTATATTAAATTTAATAGTTTAAAATATCACAATCCAAAACAAATAAACTGTTTTTACTTTAGGGTAAGTGTCAAATTTGAGAGATTAATGCAATTTGCTAAACCAGAACCTAAGCCTGATGCACCCATTGCACCAATTGAATTTTCACTTTTTAAATATTGAAGAAAAAATATATCATTAAATAGTTAATTAGAAGGAAAAAATATGAAATAATAAGATTAATTAATTAATAATAAAACAAAAGTTGAAAATAAAATGATGTGCTTAATTAGCAAAGAAAAAACAAAAAAAAGCAAACACAATAAAAAGAAAAAGAAAAAAGAGCTTTTTGATTTTAATTAGTTTTTATAATTAAAAATATCACAATCCAAAACAAATAAACTGTTTTTACTTAAGGTTAAGTGTCAAATTAGAGAGATTAATGCAATTTGCTAAAGCAGAACCTAAGCCTGATGCACCCATTGCACCAATTTAATTTGCACTTTTTAAATATTGAAGGAAAAATATATCATTAAATAGTTAATTAGAAAGAAGGAAAAAATGAAGAAAAAATATGAAATCATATATTAATTAATAAAAAATCAAAACAGAAGTTGAAAATAAAATGATGAGCTTAATTAGCTAGCAAAGAATAAACAAAAAAAAGCAAGCATAATAAAAAGAAAAAGAAAAAAGAGCTTTATTGTTTTTAATTAGTTTTTATAATTAAAAATATTACAATCCTAAAACATTAAATTGTTTTTATAAAAGTTCAAGTGTCAAATTTGAGAGATTAATGCAATTTGCTAAACCAGAACCTAAGCCTGATGCACCCATTGCACCAATTTAATTGTAACTTTTTAAATATTCAAGAAAAAATATATCATTAAATAGTAAATTAGAAGGAAAGAAAAAATGAAGAAAAAATATGAAATAATAAGATTAATTAATTAATAATAAAAGCAAAAGTTTAAAATAAAATGATGTGCTTAATTAGTTAGCAAAGAAAAAACAAAAAAAAGCAAGCACAATAATAAGAAAAAGAAAAAAGAACTTTATTGTTTTTAATTAGTTTTTATAATTAAAAATATCACAATCCAAAACAAATAAACTGATTTTACTTAACGTTAAGTTTCAAATTTGAGAGGTTAATGCAATTTGCTAAACCAGAACCTAAGCCTGATGCACCTTCATCACCAATTTAATTTCTACTTTTTAAATATTGAAGAAAAAATATATCATAAAATAGTTAATTAGAAGGAAAAAATGAAGAAAAGATATTAAATAATAAAATTAATTAATTAATAATAAAAGCAAAAGTTGAAAATAAAATGATGAACTTAATTAGCAAAGAAAAAACAAAAAAAGCAAGCACAATAATAACAAAAAGAAAAAAGAGCTTTATTGTTTTTAATTAATTTTTATAATTAAAAATTTCACAATCCAAAACAAATAAACCATTTTTACCTAAGAATAAGTGTCAAATTTGAGAGATTAATGCAATTTGCTAAAGCAGAACCTAAGCCTGATGCACCTATTGCATCAATTTAATTAGAACTTTTTAAATATTGAAGAAAAAATATATCATTAAATAGTTAATTAGAAGGAAAAAATGAAGAAAAATTATGAAATAATAAGATTAATTAATTAATTAATAACAAAACAAAAGTTGAAAATAAAATGATGAACTTAATTAGCAAAGAAAGAACAAAAAAAAAAAGAAAAAGAAAAAAGAGCTTTATTGTTTTTAATTAGTTTTTATAATGAAAAATATCACAATCCAAAACAAATAAACTGATTTTACGCAAGATCAAGTGTCAAATTTGAGAGATTAATGCAATTTGCTAAAGCAGAACCTAAGCCTGATACACCTTCATCACCAATTTAATTTCCTCTTTTTAAATATTGAAGAAAAAATATATCATTAAATAGTTAATTAGAAGGAAAAATTGAAGAAAAAATCTGAAATTATAAGATTAATTAATTAATAATAAAACAAAAGTTGATAATAAAATGATGAGCTTAATTAGCTAGAAAACAAAAAACAAAAAAAAGCAAGCACAATAATAAGAAAAAGAAAAAAGAGCTTAATTGTTTTTAATTAGTTTTTATAATGAAAAATATCACAATCCAAAACAAATAAACTGATTTTACGCAAGGTAAAGTGTCAAATTTGAGAGATTAATGCAATTTGCTATAGCAAAACCTAAGCCTGATGCACCCATTGCACCAATTTAATTTGCACTTTTTAAATATTGAAGGAAAAATATATCTTAAATAGTTAATTAGAAAGAAGGAAAAAATGAAGAAATAATATGAAATAATAAGATTAATTAATAAAAAATAAAAGCAAAAGTTGAAAATAAAATGATGTGCTTAATTAGCTAGCAAAGAAAGAACAAAAAAAAGCAAGCACATTAATAAGAAAAAATAAAAAACTGCTTTATTGTTTTTAAATTAGTTTTTATAATTAAACATATCACAATCAAAAACGAATAAACTGTTTTTACGCTAGGTTAAGTGTCAAATTTGAGAGATTAATGCAATTCGCTAAAGCAGAACCTAAGCCTTATGCACCTATTGCACCAATTTAATTGTAACTTTTTAAATATTGAAGAAAAAAGATATCATTAAATAGTTAATTGGAAGGAAAAAATGAAGAAAAAATATGAAATAATAAGATTAATTAATTAATAATAAAAGCAAAAGTTGAAAATAAAATTATGAGCTTAATTATTAAAGAAAGAACAAAAAAAAAGAAAAAGAAAAAAGAGCTTTATTGTTTTTAATTAGTTTTTATAATTAAAAATATCACAATCCAAAACAAATAAACTGATTTTACGCAAGGTCAAGTGTCAAATTTGAGAGATTAATGCAATTCCCTAAAGCAGAACCTAAGCCTGATGCACCCATTACACCAATTTAATTATAACTTTTTAAATATTGAAGAAAAAATATATCATTAAATAGTTAATTAGAAAGAAGGAAAAAATGAAGAAATAATATGAAATAATAAGATTAGTTAATTAATAATAAAAGCAAAAGTTGAAAATAAAATGAACAGCTTAATTAGAAAAAAAAAAAGAAAATTAGTTTTTATAATTAAAAATATTACAATCAAAAACAAATAAACTGTTTTTACTTTAGGTCAAGTGTCAAATTTGAGAGATTAATGCAATTTGCTAAACCAGAACCTAAGCCTGATGCACCCATTGCATCAATTTAATTGTAACTTTTTAAATATTGAAGAAAAAATTTATCATTAAATAGTTAATTAGAAGGAAAAATTGAAGAAAAATATGAAATTATAAGATTAATTAATTAATAATAAAACAAAAGTTGAAAATAAAATGATGTGCTTAATTAGTTAGGAAAGAAAGAACAAAAAAAAGCAAGCACATTAATAAGAAAAAAAAAAAACAGCTTTATTGTTTTTAATTAGTTTTTATAATTAAACATATCACAATCAAAAACCAATAAACTGTTTTTACCCAAGGTCAAGTGTCAAATTTAAGAGATTAATGCAATTTGCTAAAGTAGAACCTAAGCCTGATGCACCTTTATCATCAATTTAATTAGAACTTTTTAAATATTGATGAAAAAATATATCGTTAAATAGAGTAAGTTACCATACAAATTTACAAAAAGCGAGTTTTATATACCAGTTTATACATTTTATAAAATTAAAATTTTAAATATTTTTTATGAATTTTTTTCCATCTTAGGTTTTCAAAATTTATTTATTTCAAAAAAAAAGATATTATATACTTTCTAAAAATTAACTTTATTTATAATGTTATTAAGAGATAAATTAAATAGGTATTTCACTCTAGTTAATTAGGAGTAAAATACGAAGAAAAAATATGATAAGATTAATAAATAAAATCAGCAACGAATGAAAAAATAAGAAATCATAATAAAAAGAATAAGGAAAACAAATCAAATAAATTAAAAGAAATATAATGTTTTAAATTAACTTTCTAAATTAAAAATATTACAATGTAAAACAAATAAATAGCTTTTATTAAGTGTAAGTTTTAATAGGAAAAATGAAGAAAAAATATCAAATAATAAAAAATGAATAATAATTTATCAAAAATTAAAATGAAAATTAAGTTAAAATTGATAAAAAATTTTAGTTTTAACAAAAATCAATAATAATAAAAATAATATTTTTTAATTAAATATACCGAAGATAAATATGGAGAACCTAATGAGATAAAAGTGAAGAGCTTTTAAACTTTTTTTATTAATTTTTTTAAATTTAAAGGATATTAATAAAAAAATTAATAATTACTTCTTCTAATCTAATATATCTTTTAATCTAATATATCATTTATTTTTTTTTTCAAAAAATATTGAATATCAATTTATGAAATTTAATTAATTAATTATAAATTGATAAAAAAAACAAATAAATATAATAATTAATTATCAAATATTAATTAATATATTTGGTTCTATGAAGAGATATCACAGAAAAATTAATTTAACATTCACTATTTAAACTTAATATTTGTATTTAAAACATATACTTAAAAAAATATATAGTAGGAATTAGAGATGACAAGTTATTTATTTAGTCATATTTGAAAAAAACCTAGTAGTTAATGTTCTTAAATATTATAAAATAATATTAATAAGTAGATTTTTCTATTTTAGCTATGTAATTTTAGGAATATTTATAATATCTCTAATTATAGCAAGATGCCATACAACAATTTCATGGTTTATTTGACTTATTATCAAATATATTTTTTATTTATTTATTTATTTATTAAAAATCTGATTTATATATATATTTTTTGGTCAAAGTATCAATATTTAACATCTTAAACCTAATATATTTATTATTCATGTTATACCAAATATGGTAAATCGACACTACGCACCTAAAATCTTTAACCAACACAATACCCCTATTATATTTATTCGATACCTAAAATAAAAACTAATTGAAATTCCACTGGCAATATGTACCCAGTCAATAGCACTTAGGATAAATTACAGTATGTATTTAAATCCCCAGCCCAGAAATTTACTTAAATTCAATACTTTTAGAAAATTATAAATTATTTGATGTTAATACTCATCATAATATTTAACAACTATTATGATATCTAAAACTCTTTAAAAGATACTAAATTTCTTGTTTGAAAAATAAACTATGGTTACTGAATTTATTTTAGTTAACTAGATTAATCAAAACTTCTAGAAAAGCTAAGCAATATTTTAAATTAAAAAATTTAATAAAGAAAAAAATTTGAAAAATTCATAATCAGATTTTATTATTTTGTTAATGTAACTAAAAAATCTTAATTTAGTAAACGAATTTTGTTGCAAAATTTAATTAGTTACTCGTTTAATGAAGCATGCTCGCTCTTATTTTTAATTTAGCTAAACAAAAAATAAATAAAACCTTCATTTAACTAAAATTGTAATAAATATTATTTGATAAATGAATAATAAATTTATTAGAAAACTTATTCAATATAGTACATGAAAAATATTTTAATTTATTTTTGTGTTTTATTTTAATCTATTGAAGTAAGTAAATTTAAACTTAACGTATATTGATTAGTTAGTTAACTATTATAATTTAAATTTTATACTTCCTAAATATGTTATTGATCTATATATTTAATAAAATAGAGTATAGTTTATTAGTCTAAGCTGGAAACTTGTTGAATACCTAACATGATAAATAACAAAAAATTATTTAACTTATTTAGAAAGCTTGTAGTGAATATTTAAATGAGACAATTCAAATTTATGGATTAGGTAAGGTTGATTATAGTTTGTAAAAGCTTTTTAATTTCATGGAGCCCCAAGATAAGATTTAATTCCTTTTTATAAGTCTTTATGAGCAATTCAATTTACTTAGTATGTGTATTTCTTAAGCTATGCTACATAGAATTTTTTTTACTATTGATTAAACAAAATATACAAGATTAGGAACATAAATATAAGCAAACTTAAGTCATTTGTAGATGCCTATTGAGAAATGAGGACTAAAGCTTAAGAGACACTATGAAGATTTAAGTTTAAAAAAAATTCAATTATTTTTTCATTTAAATGTTATTCGATTCAAAAAAACTAATTTAAATCTTCTATTTTGCATGTTTCAGTCCTGAACTTCTCCACTACCACCAAAAAAAAAATTTAAAATATAATTATTCAACAATATAAAATTAAGATTTAAGTTTTTGCTTATAAATTTTCAAAAGCTAAACGAATTTTAATTATCACTTACAACCACTAAATTGAATCAATATGATGAATAGATATTATAGATGAATTTAATAAATATATTTACAAATTTGATTTATTGTAATTGCATTCATCAAAAGATCGTTTTTAATCAAAACATATTTCTTAATCAGATCAGATCAGGAAATAAAATAAATATCTTTCTTTTAATTATTATCAAATTTCGTTAAAAAAAACAAAAAATAGAACAAAAATCATTAAATTTATAAATTGTATTTCAATATTAATTTTTAATAATCATCAATTCTCTTCTTGTGTGTTTTTTAAGTCCAAATGATTTAACATCCATTCCAGGCATAGGTTTGTTTCCTAATATCTCGTCAATTTCTTTGTTCACTTCAGGTGTTATTTTCTTGATAAATTCGACAGATTTAACTGTATCATCAAGCTATTCAAGTCTAGTAGCACCTGTTATTGCTGCAGAAACATCTTGATTTGCAAGAACCCAAGCCATAGCTAATTATGACTAAGTGCATCCCAACTTCTTTGCTACATTTGCAAGGCCATTAAGGAGCTTTAATAACTTTTCTTTCTTATCTTCTGCAAAGTACAAATCATAAATTCTCTTCAAAAAAGGACTGTCTTTGAACTCTTGCAATCTAGATCCTGAAGGAAAGGTTCCATCATTATACTTTCCAGTCAAAATACCATTGCAGAGAGGACTCCAAACTGTAGCTCCTAATCTGTACTTGTCAAAGAGTCTTCCGTATTCAACTTCAAATTTATCTCTCACCATCATACTATATTAGGGTTGCTCAGTAACAGGAGGGGTGAGATTTAATCTAGCACAAACTTCTTTTACTTCAAAGATTTCACTGGCTGACCATTCTGATGTTCCCCAATAGTGAATAAGCCCTTATTTTATTAAATCGTTAAAGGCTTTGGCAGTTTCTTCTAAAGAAGTATCCTCATCAAATCTATGGCAAAAGACAATATCTAAGTAATCTAATTGAAGTCTCTTTAAACTGGCTTTCACTCCTTCGAAAATATGCTTACGAGATAAACCAATTTAGTTAACTTTTTTAAGATTAGGTGAATTTAAAGGAACTGCCCAGAAGATCTTAGAAGAAATGACTAATTCTTGTCTAGGAGCTCCTAGAGCTTTGAAGGCTTCTCCAAATTAAATTTCACCTTCTCCGCATCCATAAAATTCAGCTGTGTCAAAGAAATTAATTCCAAGACTGTAAGCTCTCTTAACAAGTTCAATTGTTATTTTTAATTTATCAGGAGTATCACTATTTAACCCGTTTCCGAAACCGATAGCAGAGACTTTGAGACCCGTGTTTCCTAAAAATCTATATTCCATTTATTTATGTTTATATTTTATTTAAATGTTGTAGATTTTAAATTGTAATTTATGTTTTTTGTATTAATAATTTAATTATTAATATCTTTGATTGATAAATTTACTAATTTAAATATTAAAAGATAAATTTCTAGAAGAATTTAATAGAATGTAAGATTTTTTAAGTTTGTATTTTTTTAATGTTAATGTTTTTTGTGAATAACCGATAATGAATTTTGATCGTAAAAGCTTATTAACTAGACACAATTTATAAAAATTAATTATTTTAAAGAAGTTCTTGAACAAAAAATCTTTCTATAATATTTCTTTTTTATTTTATTACAATCATATAAAAGTTTTAATATAATATTAAAATACTAAATTTGACTAAGCACTTAATTTAATTAATTAGTTTGATGTCATATCTATAAATTTTTATTTCATAAACTGAAATCAATTTTAAAGTTTTATTTATTATTTTTGCTCAACATTTTTAATTTTATTATTTAATTTATTTTTTTATAAATTTAATAATATATTTACTTACAAAAATTACGAATGATATTTATAAATATAAAATCAATAATAAAATCTATCTATCTATTTAATTTAAGGTTAAAAACACTTTTTCAAAATATTAAATAATAAAATATATCATATTATTTAAACATTTTATATTTATTCATCCTTTTTTCATGATTCGCTTATCTAAAAATTAAAGACAACTAATCTTTTTGATTTACGACACTTGCTTATTACTTTAAATGTTTATGATTTATTCATTGAGCTAGAACTTTTATAATAAATTAGTGTAAATTTTAAATAAATACCAAAATAGAATAAACTTTTAAATTAAAAATTATTCTTTAAATTATTAAATAAAATAATATTACTAAAATAAATAAGATAAAAAAAAATAAATAAAAGCTATCAAATAAATTCAAAGAGCTTTTTGTTTTATATTCAATTTAATAGTTTAAAATATCACAATCCAAAACAAATAAACTGTTTTTACTTTAGGTAAAGAGTCAAATTTGAGAGATTAATGCAATTTGCTAAACCAGAACATAAGCCTGATGCACCCATTGCACCAATATAATTGTCACTTTTTAAATATTGAAGAAAAAATATATCATTAAATAGTTAATTTGAAAGAAGGAAAAAATGAAGAAAAAATATGAAATAATAAGATTAATTAATTAATTAATAATAAAAGCAAAAGTTGAAAATAAAATTTTGAGCTTAATTAACAAATAAAGAACAAAAAAAAGCAAGCACTATAAAAAGAAAAAGAAAAAAGAGCTTTATTGTTTTTAATTAGTTTTTATAATTAAAAATATCACAATCCAAAACAAATAAACTGTTTTTACCGAAGGTCAAGTGTCAAATTTGAGAGATTAATGCAATTTGCTAAAGCAGAACCTAAGCCTGACGCACCCTTTGCATAAATTGAATTTGTACTTTTTAAATATTGAAGAAAAAATATATCATTAAATAGTTAATTAGAAGGAAAAAATGAAGAAAAAATATGAAATAATAAGATTAATTTATTAATAATAAAAGCAAAAGTTGAAAATAAAATGTTGAGCTTAATTAACAAATAAAGAACAAAAAAAAGCAAGCACTATAAAAAGAAAAAGAAAAAAGAGCTTTATTGTTTTTAATTAGTTTTTATAATTAAAAATATCACAATCCAAAACAAATAAACTGTTTTTACGCAAGTTCAAGTGTCAAATTTGAGAGATTAATGCAATTTGCTAAAGCAGAACCTAAGCCTGATGCACCCATTGCACCAATTTAATTTATACTTTTTAAATATTGAAGAAAAAATATATCATTAAATAGTTAATTAGAAGGATAAAATGAAGAAAATATGAAATAATAAGATTAATTAATTAATTAATAATAAAACCAAAAGTTGAAAATAAAATGATGAGCTTAATTAATAAATAAAGAACAAAAAAAAGCAAACACGATAAAAAGAAAAAGAAAAAAGAGCTTTATTGTTTTTAATTAGTTTTTATAATTAAAAATATCACAATCCAAAACAAATAAACTGATTTTACGCAAGGTCAAGTGTCAAATTTGAGAGATTAATGCAATTTACTAAACCAGAACTTAAGCCTGATACACCCTTAAAAAAAATTTCATTTCCACTTTTTAAATATTGAAGAAAAAATATATCATTAAATAGTTAATTAGAAAGAAGGAAAAAATGAAGAAAATATGAAATAATAAATAAGATTAATTAATTAATAATAAAAGCAAAAGTTGAAAATAAAATGTTGAGCTTAATTAACAAAGAAAGAACAAAAAAAACAAGCACAATAATAAGAAAAAGAAAAAAGAGCTTTATTGTTTTTAATTAGTTTTTATAATTAAAAATATCACAATCCAAAACAAATAGACTGTTTTTACTGAAGGTTAAGTGGTTCAGACTGCTCAGACTGTTCAACCTGTTCAGACTAATTGGGATGGTTAACACAAGATACAATATATCCTTTGCATTTTAAGACATTTAATTAAATATAATGAAAAAAAAAATAAAATAAAATAAATAATATAAAATTAATTTTAAGATGTATTCTGAGTGCATTTATATGTGCGAGTATTTCTATTCTATTCTATCACCAAATAAATTGAAACTTTTTAATTATTGAAGAAAAAATATATCGTTAAATAGAGTAAGTTACCATACAAATTTACAAAAAGCGAGTTTTAAAAACCAGTTTTTACATTTTATAAAATTAAAATTTTAAATATTTCTTATGAATTTTTTTCCATCCTAGGATTTCAAAATTTATTTATTTCAAAAAAAAAGATATGTTATGCTTTCTAAAAATTAGCTTTATTTATAATGTTATTAAGATATAAATTAAATAGGTACTTCACTCTAGTTAATTAGGAGTAAAAAATGAAGAAAAAATATAATTAATAATTAATAAAATTAACAACGAATGAAAAAATAAGAAATCATAATAAAAAGAATAAAGAAAACAAATCAAATAAATTAAAAGAGCTATAATGTTTTAAATTAACTTTTATAATTAAAAATATTACAATGTAAAACAAATAAATAGCTTTTATTAAGTGTAAGTTTTAATAGCAAAAATGAAGAAAAAATATCAAATAATAAAAAATGAATAATAATTTATCAAAAATTGAAATGAAAATTAAGTTAAATTAGCTAAAAAATTTTAGTTTTAACAAAAATCAATAAGTAATCATGATAATTTTTTTTTATAATATTTTGATTAATTTTTGTAAAATACACAAATCATGATATCATGATCTGTGATATTTCAAATGCAGGAACAGCTATACTTAAAACAAGATTTTAGTTTTTGTTATTAATTTTCAAAACCTAAAGAAATTCAATTATCACTCACTACCACTAAGTTGAATTATAGTGGTGGATGAATAGATGTTTTGATAAATTCAATCAATCAATCAATAAATACATACATAAATATCTTTACAAACTTTATTTATAGTCATTGTATTCATCAAAAGACCGTTTTTAATTAAAAAATATATCTTAATTAGATCAGATCAGGAAATAATATAAATATCTTTCTTTTAATTATTATCAAATTTCATTATAAAAAAACAAAAAATAGAACAGAAATCATTAAATTTATAAATTGTATTTCAATATTAATTTTTAATAATCATCAATTCTCTTCTTGTGTGTTTTTTAAGTCCAAATGATTTAACATCCATTCCAGGCATAGGCTTGTTTCCTAATATTTCGTCAATTTCTTTGTTCACTTCAGGTGTTATTTTCTTGATAACTTACAAAGATTTAACAATATCATCAATCTATTCAGGTCTAGTAGCACTTGTAATTGCAGTAGAAACATCATGATTAGCAAGAACCCAAGCCATAGCTAATTATGACTAATTGCATCCCAACTTCTTTGCTACACTTGCAATGCCATTAAGGAGCTTTAATAACTTTTCTTTCTTATCTTCAGCAAAGTATTAATCATAAATTATCTTCAAGAACATATTATCTTTGAATTCTTGTAATCTTGATCCAGCAGGAAGGGTTCCATCGTTATACTTTCCAGTCAAGATACCACTGCAGAGAGGACTCCAAACTGTAGTTCCTAATCTGTACTTGTCAAAGAGTCTTCCATATTCAACTTCAAATTTATCTCTAACCATCATATTATATTATGGTTATTCAGAAACAGGAGGGATGATATTTAATCTAGCACAAATTTCTCTTACTTCAAAGATCTCACTAGCTGACCATTCAGAGGTTCCCCAGTAATGAATAAGTCCTTATTCGATTAAGTCATTAAAGGCTTTAGCAGTTTCTTCTAAGGGAGTATCTTCATCAAATCTATGGCAAAAGACAACATCTAAGTAGTCTAATTGAAGTCTCTTTAAACTGGCTTTCACTCCTTCGAAAATATGCTTACGAGATAAACCAATTTAGTTAACTTTTTTAAGATCAGATGAGGTTGGTGGAACTGCCCAGAAGATCTTAGAAGAGATGACTAATTCTTGTCTAGGAGCTCCTAGAGCTTTGAAGGCTTCTCCAAATTAGATTTCACCTTCTCCAAAGCCATAAACTTCAGCTGTATCAAAGAAATTGATTCCAAGACTGTAGGCTCTCTTAACAAGTTCAATTATTTTTTGTTATCTATCAGAAGTATCACTATTCAACCAGTTTCCGAAACCGATAGCAGAGACTTTAAGACCAGTGTTTCCTAAAAATCTATATTCCATTTATTTATGTATACTTATGTATTATTTAAATGTTAGAGTAACTTTTAAATTTTAATTTATTGTTTTTTTGTTTTAATAATATAATTATTAATAACTTTGATCAGTAAATTTGCTAATTTAATAATAAATGATACATTTCTTGAAGAATTATTTAGAATGTAAGATGTTTTAAATTTTTATTATCTTACTTTTAATATTTTTTAGTTAATGATCAGTAATTAATTTTGATGCCAAAAAGTTTTTATTAGTATGATAAAAATTGTAAATTAATTTAGTTTAAAGGAGTTCCGGAATAAAAAATTTTTCTTTAATAATTCTTTTTTTGCTTTATTACATTTACATAAAAATTTTAATATAATAATAAATTTGTCTAAGCAGTTAATTAATTAATTTGATGCCATAGTGATAAATTAATTTCTATTACATAAACTAAAATTTATTTAAAAGTTTATTTATTATTTTTGCTCAATGTTTTTTGTTTTATTATTTAATACTATCATTCAAACATTTTAAATTATATTTAGATAAATTTTTTTATAAATATGAATATTTAATTATTATTGGCATTAATGAAATTATAAAAATAATTTATTTATCTTTGTAAATTTGATTTTTGCTTTTTTTAAATAAAAATAATCAAAAAAAATGTTAGTTTTATATATAAAAACTAATCAAATAATGTTATTTTTTTTAAAGCAAATACTTATCATAAAAATAGATTAATTTTATAGTTTAATCAAAATAAGAAAGTAGAAATAATATTTTTAAAAATAAAATAATAAATTTTTAATTAATTTAGATTTTGGTATTAATATTTTTTTTATTTTAAAATCTCAAATTAAAAACACTTTAGAGAGGTAAATAATTAAATTTATTTTACAAATATATTAAAAATATTTCTATTTTTTTATTCCACTGACGCTGCGTTGCCAATATGTATTATATCCGCAACCCCATAAATTTGCTTAAATTCAATACTTTAGAAAATGATTAATTATTTGATATAATAATTGGTCATCATAATATTTAACAAATTTTATTATTTCAAAAACTCTTCTTTAGTTACTAAATTTATTTTTATTATAAATGTTTTTTTTTGTTTGTAAAAAATGAACTATCTATCTATGGTTACTGAATTTATTTTAATTAAATAAAGTAATCAAAGCTTCTAGAATAGCTAAACAATATTTTTAATTTAAAAATTTAATAAAGAAAAAACTTTGAAAAATTCATAATCAGATTTTATTATTTTGTTAATGTAACTAAAAAGTCTTTATTTAGTAAACAACTAACTATTGATTCAAAATTTAGTCACTCACTCATTTTTTAAAAGCATTCTCTTATTTTTAATTCAGCTAAACAAAAAAATAAAAAAACCTTCATTATACTAATATAGTTAAAATATTATTTGATAAATGAATAATAAATACATTTATTAGAAAACTTATTCATAGTAGATAAAAAAATATTTTAATTTATTTTTGCGTTTTATTTTATTTTAATCTATTGAAGTAAGAAAATTTAAACTTAACATATTTTGATTAGTTAATTAACAATTATAAAATAAATCTTATACATCCTAGTAAATATTTCAATGAGCTAATTCAAATTTATAGATTAGGAAAAGTTAATTATAGTTTAGAGAATCTTATTAATTTCATCGAGTCCCTAGATAAGTAGTAATTCCTTATTCTAAGACTTTACGAGCAACTCAATTCACTTTTATTCATTAATTAAGTAGGTATAATTCTTAATCTATCCTTCATAGATATTTTTTCCTTCTAGGGATAAAACAAATATATAATATAAATAAAAGCAAATTAATGACAAATTTGTAGATGTGTATTGAAAAATAAGAGACATTATGAAGATTTAAGTTTAAAAATATTTCTTTAATTTTTTTAAAATCTATAAAAACATTAATTATATTTATTTTATTTAAAAGATTTTTGATTAAATAAAATGAATTTAAATAATTCTATTGTAATTTAGTTAATAACCGATAATTAATTTTGACGGTAAAAGTTTATTAACTACACAATTACCAAAATTAATTATTATAAAGAAGCTCTGGAATAAAAAATCTTTCTTTGAAAATTCATTTTTGTATCATTTAAAAAAAATGTGAATATAATGCTAAAATAAATAATAGATTTGGTTAAACAATTAATTAAATTAATAAATATGTTGCCATAGCTATAAATTTCTATTTCATAAACTAAGATCTATTTTAAAGTTTGTTTTGTTTATTTTTTATTTTTCTCAATATTTTTTGTTTTATTATTTAATTTATTTTTTAAAGATTATATAGTATCATGCAAAATTTTTATTTTACATTTTATTTGGTTAAACTAAATATTTTTTTAAATATGTAAAAACAAATTATATGGTATTTATCAAATTATAAAACAATTTATTATGTAGATTTGATTATTTTTTTTTTACAAAAGCAAATCCAAAAAAAATTAATCAAAAAATATTTTATTTTTATCTAAATTTATTAATTAAATATTTACTGTTTGTTTTATTTTTTAAAATACAAGGTTTTTACATTCTTATTTTATTATTGATTAAATTTAGCTGAACATTTTAGCACTCATATTTTTTATTTAAAAATCTCAAATTAAAAAAAAACAAATTAGAAAAGCAAATAATTCAATTTAGTTTACTTAAAAACCCATTTATAAAATCTTAATAATTTAAATTAATTAATTTATTATTTTAAAGTTATTGTAAAGATAATTTATTTACCAATAAATATTATTTATTCTTGCTAGAAAATTGCTAATTCTTAGTGAATATTTCAAAGAGACAATTCAAGTCTATGATTTAGGTAAAATGAATTGTTGCTTAAAGAAGCTTTAAAATTTCATTGAGCCCCTAGTTAAGATTTAATTCCTTATTCTAAGATTTTATGAGAAATTCAATTCACTAATAATCATCTAAGTTAATTAAATAGGTATATTTTTTTTAAAATACCATTAGTTATACTACTTAGATATTTTTGTAAGAGGCATTATGAAGATTTGTTAATTGTAGGTAAATTAAAAAAACATTAAAAATCTTTATCCATTCTTTAAAAAAATAAATAATTTAGAAAAATGATTTAAATCTTCTAATTTGATCTTTTGAATATATTTGGTTCGTCCTAGAAACTCTCCACCACCACCAAAAAAAAATCTAAAATATAATTATTCAACAAGTTTCTGTGGAATTTAAGATTTTAATTTTTGTTATTAATTTTCAAAAGCTAAAGAAATTTTAATTATCACTCGCTACCACTAAAAATAGTTATAATGGTGGATGAATAGATGTTTTTATAAATTTAATTAAAAATACATCAGTATCTTTACAAATTTTATTTATTGTAATTGTATTCATCAAAATACCGTTTTTAATTAAAAAATATATCTTAATTAGATCAGATCAGGAAATAATATAAATATCTTTCTTTTAATTATTATCAAATTTCATTATAAAAAAACAAAAAATAGAACAGAAATCATTCAATTTATAAATTGTATTCAATATTAATTTTTAATAATCATCAATTCTCTTCTTGTGTGTTTTTTAAGTCCAAATGATTTAACATCCATTCCAGGCATAGGCTTGTTTCCTAATATCTCGTCAATTTCTTTGTTCACTTCAGGTGTTATTTTCTTGATAACTTCCACTGATTTAACAATATCATCAATCTATTCAGGTCTAGTAGCACTTGTAATTGCAGTAGAAACATCATGATTAGCAAGAACCCAAGCCATAGCTAATTATGACTAAGTGCATCCTAACTTCTTTGCTACACTTGCAAGGCCATTAAGGAGCTTTAATAACTTTTCTTTCTTATCTTCAGCAAAGTATTAATCGTAAATTCTCTTCAAGAAGATATTATCTTTGAATTCTTATAATCTTGATCCAGCAGGAAGGGTTCCATCATTATACTTTCCAGTCAAGATACCACTGCAGAGAGGACTCCAAACTGTAGTTCCTAATCTGTACTTGTCAAAGAGTCTTCCGTATTCAACTTCAAATTTATCTCTAACCATCATACTATATTATGGTTGTTCAGAAACGGGAGGGGTGAGATTTAATCTAGCACAAACTTCTCTGACTTCAAAGATCTCACTAGCTGACCATTCTGAGGTTCCCCAGTAATGAATAAGTCCTTATTCGATTAAATCGTTAAAGGCTTTAGCAGTTTCTTCTAAGGGAGTATCTTCATCAAATCTATGGCAAAAGACAACATCTAAGTAGTCTAATTGAAGTCTCTTTAAACTGGCTTTCACTCCTTCGAAAATATGCTTACGAGATAAACCAATTTAGTTAACTTTTTTAAGATCAGATGAGGTTGGTGGAACTGCCCAGAAGATCTTAGAAGAGATGACTAATTCTTGTCTAGGAGCTCCTAGAGCTTTGAAGGCTTCTCCAAATTAGATTTCACCTTCTCCAAAGCCATAAACTTCAGCTGTATCAAAGAAATTGATTCCAAGGCTGTAGGCTCTCTTAACGAGTTCAATCATTTTTTGTTATCTATCAGAAGTATCACTATTCAACCAGTTTCCGAAACCGATAGCTGAGACTTTGAGACCAGTGTTTCCTAAAAATCTATATTCCATTTATTTATGTATACTTATGTATTATTTAATTGTTAGACTAATTTTTAAATTGTATTTTATTGTTTTTTGTTATAATAATTTAATTATTAATATCTATCTTTGATTGATTGGTAAATTTATTAATTTAATAATAATTGATATTAAATTTCTAGAAGAATTATTTAGAATGTAAGATGTTTTAAGTTTTTATTTTCTTACTTTTAATATTATTTAATTAATGATCACTAACTAATTAACTTTGACGCCAAAAGGTATTTATTAACGTGAAAAAAGTTGTAATTAAAGGAATTCTGGAATAAAAAATCTTTCTTTAATAATTCTTTTTAGCTTTATTACATTTATATAAAAATTTGAGTATAATATCAAAATAGTAAATTTAGCTAAACAAACAATTAATTAATTTGTTATCACAGTGATAAATTTCTATTTCATAAACTAAAATTTATTTTAAAGTTTTAATTATTATTTTCCTCCATATTTTTAGTTTTATTATTTAACTTATTTTTTACAAATTTAATACTATTATCATTCATACAAACTTTTTATTTTAAATTTTATTTGGATAAATTAAATATATTTTTTTTTAATATGAATTTATATTATTGAAATTAATGAAATTATAAAATAATTTCTCTTTATAAATTTTATTTTTTGCTAAAAACTAATCCAATATGCTATTTTTTTAAAACAAATAATCTCAAAAATAGTTTATTTTTTTACACTTTAATAAATAATAAAATAAGAAGGAATTCAAAAAAATAAAACATTAATATTTAATTAATTTAGATTTTGACACTTGTATTTATTTTATTTTAAAATCTCAAATTAAAAAACACTTTATAGTGGCAAGTAATTAAGTTTATTTTACATAAAGTTTCTATTATTTTAATTAATACACAATTAATTAATTTTTTAAAGATATTGTAAGCCAATAAATTTATTATTTACTAATGAGTATTATTTATTCTTGTTAGTATGGAGCTATGATTCAATTTTTGAAAATATTTATTTTTAAGAATGAAGCTTTAATAAACCTTTAAATTTAATAAAATAGAAAATTTTTAAATTCCACAACAGTTTTGTGATTTAAAATGTATCAGAATTTCATTTATGCATAAATAAAAATTTTTAATCAGGTATATTCCTGAATTTATTAGTTTCAATTAAAAAAATATCATAATTAATTTCATCTTTATATAAATAAAAATTTTTTAATCAGATATATTTCTTAACTTATTAGTTTCAATTACAAAAAAATATTTATTTTTTTACTTTTAATCTTTTATCATCAAAAAATAAGTTAGCTATTATTTATTTATTTATTTATTTATTTATTTATTATTTGTCTAGAAAATCATTTATTATTAAATTAAATTAAGTCAATCAGAATTTATTGCAAAATAGTTTTTTAAATCTTAAGAGTCAAATAATAAAGTATAATTTAATAAAAGAAATCTAACATTTATGCCAGATTGTAGATGAAGTTAAAATGATTAAAAATAAAAAATATCTAACAAAATCAAGTTAAATTAAATATCAATATTAATTTTTAATAATCATTAAATCTCTTCTTGTATTTTTTTTAAGTCCAAATGTTTTAACATCCATTCCAGGCATAGGCTTGTTTCCTAAAATTTCATCTATTTCTTTGTTCACTTCAGGTGTTATTAATTTCACAACTTACACAGATTTAACTATGTCATCAAGTTATTCAGGTCTAGTAGCACTTGTGATTGCAGAAGAAACGTCAGTATTTGCAAGAACCCAAGCCATAGCTAATTATGATTAAGTGCATTTTAATCTCATAGCAATGTTTCCTAGAGCATTAAGGAGCTTTAACAGTTTTTCTTTTTTGTCTTCAGCAAAATACTAATTGTATATTCTTTTCATATAAATGTTATCTTTAAACTCTTATAATCTTGATCCTGTAGGAATAGTACCATCGTTGTATTTACCAGTTAAGATACCGCTGCAGAGAGGACTCCAAACAGTAGTTCCTAATCTGTACTTGTCAAAGAGTCTTCCATATTCAACTTCAAATTTTTCTCTTATAATCATGCTATATTAGGGTTGTTCAGAAACGGGAGGGGTGAGATTTAATCTAGCACAAACTTCTCTGACTTCAAAGATCTCACTAGCTGACCATTCTGAGGTTCCCCAGTAATGAATATGTCCTTATTCAATTAAGTCGTTAAAAGCTTTAGCAGTTTCTTCTAAGGGAGTATCTTCATCAAATCTATGGCAAAAGACTATATCTAAGTAGTCTAATTGAAGTCTCTTTAAACTGGCTTTCACTCCTTCGAAAATATGCTTACGAGATAAACCAATTTAGTTAACTTTTTTAATATCAGCTGAAGTTGGTGGAACTGCCCAGAAGATCTTAGAAGAAATGACTAATTCTTATCTAGGAGCTCCTAGTGCTTTGAAGGCTTCTCCAAATTGAATTTCCCCTTCACCTTAACCATAAGCTTCAGCTGTGTCAAAAAAGTTAATTCCAAGGCTGTAAGCTCTTTTTATGAGTTCGATCATTTTTAACTTTCTATCAGAAGTATCACTATTTAACCAGTTTCCAAATCCAATAGCTGATACTTTGAGACCAGAGTTTCCTAAAAATCTGTATTCCATTTATTTGAGATTCGAGTCTTTATTTATTTATATTTTTTTTGTTTTTAATTTTAATTTGAATTAATCTTATGCAAGTTTATTTGAAGTTTTTAAATCTAAATACAAACTTTAAATAACATTCTAGAAGACTAATTGAACCTGTAAGAAACTAAGTTTATTCAGTCTTACAGCAAAAAAAAGAAATAAAAATTTTTTATTAATAAACAAAAATTGATTAATTATAGCCAAATACCTAATTAAAATCTAGTGTTTGTTTTTGGTATGTATTAATGAGTTTAAAATTAAATAAAAATATTTTTGAAAATGTTAGTAAGCTCTAAACCATTTTTATTTATCATAAATCTTGCTGAATTCCAAAAAAATAATAAATATGTTATCAGTTTGAAAAATTTAATATTTAATCTTATAAGAAAATTGAAAAGTCAAACTTACTCTTCTCTACATGATTTGAATGCAAGTATATAAAATAAGGTTGGAAGAACTAAATAAGCTAATTTTAATTTATATATACAAAAATTCACTTTCTAAATTAAAAAGTCTAATTAATTTTTACATTTACTTTATTTGGTGTAATTATTTGTAACTAATTTATACTTTTAATTATTGAATGATTTACATAGATGTTATCAAATAAATAGATTTACACCTATAAATAAAATTCATCAGTTTAGTTTATTTTGTTTAAATTATTTATATTTCTTATTTTATCTTAAGTAACAATTAATAAATTTAATTAATCTTACTAAAATAAACAAATTTCTAGAAGAAACTCACAAAAATATTTACTTTAAATTTCTGATTAGCAATCAGCCAACAATTAATAATTATTATTCAATTATAAAAATAAAAGACCTAATAATAAAAAACTCTAATATCTTTCTTTGCTAATTAAAAAATGGAATACAGATTCTTAGGAAACACTGGCATTAAAGTCTCTGCTATAGGACTTGGAAACTTCTTAAATGGTGACGCTCCTGACAAAAAAGAAAAAATCATCTAAATTGTTAAAAAAGCTTACAGCTTGGGCATCAATTTCTTTGATACTGCTGAGTCTTACGGATTTGGCGAGGGTGAATTATAGTATGGAGAAGCTTTCAAAGAGCTTGGAATTCCTAGAGAAGAATTAGTTGTTTCTTCTAAAATTTTTTGGGCAGTTACACCATTTACTTCTTAGATATAAAAAGTTAACTAAATTGGATTATCACGCAAACACATAATAGAAGGAGTTAAAGCAAGTTTGAAAAGACTTCAATTAGATTATTTAGACATAGTCTATTGCCATAGATTTGATGAAGACACTCCACTTGAAGAAACAATCAAAGCTTTCAACGACTTAATACAACAAGGTATACAAATATATAACTTTATTTCTTTATTCTTTTATTATTAATCAATCAATCAATTTAATAAATAATATAAAAATTAACTAAGGTCTTATACATTATTGGGGAACTTCTGAGTGGTCTTGTGGCTAAATTTTTGAAGCAAGAGAGATTTGTGCTAAATTAAATTTAATTCCTCCAGTTTGCGAATAGCCATAATATAACATGATGGTAAGGGAAAGATTTGAAGTAGAGTATGGTAGATTGTTTGACAAGTACAGAATGGGTTCTACAGTCTGGGGTCCTCTTTGCGCAGGTATTCTAACAGGTAAATACAATGATGGCAAATTTCCTTTAGGTTCTAGATTGAATGAATATAAAGATAGTATTCTCTTAAAAAGGATTTTTGATACTTATTTTGCTGAAGATAAAAAGGAAAATCTCTTAAAACTACTTAATGCCCTCAGTGAATAGGCTAATAAAATAGGTTGCACATAAACATAATTAGCTATGGCTTGGGTTCTTGCAAATCGTGATGTCTCTACAGCAATCACAAGTGCCTCTAAGCCTGAGTAACTAGATGAAATAGTGAAGTCCTTGGAGGTAGTAAAAAAGATAACCCCTGAAATAAATAAAGAACTTGATCAAATTTTAGGAAATAAACCTTAAGTTGGAATTGACTACAAAACATACATGCCAAACAAGTCTGTTAGAAGAGACTAGATTATAATCAAAAATTAATATTCCAACTGATGAATACGATTAATTTAAATATAATCTTTGATTTGTTTAGCATTAAATAAATTATTGATTGAATAAATACCAAAATTAATTAATTACATTTTTTAAATTTTTCCTTAAGATTTCTGTTAAATTTAATTGTGTTTTTGTTGTCATAATTTGTTAGATTTTAATTTAAAAATATTAATTTCTTCCTTTTAATTTGGAATAAAACTTTTAATATTTACATTTCAAGATCAGATGATTAAAATACAGTCTACTCTTAAATAGGGAAAAATCTAGTTTTAATGAAAATTAAGAAAAATAAAAACAAATTAATGAAATTGTTTTAAAATAAATTTAAATAAAATTAAGAAAAATTAAAACTAAATAAATGAAAGTATTTTAATATAGGTTTAAATAAAATTAAAAATAAACTTAAAGAATTAATTAAAGCATTTTAAAATAAATTTAGAGAACATTTTTTATAAATTTGAAAGAAATAAATAAATAAATATTTTAATTTAAGAGATAAAAAAGGATATTAAATTGTCAGATTTAATTTGTGTCAATAATTAAGTTGACAACTTAATTAAAATGGTGCTTATTAATACAGAATCTGAAAGATAGAAATAAATAATAAATTGATTAGGAGATAAAAACATTGAATATACTTTAATTTTTTATTTTCTTTGTTTGTTTTTACATTTTTGTAGAGATGAAAATAATTAAAATCTCATCTGATTACTTTTTGCTTAACAAATGTATTAATTAGCGTATTTCATTTAATATTAATTCAAAATTAACTTTAATACATATAAAAAATCACTATAGTCAGCATTTATGTTTTCAAATAACGAATTCAGTAATATTTGGAGTCATTTTATTGGAATTATCATTTTTGACTGCTTAATTATTACTGCGTCTAGTTTTATAGTTTTATAGCACAGAATGATGTAGGAGTGGTCTAAAAGAGGATTTAACAATTAGACTCGTCATAAATTGAGGTATAAGCAAAGTAATTTTTTAATAATATTGTTTTATTTAATTTTTTGATTTCTATTAATAGAATTAATGGCAAGTGATCATAAGAGAAGCTGTTTAATTTGCTTTTAAACTCATTTTTTTTGAAGAATTCATAAAATTTTATAGATTTAATACTACCTATCAAACTTTTTATTTTAAATTTTATTTGATTAAATTTTGTATCTTTTTAAATGTGTGAATCTAAATTATGTGGTATTAATTAAATTATAAAATAGTTTATTATTGCAAATTTGATTTTTTTTTAAGCAAAAACTAATCTAAAATAAGTTATTTTTTTTAAATAAAAATTAATAAAAAATATTTATTCTATTTTTATCTAACTAAATTAATTAAATATTTAAAGTTTAATTTTTTTAAAATGTAAAATTTCAACAATTTTATTTTATTATTGAACTGACTGAATATTTTTGTACTCATATTTTTTTATTTAAAAATCTTAAATTAAAAAACAAATATTAAAGACAAATAATTAAATCTATCTAGATCTTTTGTGCAAAATTTGATTTTATGTCAAAATAAAGAAAACCTTTAAATTTAGAATAAACATCTTAATTTTATATCCCAAAATATTATTTAGAAATTTAAAAGACAGACATCTTATAAATTATAAATATTTTAAACGACAAAATCTGAATAAAAAATTTTTTAATTTTCATTCTAAAATGAATGAAAATTTTTTTCTTATAAAGATAATGAAATATTTTAAATAGTTTTTTTTTGAGTTTTATTGAATTCTAAATAGTTTTCTATCAAATGGTTCTTAAAAGCATAATTCTAAAGTATTTATATCCCCAACCCATAAATTTGCTTAAATTCAATACTTTAGAAAATAATAAATTATTTGATAAAATAGGTCATCATAATATTTAAAGAATGTTATCATATCAAAAACTCTTTAAAAGTTAATAAATTTTTAGAATAACTATTTTTTTCATGTTTTGAAAAAAATGAACTATCCATGGTTACTGAATTTATTTTCATTAACTAAAGTAATCAAAACTTCTAGAATAGCTAAACAATATTTTTAATTTAATAAAGAAAAAATTTAGAAAAATCCATAATCAGATTTTATTATATTTGATATTGTAATTAAAAACTCTTAACTAAGTAAACAAATTTTGTTGCATAAGTTAGTTACTCGCTTTTAAAAGCCTGCCTTATTTTTTAATTCAGCTAAACAAAAAAATAAATAAAACCTTCATTAAAATCATAAGTGAAAAATATTATTTGATAAATAAATTATTCACTTATTAGAAGATATATTAAAGGATAAAAAATATTTTAATTTATTTTTGTATTTTATTTTAATCTCTTTAAGTTAGAAAATTTAAAATTAACATATATTCATTAATTAGTTAACTAATAATTATAATATAAATTTTATATATATTTTAAATATGTTACAGATACACAAAAGTAAAAAAAATATTAACTCTATAATCATAAATATTATAATGAAAACCACCAAAAATTTGAAAAAATATTGAATATATTTGAACGCTTATTATTCTATATATTTATATAATATTTTAATTTATTAATTTTATTGAGCGTACCCTTTACACACTTTTTCATAAATAATTTAATTTATTTTTTACCTTTTAAATTAAGCATAATCCAGGTATTAAAATATAATGTTATCTATTTCATCATATTTTAATACCTGGATTAGCAATATCTTAATCAGATAAGATCAGAAAATAAAATAAATAAATATCTTTTAATTATTATCAAATATCGTTAAAAAAAAAAATAGAACAGAAATCATTAAATTTATAAATTGTATTCAATATTAATTTTTAATAATCATTAATTCTCTTCTTGTGTTCTTTTTAAGTCCAAATGCTTTAACATCCAATCCAGGCATAGGCTTGTTTCCTAATATTTGGTCTATTTCTTTGTTCACTTCAGGTGTTATTTTTTTGATAACTTCCAATGATTTAACTATATCATCAAGCTATTCAGGTCTAGTAGCACTTGTGATTGCAGAAGAAACATCATGATTTGCAAGAACCCAAGCCATAGCTAATTATGATTAAGTGCATCCCAACTTCTTTGCTACATTTGCAAGGCCATTAAGGAGCTTTAATAACTTTTCTCTCTTATCTTCAGCAAAGAACTAATCATAAATTCTCTTCAAAAAGACATCATCTTTGAATTCTTATAATCTTGATCCAGCAGGAAGGGTTCCATCGTTATACTTTCCAGTCAAGATACCACTGCAGAGAGGACTCCAAACTGTAGCTCCTAATCTATAATTATCAAAGAGTCTTCCATATTCAACTTCAAATTTATCTCGAACCATCATACTATATTAAGGTTGTTCAGAAATAGGAGGAGTGAGATTTAATCTAGCACAAACTTCTCTGACTTCAAAGATCTCACTAGCTGTCCATTCTGAGGTTCCCCAGTAATGTATAAGTCCTTATTCGATTAAGTCGTTAAAGGCTTTAGCAGTTTCTTCTAAGGGAGTATCTTCATCAAATCTATGGCAAAAGACAATATCTAAGTAGTCTAATTGAAGTCTCTTTAAGCCAGCTTTCACTCCTTCGAAAATATGTTTACGAGATAAACCCATTTAGTTAACTTTTTAAATATCGGATGATGTAGGTGGAACTGCCCAGAAGATCTTAGAAGAGATGACTAATTCTTGTCTAGGAGCTCCAAGAGCTTTGAAGGCTTCTCCAAATTAGATTTCACCTTCTCCAAAGCCATAAACTTCAGCTGTATCAAAGAAATTGATTCCAAGACTGTAGGCTCTCTTAACGAGTTCAATCATTTTTTGTTATCTATCAGTAGTATTACTATTCAACCAGTTTCCGAAACCGATAGCAGAGACTTTAAGACCAGTGTTTCCCAAAAATCTATATTCCATTTATTTATTGATTTATGCTTATGTTTAGGTAAATGTTAGAGTAATTTTTTTTAATTTTTATAACTTAATTATTAATATCTATCTTTAATTGGTAAATAAATTCACTAATTTAAATAATGATTGATAAATTTCTAGAAGAATTGTTTAGAATGTAATATGTTTTAAGTTTTTATTTTCTTGTTTATAATATTATTTAGTTTATGATCAATAATTAATTTGATGCCAAAAGGTTTTTATTAGTTTGAAAAATTAATTTACAAATTAATTAGTTAGTTTAAAGGATTTCTGGAATAAAAAATCTTTCTTTAATAATTCTTTTTCGTTTGATTACATTTTTTTAAAAATTTGAATATGAGATTAAAATAATAAATTTGGCGAAGTAATAAATTAAAGTAATTAATTTGATGTCATAGTGATAAATTTTCTATTTCATAAACTAAAATTTCTTAAAAAGTTTTTATTATTATTTTTCTCAATATTTTTTGTTTTATCATTTAAAATACTATCTATCTATCATTCATACAAACTTTTTATTTTAAATTTTATTTGGATAAATTAAATATCTTTTTTATAAATATATATGAATATATATTATTGACATTAATGAAATTATATAATAATTTATCCATGTAAATTTGATTTTATTTTTTAAACAAAAACTAATCAAAAAAAATATGTTACTTTTTATACAAACTAATCAAATATGTTATTTTTTTTAAAAAGAAACTAATCAAAAAATAGTTTATTTTTTATAGTTTAATAAATAATAAAATAAGAAAGTAGAAAAAATATTTTTTAAAATAAAACAATTTCTTAACTAATTCAGATATTTTCGTCACTCATATTTATTTATTTTATTTTAAATCGCAAATAAAAAATACATCAGAGAGGTAAAAAATTCAATTTATTTTGCTAACATATTAACAAAATTTCAAAAATTTAAATTAATACTCAATTAATTATTTTTTTTTAATTATTGTTAGCCAATAAATTTATTATTTACTAATAAATATGATTTGTTCTTGTTATTAAAGTGTTATGATTTAATTTTTGAAAATATTTATTTTAAAAAATGAAGCTTTAAAAAACCTTAACATTAAATAAAAAAGACAATTTAAAAATTTCACAACAATTTTGTGATTTATAAGGTATCAGAATTTCAACAATCATAAATAATATTTTTAATCAGATATAATTCTGAACTTATTAGTTTCGATGGCAATATAAAATTCAAAATAAAATACTTATGTTTTATCAAAAATAAATAGAATAGAAAAGTTTAAAATTATTTTTAACTATTTTTATTTAGATAAACTTAGCTTTTATTTATTTATCTATAAAATAATTTATTATTAATTTCAATCAATCAAAATAGAATTTTATTGTAAAATAGTTTTTAAATCTTAACAATCAAATAATAAAGCACATTTAAAAAAATATATAGCATAAATGACTAATGAATATGAAGTTAAAATGATTTAAAATATAAATTAAACATTTCTAACAAAATTAAGTAAAATCAAATGTCAATATTAATTTTTAATAACATTAAATCTCTTCTTGTATTTTTTAAGTCCATATGTTTTATCATCTATTCCACACATAGACTTGTTACCTAAAATTGCATTTATTTCTTTGTTCACTTCAGGTGTTATTAATTTCACAACTTACACAGATTTAACTATGTCATCAAGTTATTCAGGTCTAGTAGCACTTGTGATTGCAGAAGAAACATCTGTATTTGCAAGAACCCAAGCCATAGCTAATTATGATTAAGTATATTTTAATATCATAGCAATGTTTCCTAGAGCATTAAGGAGCTTTAACAGTTTTTCTTTTTTGTCTTCAGCAAAATACTAACTATATATTCTTTTCATATAAAAGTTATCTTTAAACTCTTATAATCTTGATCCTGTAGGAATAGTGCCATCGTTATATTTGCCAGTTAAGATGCCGCTGCAGAGAGGAATCCAAATAGTAGTTCCTAATTTGTACTTGTCAAAGAGTCTTCCATATTCAACTTCAAATTTTTCTCTATAATAATATATTAAGGCTGTTCAGAAACAGGAGGGATAAGATTTAATCTAGCACAAATTTCTCTTTCTTACTTCTAAGATCTCACTAGCTGACCATTCTGAGGTTCCCCAGTAGTGAATAAGTCATTATTCGATTAAGTCGTTTAAAGCTTTAGTAGTTTCCTTTAAGGGAGTATCTTCATCAAATCTATGACAAAAGACTATATCTAAGTAGTCTAATTGAAATCTCTTTAAACCAGCTGACTTTCACTCCTTCAAGAATATGCTTGCGAGATAAACCAATTTAGTTAAATTTTTTAATATCAACCGAAGTTGGTGGAGCTACCCAGAAGATCTTAGAAGAAATGACTATTTCTTATCTTGGGGCTCCTAGAGCTTTGAAGGCTTCTCCAAATTAGATTTAGCCTTCACCTTAACTACAAGCTTCAGCTGTGTCAAAGAAGTTAATTCCAAGAGTGTAAGCTCTTTTTATGATTTCAATCATTTTTTACTTTCTATCAGAAGAATCACTATTTAACCAGTTTCCAAATTCAATAGCTGATACTTTGAGACCAGAATTTCCTAAAAATCTGTATTCCATTTATTAAAGATTTGTTAATTTATTTTTAATTTGATTTAATCTTACCCAAGTTTATTTGAAATTATTTAATCAAAGTAAAAACTAAAAATAATATTCTAGAAGACTAATTGAAGCTGTAAGAGACTAAGTTTATTCCAGTTTTAAAGCTCAAATAAGAAATTAAAAGTTGTTTACTAATAAACAAAAATGGATTATTTAAGATTAAAATATGTTAATTTAAATGAAATTTATTTACAGTTTAATAATGCAAAAGAGTAATAAAAAATTACTATTTTCATACATTAATTTCTATTTGAAATTAGACTAAAAAAACTAAATATAATTATTTATTAATCTAAGTTTGTTAAAATTAATAAAATATTTTAAAAATATTATGATAAAAGATTGATTATAAGAAAATTCAAAATTCAAATTTATTCTTCTATACTTGATTTGAATTTTAGTATATAAAATAAGGTTGGAAATAATTAATAAGCTAATTTTGATTTATTTACAAATATTTACTTTCGAAATTAATAAGTCTAATTTTTGCATTTACTTAGTATAATTATTTCTATACTTTGAATTATTTAACATAGATATTATCAAATAAATAATTTACACATATAAATAAAATTCATCAGTTTAGTTTTATTTTGTTTAAATTAATTATATTTCTTATTTTATCTTAAGTAACAATAAATAAATTTAATTAATCTTACTAAAATAAACAAATTTCTAGAAGAAAACTCTCAAAAATATTTACTTTAAATTTCTGATTATCAATCAACCAACAATTAATAATTATTATTCAATTACACAAACAAAAGATCTAATAATAAAAAACTCTAATATCTTTCTTTGCTAATTAAAAAATGGAATACAGATTCTTAGGTAACACTGGCATTAAAGTCTCTGCTATAGGACTTGGAAACTACTTAAACGGTGAAACTCCTGATAAAAGAGAAAAAATCATCTAAATTGTTAAAAAAGCTTACAGCTTGGGCATCAATTTTTTTGATACTGCTGAGTCTTACGGATATGGTGAGGGTGAATTATAGTATGGAGAAGCTTTCAAAGAGCTTGGAATTCCTAGAGAAGAATTAGTTGTTTCTTCTAAAATTTTTTGGGCAGTTACACCATTTACTTCTTAGATATAAAAAGTTAACTAAATTGGATTATCACGCAAACATATAATAGAAGGAGTTAAAGTTAGTTTGAAAAGACTTCAATTAGATTATTTAGACATAGTCTATTGCCATAGATTTGATGAAGACACTCCACTTGAAGAAACAATCAAAGCTTTCAACGACTTAATACAACAAGGTATACAAATTAATAACTTTATTTCTTTATTCTTTTATTATTAATATAATAATTAATTAAGGTCTTATACATTATTGGGGAACTTCTGAGTGGTCTTGTGGCTAAATTTTTGAAGCAAGAGAGATTTGTGCTAAATTAAATTTAACTCCTCCAGTTTGTGAATAGCCATAATATAACATGATGGTAAGGGAAAGATTCGAAGTAGAATATGGTAGGTTGTTTGACAAGTACAGAATGGGTTCTACAGTCTGGAGTCCTCTTTGTGCAGGTATTCTAACAGGAAAATACAATGATGGCAAATTTCCTTTAGGTTCTAGATTGAATGAATATAAAGATAGTATTCTTTTAAAAAGGATTTTTGATACTTATTTTGCTGAAGATAAAAAGGAAAATCTCTTAAAACTACTTAACGCCCTTGGTGAAGTGGCTAATAAAATAGGCTGCACATAAACATAATTAGCTATGGCTTGGGTTCTTGCAAATCGTGATGTCTCTACAGCAATCACAAGTGCTACTAAACCTGAGTAACTAGACGAAATAGTGAAGTCCTTGGAGGTAGTAAAAAAGTTAACCCCTGAAATAAATAAAGAAATTGATCAAATTTTACGAAATAAACCTTAAGTTGGAATTGACTACAAAACATACATGCCAAACAAGTCTGTTAGAAGAGACTAGAATATAGTCAAAAATTAATATTTTGATTAATGAATTAGATTATTTTAAATATAATCTTAGAATTGTTTAACATTAAATAATTAAAGAATGATATAATAAATATCAAAATTACATTTTTTATGTGAAAATTTTATTTAAAATAAAATATTTTAATACTAATAAATTAATTCTTATTTTTAGTTTAAGATTTCTGTTAAATTTAATTGTATTGTATTGTTGGTAAATAATTTGTTAGATTTTATTTAAAAATTTTCCTGTCTTCTTTTTAATTTGGATTAAAACTTTTCTTAGAATTTTAGTAAAAAATCATGGTTTGTTTAAAAGAAAATAAAAAAAAATAAAAATAAATTAATAAATTATTTTTTGAATAATGAAATAAAATTAAGAAAAATAAATTAATTAAATTATTTTCAAATTAATTTAAATAAGATTAAGGGAAAAAAAATTAAAGAATTAATTTAAGATAAATTTTAGAAAAATAATTTTTTTCTAAATTTGAAAGAAATAATTACAAATATATTTTAATCTAAGTAATAAAAAAAGATATTAAATTGTTAGATTAAATTTCTGTCAATAATTAAATTGAAAATTTGATCAAAATGGTGCGTATTAATACAGAAATTGAAAGATATAAATAATATTATCTAATAAATTGATTGGGAGATAAAAACATTGAATATGCTTTAATTTTAAATGTTCTTTGTTAGTTTTTACATTTGTGTAGAGAGGAAAATAATTAAAATTTCATCAGATTACTTTTTGCTTTACAAATGTATTAGTGTATTTCATTTAATATTAATTGAAAGAGCATGCTTATCCTTATCCTATATGTTAAGTTCAAAGTGGATAGTTTTTAAAATTAACTTTACAAGCAAATGTAGTCAAATTATAAAAAATTAATAATGTTTTTGATGTTGATTTCCTTTTAAAAATCTATAAACATTAATTTCTTTTCAGTTCAAACGATTTATTTGTAAATTCATCAAAACTAATAATATAAAAAAGCAAATAAATAAATAAAACCAAATCAAATCAAATCAAACAAAACAAAAGCAAATAAGTTTAGTAAGTAGATATCTAAATATCCTATAAATGAAGGAGATTAAACAAGTTGAATATAATCAAGAGCTTCCAAAATTTGAAAAGCTAAGCGAAGAAACATAAAGCGATGACAAGGCTGTTCATCTTTGCATGCACTAAATGTGTACTGATGTGCCATATAATGCGAATAAGAAGAATAAAAGTGTTGCATATTTAGGTAGTTTTGATGAGGCACCCGATTATATGAAGGATAACGCCTACATACTTACAGGCTACAGAATTAACTTTAATACATATAAAAAATCACTTTAGTCAGCATTTATGTTTTCTAATAACGAATTCAGTAATATTTGGAGTCATTTTATTGGAATTATCATTTCTGTCTGCTTAATTATTACTGTGTCTAGCTTTATAGCACAGAATGATGTAGGAGTGATTTAAAAGACGATTTAACAATTAGACAATATTTACAACAGCTACGAGTCATAAATTGAGGTGTAAGCTAAGTAATTATTTAAGAATATTGATTGTATTTAATATTTTTGATTTGTATTAATAGAATTAATGGCAAGTCTTCATAAGAGAAACTGTTTAATTCGCTTTTAAACTCATTTGAAGAAAAAGATAAGTAAACTGATTCATTTAAACAGTTTTTAAATTTTTTGGTTTTTGATGAATTACAAACAAAAAGTTATTTTAACTTGTTTTATTTTAATTGTATAGCTACTTAAAATAGATTCAAGTCTTTGAGCACATTCTCTAAGAAGTGTCAAATTTATCAAAGAAAACTCCTATTTCATAACAATAAAAATAAAGGATAGACTAGGTCTATTTCTCTTTGAAAACTAAAATTACCAAACAAGTATTGAATTAATTAATTAATTAATCTACTTATTATTTGTTCTTCTAGATCAAATATTTACTTTTATAATATTATTCTTCTTTATTAAATAAATGTAGTTACAAACAGATAATCTTGATTGGGTCGATGTTTACAAGGTAAAACAAACAAATAATTTAAAGATATTAAGCTTTTTGTGAAGTTTAAAAGATGCTTTTACTTAATAAAAATTAAATTTTTTTAAAATCTCTTTTGTGATTTTGTTTTAAAATGAAGATTTTAGTTAATATTTTTACCTAAAATAAATATTTTTGCACCATATTTTTGGTATTTATAAGAAATTTTAACAAAAAAAAAGAAGTCTATAAGTAATTAAAGATTGAGAGAATAAATCAATAGTTAAATACTATTAATTGCTTTTAGTTCTAATCTATTAAAGAATAATTTAAAATCCAAATAGAAAAAATGAATGCATCAATTAAGACGTCATACTGATTTCAAACAATAACTTTATTTAATTTATCAAAAGATATTTGGGATCAATAGATCAGAAGTAAAAGAACGCAGAGTTTCAGATCCAAGACAGATATCTAAATGGCCAGTTTTCTTTTACCTTTTGAGTTCTATCGGCTGCTTCTCTGGTAGTGTGCTATATCATACTTTCAATTCTATGAATAAAAAATTGCATTACTTCTTACTTAGATTAGACTACGCAGGTATTTGCTTTGTACTTTTAGGTGGCAGTGTTCCTGTTATTTATTATGGCTTCTACTGTGATTCTGCATTGCTTTATTTCTATTTATTATTAGTTATTTTCTTCTGTACTTCTGTTTTTATCATTTCTCTATTCGATTTCGTTCATTCACAAAAATATAGAAAGCTTAAAGGAATGCTTTATGGTTCATTAGGCTTAGCAGTTTCAATCCCCCTTTTCCATCTTTTTTATAGATAGTAAATTTAATTTATTTATATTAAAATGATCACAATATTTCAATTTTACTTTAATTATAAAAAGCTAATTTTTCAATGATGAAGATAATGATTATCTTTCTTTGGCTCCTGCCATTCCTTATTACATATTATCTGGTTCCTCTTTATTAGGAGGACTTTGCATTTATTTAGCAAGATGTCCTGAGCGTTTCTCTCCAGGAAAATTTGATAGAATTGTAACCTTTATTTAAATTATTTTCTTAAACTAAAATATTTAAAAAATAACAATTTTAAATTCAAAAAAAAAACTATTTACTTTTGATTTTTAACAACTAGATACATACCATAAAATATTTAATTTAAAAACTAAATTAAGCATTTAAAATATAATTTATTTTTATTATTTTGATTAAATTTGGATTTAGATATTATTTTCAAATAAGTTTAATTAACTTAAAGACTAAAGTATATTAAATAAATTAAAATAAAATAGGGAAATTCACATAATCTCTGGCACATGTGCGTTGTTTCAGGGATCATTTTCGGGTATATGTTTGGATTAGAAAACTATTATTCTAGAAAATAAACTTTCTGTTATTTAAAATGAATATAAATTTATACAAAATAAATAAAAATCTAGCAATAAATAATCCAACTAATAATGAATAAATAAATAAATACATGCATACTACTATATTTAGATGTTACTTTGTTTGTTTGTAATTTTTTTTAATTTAATTTAATTTAATTTATAATTCTATTTTATAAATAAATAAATAAAATTTTAGTAGAATTCAATTTAGAAATTAAAAAACCTATTTTATTAATTAATTATTTATTTATTTGTTGATGGTTTAAAATTTATAATTTGTTACTTATTATCTGATGAAATTTATATCAGATAAAGGCTTGTTATTTGACTAAATTATAATTGAATTACAAAATGAATTTTAATAACAATAGAGATTTTTTCCTGATATATGCATTGACATTGATTTAATAGAGTATCATCATTTTTTGATAATGACTAAGATAATTAATTGATTAATATAAATTGTGAGATAGCATCATAAATAAGAAGATAATAATTGAAGGAAATCCTACAAAAATAACAATTTAATAAATATATATATTTCAAAAATCTTACTGAAATACAAAATTTTGCAGATAAATTAAATGATAAACGCTGATATTCAAACAGTTGAATACTCTTTCATCAAAATTCCTTATGAGAGTGCTGTGAGATGTACATGAATTTGACTTTTATATTTTGAAATCATTCTTTTTAACTAAAATTTTTTCTTGAAGAGAATTCTAATTTAATTCAAAACTATTATTGAAAAGCATTTAAATAATAGAGAAAATCCATAGAGAAAGAAATAAGTTCCATACTTAACTCAATTATTTAACTCAAAAAGTAAGAAAATTTCGATAAGGGCTAGGTCGAAATATAAATAGAATCTTTGATTTTAAGGCTAAAAGAGTTAAAGAAACAATTGAGTAATGATCAAAAGGAGAACAATAAAATTTATGACAGCTGCACTAAAAGAATTGAACACCTTAAGTCAATAACTCCAAATGTAAAAGAAAGTTAACTGGATTATCACAATTTAAGGACTAAGAGATTGATAGTCGAAGAACTTACAAGAAACGGGAATGTCCAAGTGGCCAAAAAACTTTGCAGTTCTTACCAAATTGAGGTATCAAATAGAATTTAGTTTTCAATCTTTCAGGAATATCGAGCAAGCAAGAAATTTGTTAAATTGATGATATTGTTATTTAATTAATTAATCAATTAAATAACAAGGATAGAAAATATATAAAAATCACATTTTATATTATTTTGGGAAGAGAGAATCAATATTTTTTAAAAATTAGAATGAAGAAAGCAATTAATTTTCACTGTTTGTTTTATAAATAAATTATTTAAACCAGCAAAAATCAAAGAAGAAATAAAAAAATTATAATTCAAATAAGAAATGTTGTTGCACATTTTATTTTAATTTATCGATTCATTATTTGCTAAATAAAAACAAACTCAAAAAATAAAAAATTTAAAATGAATGAAAGAATGATTAATTCAATCAACATTTGTTAAAAATAAATTTATTAAAATCATTTATTGAACATTTCTTAAATATAAATTTTAACAATTAATTATTAGGATTATTGCTAAATGGAGATAAATTTGATAGATCTATAAAACTAGATCATAAAAGATTTAACTGGTTAGCAAACTCAGTCTGCTATGGAGTGGTGTAAAGAGAATTCATCTAAATTGTAAAAGCTGAAAAATGATTTTGAGTTTAAGTTGATTTAACAGAGATTTATATAGCTTTTAAAGTAAAAAAAGAATATAGAAGCAATATAATATTTGAGAAAGTACTCAGAAAAGTACGCAAAAACACAATAAGGAGAAATCAATAAAATATGTATGTGCATAACTTATGAGAAAAAATAAGATATGGACGAAAAATACAAAAAGTACTTTGATGATAAAAGGTGGGATGATTTGGTTTTATAATTCAAAAATCTGTGCTTTGATATATATGGTATTCCATCCAATTCATAGTTTTCAACAACTCTTAGAGCAGGTATCTCATGTCTAAAGACTCTTAATTGCACTAATAAAAAATATTAATATCCCTATAAATGTCCAGTATGCAGTCCATATATTAACGAGGTACATTTTATTTGTCGAAGTAGTATTTTAAGTGAAATTATTTATTTTAAATAATAAATAGATGGTAGGAAATATTCCATTCACTCACAAAGTAACTTCTTCCTTAATTTGCAGAATAACTGGAGATGTGATGGATGAACATAACCCTCCTTACATAACGAAAGACAACGAAGTTTTTAGTGAAAGAGTATAATTTGAATTTCTCAATTTAATTAATTGTTAAAAATAATCTAAATTTTATAAAGGGAATAGAAAAAATGAAATAAGATAAGCAGAAAATTTGCCCAATTACAAAAAAAGAAATAAACTGGGATGATTGTAAGAAAATATTTTTATCTTGATATCAACTAAAAGCTAGCATTTCAATAAAGTATATCAAATATTAATTCAAAAATTTAATATAAATTAATCGAGAAAATAAAATTTCACAAAACTATATTCTATTTCAAAAGTACAAAGTAGCCAATAAATAATAAAAGAAAAGATTCATCCATTCATTCATCCATCCATAATAATAATAATATATTTTCTGTAAAAGTTAAAATATTCAATTTCAAAATAACTTACTTACAAGCGCTCAAAATAAATAAATACTTAATCCTATTTACCTAAATACATTTATATCTCCGACTTTACTTTATAGTATAAATTAAGTTTTTTAATATATTAAATATATTTTAATTAATAATTGTATTTACCCATATAAAATTGTTGCACAAATTTATATAAAATTTATTTTCGTTCAATTATTTTCAAATCAAAATTTTAAATTAAACTTTTTAGAACTCGCATTCATTTATTTAGTTTTAAAGCTATTTATTTAATATCACATTTTAAGCACAGAATAGTAAGACCATTAATATAAACTAATCAACTCAACTTACTTTTTTAAAAATTATATATTATTTAATTTCCTTGCTTTTATTTAACTAATTTATAAGAACTCAAAAGGCTTATTCTTATTTACCAACCAACCTACCTACATAAATAACTCCAACTTTACTTAAAAAATAAATAAGTTTTTTAATTTTTTTAAATAAATAATTGTATTTATCCATTTAAAATTGTTGCAAAAAATTATACTTTATAAAATTTATTTTCATTGAATAATTTTCATACTATTTATTAAATTAAACTTTTTAGAACTCATATTTATTTAGTTTTAAATCTATTTAATAACATATTTATAGCATATAATAATAAGACCATTAATTAATCAACTCAACTTGCTTTTTTAAATTATATTATTTCCTTCTTTTATTTAACTTATTTATAAGAGCTCAAAATACTTATTTCTGTTTATCTACCTACACATTGACTTTACTTAAATGTATAAATTAAGTTTTTTATATATTTAAATAAATGATTGTATTTATCTATGTAAAATTTATGAATAAAATTATATTTAATAAAATTTATTTTCATTGAATAATTTTCATATCAAGCTAATATTAAATTAAACTTTTTAGGACTCATATTTATTTAGTTTTAAATCTATTTAATAACACATTTTAAACACAGAATAATAAAGCATTAATATAAATTAAAATAACTCAGCTTGTTTTGTTTTTTTTAAATTTTTCAATTTCCTTGCTTTTATTTTAATAGTAAATATTATTTTTATGAAAAAATCTAAAATAAAGATGAAAAATTTAAGTAAACTGTTAAAAGAAATAAAAAGAATTGAATTTGGAAATACAGAGAGATATAAATAAATATATTTACATTAAAAAGTGTTAAAATAATTGATAGAATTAACTTCATAATAATCAGCTAACAATAATACTTCTTCTAGAATTAAAAGTATCAAAACAAACTTGCTTTTAAAAACCAATCGATCCAAATTTTTCTTGGTTATAAATATATAAATTTTTTTGCTTTCAAACTATTTAAATGATGCTTAATTAATTTTTGCTCAATTTTATCTTGATAATTTATTTGAGGAGTGTTTTTTATGTTAAAAATTTAATTTTATATAGAAACTGTTTAAATTAAATAAAGATTTTTATTTTGATTCTCAGTACAAAGTAATATTTTCATTCTTATATCCAAGAGATTTCAAATGTCCTAAGCATTCATCTATTTTTTATTAATTATTTTAATTTTTTTTCAATATATTTTTCTTTTACCTTAGAAGGTGTTAGAACCGGCAACTATTAAATGGAACTCTTAATCCACAGGAGGCATAAAATCAGAAACATGATGCTTTTGAAATTTACCCTTCATAACAGGAACACCGTCAGGAACCTTGTTCATTAAAAATAAAATTAGTAAAATATTTGAATTTATTCATTTACCTTTTCAAATAAAACACCAAGATGTATTTTTTTTTCTTCAGCATACCAAGTGAGTTCGTCTATGAACAATGACTCATCCTTTAACATTAAAAAACATAATTTACTAACTTAATTTGTGTTATATTAACATTAATTTACTAGGTTTGAATTAACATATAATATAGAGATATTAGTCTTATCACCATTTGTACTAATGCCTTCAATCAAGCTGAAAACTTTACTGATATGATAGCCTTAAACAATAATTCCTAAATAATCTACTTTCTTTTGAGTAACCTGACCTTAATTAAATCTTTTGAATAATTTTAATTGATGGTATTTTTGTTAAAAATTGACTCAATAAAGTTACATTTTAATTTTTCCAAATCCATCGTAGACAAATTTTTTATTTTAATCTGATTTAATAACTACTTCTTGCTTTTCCTAAATTAATTTACATATTTTACTATTAAAAATCTAATTTATTGCAAGGTAGAAGATTCTAATTTTGTGCTTCTAATTTGAATTATTTATTTATTTTACTTTAAGATTGCTGAAAAACTACTGTTCAGGGATTTATTCGTCCACTAAAACATCAACAATTGCTGGATCATCTATACGAGTGAGAGGGTGCACCTTAGCTATGTGATTTTCTTGCTGATTTCCAGGAACACTTTGTTAATTCAAAATAATTTATTAGAAATCATACAAAAATATTTAGAATATTCGATATTGCTTTGACAAAAATGAGATTTAAAATGAATGTACCCGATTTAAATATTTTCTCCTAGTTGAATTCCTAAAACCTTCCTTTCGTCATTCATCTCTATTGATAAATGTTATAAATTTTACCTTCAATTAGTAAAACCAAATATAGAAATTACTGAATCTGTATATTGAACTAGTAGGAGATATCTATTTTTTTATTAAAAATTGTGCTACTATTTGCTAGATTTATTCATTCAAAGCGCAGTGCTATGGTTTTATTTTAACTTAATTTTTATTAATAAGAAATTTAGGGTGAGTATATTATTAAGAATAGTAAATCAACATGGATTTGCTAATCCTAGCATGAGCCTTAATCTAAAAGGGAGGTAGTTCATTTAACTAAAATCTTATTTATATTCTTGTTTAATATTGCTGATTATTAAAAAAAGAAAGGTAAAACTTTATCTTATAAAAATATTCTTTAATTTTAGGTGAGCTATAAAAAAGATATGCAAAATCATGATAAATAAATACTAAGCAAGACTTCATTCATTCATTCCTTTCATTATGTAGTTAGTTGTTAATTTTATCAAATAGCTTGATCAAAAATTGAATTAAAATTAATTTCAATATCATTTTAAAAAAATAATTATGAGACAAAAAATTAAAATAAATTCTTAAAAAAGCAAAATTTAATTCAAATCTTCAATTTTTAAATTTAAGAAAAACATTTTTTTTTCTTTTGAATTTAAATGTTTTAAAGCTAAATGTTAAAAATAAATAACTTAAAAAATAAAAAAAATTAAAACCTCTATTTTAGATAAATTCAAAAATGCTAACTTTTTAAATAGTAGAATAAAGTGTATAATAATAATAATGAAAGATATTTATCAAATTAGCATGGTTATAAGGAGATAGAAACAAATAATATTTGATTTGAATAGTTTTAGATTAGTTAGATCGAGATTGTGTTAACATATAGCTAATAATAATAATATTGAAAAGGGGGAAAGAAAATTAATTAGTTAGGATGAGGATAGATAGATTGATAGATAGATAGATAAATAAATAATTAATAACTAGGAGCGAGTGAGTGAAAGGAGCGAGAGAGAGAGAGAGAGAGAGAAAGAAAGAAAGAAATAAGATTATATTTAAATTAAAAAGAGAGGAAGAGATATATAATTTTATATAAAGATAATTAAATTTCTTTATTATTTAATAAAAAAATATCGTAATTTTAGAATAATGTCTAGAAAGAATCCCCAGATTTATATTACCAACTTCTCCAGCAGAACCACTGAAGAAGATCTTAACTACGAGTTTAAGAGATTTGGTAAAATCCAAGATATCAACATGAAGCGTTCTTACGCCTTCATTGTAAGCAACATTCTTTAGAATTTCAACTGTCTCACTGCCAAATGATGTTTGTTATCTGTCTCCCTTACAAGATTTTAAATTTAAACAATGAATGATTGATTGATCACAGACAAAGAAATAAAAATTTATCATTTATTTAATTATGAAACAATCCCTATCAATTATAGTGATGCAACATCCCATCCCGCACACATACACACACACACATTGTTACATACAACACATGACAGCAATAGCAGCAATTAAACAGCAAATTTCTTTTCATTTTGAGATCACATAAGAAAGAAACAATGAATGAATGTTTGATCATCACAGAGATTTCGCAAAACACCCACAATTTCAACACAAGATTCACAATTTTTTTTGGTTCATTCGGATCATCACATACATTTCAAGAGCAGACAGATAGATCAACATACAACAAAGCATTATAAAAAGCAAGATTGCAGTTTTTTAATTCTATTTTCTACATTCTTATTTCTTAATTCTAATATATTTTACAATTAACAAAACAGACATATCACGATCACCACGACGCCGAAGATGCCGTTCGTAAGATGGACAAGGTAATTCATTCATTAACAAAATTTTTACTAAAAGCATTAATTATTTTAAAATGGCACAAAGTAAATTCAAAACTAATAATTGATATCAAGATAGATAAGAATCCTTAACTCTCTTTGTATTCAAAAATTTTTTAATTTGTTAATAAATAAATAACCCCGCCTTTTAAATAATCAATGAAGATGCTTGATTGATTTGTTTATTATTTTATATTTCTAAAGAAAGATTTAATTTTAATGAAAAGTATCAATAAACTAATAATTAATTCAAAGAAAGTATTAATGTTTTTTTTATATTGAATAGACCACTTTAAACGGAAAGACAATCGTTGTTGAACCCGCCGGTTTGAAAAAAACCCGTTCAAGAGGTCCTTAACCCGATGATAAATGCTACAGCTGTGGAAGAAGAGGTCACTGGTCAGAACACAATTATTAATTCGAATTCAGACTTTTTACATGAAAAAATAAAAAATAAAAATCTAATAAATTATAAACAAGTTGAAATATAAACGATTTTTGATGAAAATTTGTATGCTATAAATAGGGCTAACGAATGTGAAGAAAAAAAAAGAAGGTAGACATAATAATTAATATTCCATCAATATTAAGTTAATCATTTGTTCAATATAAAGATATAGAAGATCCTCGAGCAGAAGCAGCTCTCGCTCGAGATCCAGAAGGTAAATTAATTATTTTATTTATTTATTCAATGAATTTAAATTAAGCATTTTCCAACAAAACTCATCTCAGTCAGCTAGAATAGCAAATAGCAAATCTTTTTGAAACTCATAGCATCAAATAAAAGAAATCAAAAAATTATTAATTTTTAGCAATTTCATTTCAGCAGCAAGCACAATTAAGAAATCTTTAGCAAAATTCAAGTTAGCAAATGAATAGAAAATAATTAGGAAAATATAAGATTAAAAGCAATAATTAATGAATGAATTAATGCAAATAGCAAAAATAAAATTTAAAAAATAGTAATAGCACAAAAGCAACTTATTCATAATAAATATTACTAGATTTTTAATAGCAAATTTAAAAATTTTTGGAAACTGTTTAATTTGATTTAAAGGAATATAAATACTACATAAATATTAACCTTTTTTAAATATTTGAAAAATAAAATTTATTGTAGCAGAACAAGAAGAAGCAGCAGAAGGTAAACTTGAATTCTTTTTTTTATCAATTAACTCATTTTTTTTTAAAGAAAACACTCCAGAAGCAGCCCTTCTAACTCTAGAAGTAATAGCAGCCGCAGAAGCAGATCTCGCTCCGACTCTAAGTCTTCTTCTAAGTCAAAGTCCGATTCTCGTTCCAGATCTAAATCATCCAAGTCAAAGGAGAGTAAGTCTAAGTCAAGATCACCTTCCAAGGACAAGTAAAATATATTAATCCTAACCAAAAAATATCTAAATAATTTTATTAAAAATAGAAACTGAGGAAATAAATCCAATAAATATTGAGAAATATTTGTGAGGTATTAACTACCTACAATTAAACAGTGTTATAAGAAATATAAAAAGTATATAAAAAACAATTAAAAAAAAGATATCTTATGGACCTGAGCTGTTCGTTCATTTATCCCTCTTTACTTTATGTGTCGTCACACTTATTTTTTAATCTCTAGAAACTACAAAAGAGACTATTTTAAATTGTTTTTCTTTCAAATTGCCTTTTATATCATTCTATTTTACTTTTTTATATGATTTAATCTATTTCGAATTCTTCAAATTATTCATTTTTAAAATATTTTTTATTTAATAAATATCAAAAAAATAAAATAAAGAAAACAAACTCTTTAAATTCAATTTATTTTAATTTCGGATTTAAGATTTAAGAAGAGTTTTTGTAAATAAAATATAAAAAAATAATATTATAAAATTTAAATTTAGAATCAATAATTGGATAATGAATGAAAAATATTATAACTCCTATTTAGACATTATTTATTTGTGTTGATTTGTTGAAACATATTTTATGTTTTAGTTAAGTTTTAATTTTTAAGCTTTTTAGATGGTAAAAAAGCAAGTAATTACTCAGAAAAATTTTGGCTTGAGAAATATGGCATTTATATTTTAAATGAATGAGAAACAATCATATGGGTTCAAGCAAATAACCATAAATAATTACACTTTATTTGATTTTGCAGAAAGAACTGAATTAATACTATTAAAAATTATTTGATTGAATATTAAAATAAAAATAAAGAAGTCAAATAGCTCTTTTTGATAATTAAATAATAGTTTAAAATACCATTTTTAGTAGAATTATAACAAAACCATAAATCGGACACTTTTTATAAATAAAAAATTATTTTGGATTGTGATTTAAATGAGCAATTAAACTTAATAAGATGATAATGAGTATGTCTTTGAAAATCTTAACGAATATCAGGCATTTGTGAAAAATAATAAACGCACAAAATTGCACAATAAATCAACTGTTTCATGGCTTAAAACAAGATACTCCAATAAAACAAAAAAACATTATCTTTTGTTTCCAGAAGAGTTGATAGAAGATATGAAAATTCGTAAAATATTCAAAATATTTGATAAGGATGGCTCTCAAGCACTTGATTTAAAAGAAATGGTAGAAATGTTTCAAAAGTAAACAATTAATTATTGATTTTTGATATTGAGCACAAAATTGATTAATATTATCTCATGTATAAAACTTCATTTTTTAGTGAATTTTTATCACAAAAACCATTTATTTTGATCAATTTTTGTTTTATTGAGGAAGATTTTGATGGAAAATTATTTTATTTAAAAATTCTTAATTAATCTTGTATGGTAAGTTTTAAATCAAAGACCTTTTTACTTAAATAAAGGTATAATATCGAAATTGACAAGGAAGAACTCTAATAAATATATAATATTGTAGATAAAACTAAAGATAATGCATTAAATTACTTAGAATTTAAAGAATGTGCTATCTCCTAAGATGCTAATGCCATTTTCTCTAAAATGATTTCTAAAGTACGTACTTAAGAACAACAAAAAAAATCAGCAGAGGAAAGAAACATTTATTTACCTTAAAGATTCTCAGAAATGGTCACTTATCTTAGCTATAGAATTAATAGAGAGGATTTAGAAGATTATTTGAGAGAAAGAAATCACAGAATCAGTGAGAGATACGAAAAATATTTATAATTAATGAATTTAAATGGGCTTGATTCAGCTGGAGCAACTGCTCACGAAAACCAAATCAAAGATTAAAAAAAATTAGATAAGGTAACAAAAAATTAATGAAAATATAAATGACAGATATTAACTAATTCACTCTTTAAAAATTTTATTAAATTGTTTTATCAATTAGAATGAATCTCTTGCTTTTAAAATTCAAAAATATTTACTTTACTTTTTTCGAACATTTAAAATATTAATGGGGGTATGTATTATTTATTATAAAATCATTTAATTATTATTTTTATAAAAAAAAAAATAAATTTCATTTTATCAAAAATAATAAAATTTTAATTTCAATCCTCTACTAAAATAAGAAATTAATATTGAATTGTTTTAATATTTTAAAAGGCTAGTGATCTTGAGTAGAAAATTTTTGATAGGCAATCTAGTTCAGATTCAGATGGTGAATCTTTAGAAGCTGAAAAGTCTTTTAGAAATTAAATTAAAGAAGAGCAGTTAAAGAAACAATAAAAAGCATAATATAGACTATCTTAGGCTACAAATTCAGTCAACAGATCATAACCTCATTTGATGTCTACTTCTCCTAGACATGGCTCACTTTAAATAGAACTTTAGGCGTAAAACAGTAATTATTTTTTGCAGTCTTCTGTAGCTGGTGCTTAAACTTATGGAACTTAAGGAAGCAATTATAACAACTCAAACTCTTAGTTGGCAGCTTCTAGAGGTTCAATTAGGAACTCAAAAATTAGAACATAAGGGAAAAAGGAAATGGATGAGGAGTAAATTCACAACAAATTTACCAAATATGAAGCTTAGAGTCTATCTAAAAAGGCTCAGCTCAAAGGAAAGGATGATGCATAAAATTTATATACTGAAGTATCAAAATAATATGGTACACAAGAAAATTTTTACAAGACTTTCTAAAGCACTTAAAATTGGTAGAACGCTAACAATGATACTTAAGCTGGTTTAAAAAATAAAACATAATTATAAACTGATGAGACTGATTCATAATTAGGTAGTGTAGAAAACAAAAAGTCTGCTGAAAGAAGCAATTTATTACCTCTGTCAACAACATTTTAAAACCATAGAGGAGGAATAGGGAAATTCTTTGGAAGTAATGGCTAAGACTTCGAGAGCACTTAGAATTCTTAAAATATAAACAATAATATTTACGGAACAAGATAAAAATATTCAAACGATGACTTTAGACATACTGATTTCAAAGGATTTAATAATAAGAGTCATAATTAGCTAGGAACAATGAGGAGTGTCAGTTAATTTATGACCAGCAAGAATAAATTTAATAGCACTTTCTATACTCTTGGGAAGCGTCCTACAACAAATTAAAGCTAATTAAAAACTCTCGGGATAGATAAAAGCTCATTTAAAAGCATTTGCAATATAATGAATAAAACATTGTTGCAACTAGAGAATAAGAAAATTACAAACAATTTGTTTATAAAAACAGCTCCTTCGTCTACTAGATTTTCTTATAATAAGCAAAACTAGGAAAATAAAGTATAGAATATGAGCTAAAAACTATTGAATTAGAATATAGAGAATAATATAATAGATCCGAAACTAATGCAATCTATTTACAAACCTAACCAGATATAAGAATATTAAGAAAGAGAGAAATAATTGATAAATGAAATCAAACAAGATATTATGAATAAATTTTTAATGAACAATCAAGTTGCTGTGTCATTATTTGAAGATTTACAAAAATCAAATTAAAAACCATATTATAAAGTTAATCATTCTATCACAACAGAACAATCATTCTTAAAATAAAACAGGCTTCCTGAATTAGATATGATGAATAAAGTGTACGAAAAAGATAAGACACCTATTGGTAAACACATGAATAATTAACTTGACAGCAAATATTTAAAAAATTGAAATAAAAGTTAGTACATCTACCAAAAACCTTATGAAACTCATAAATATTAGCTTTCTTAAAGAAATTTTATCAACTAAATAAATATATTTTGTAAATTAAATTATTTTTCTTAGTATTTTATGAATTAAAATTATCTATAAATATAATTTTATATAAATAAAATAATAATCAAAAAATTTTTAATTAAATTATCTTATAATAAATATAGAGAAAAAATAAATTTAAGTTTTATTAACGTTCAATGACTATTTGATTTGTAATTTTTAAAATATTTATTTTTTATGTGCTTTAAATTAATATTTTATTTAACACGTTTTAAAAAATAAAGTAAATAAAAATTATAAAATTTATTAAATTTTAAAAAGAAAAAAAGGAATTATTAAAATAAGACTTAAAATAAATATGTCAATTTTTGTAAGTAATATTTTGAAGAAAAGAAAATAGTTCTTTGTAAAACTATTATATCGTTAAATTAATAATTACTAAAAAATAATAACTTTCAAAGATTTAATTTAGATAATTATTTAGGAAAGGATATTTAAAAAAAGCTTATAAATGGAATAATAATAAGTAGGTTAATTTAATAAAATTTGTAAATTACATGATGGCTATCAAGTAAAATATATTTAATTAGTAAATGATTCATCACAACAGCTTGATTTGTGCACTAAATGTGTTATTGATCTTAATATCGCAGGAAATAATCTTATGTTAGTAGAAGATTTATTAGATGCATGTAATAAAGATATAGTTTTGAATTGGCCTCCTTTAAAAAATAAGTAAATAACAAAATAATTTCAGAAATTATTTATGGAAAGGGAAGATACTTCTGAAAAAATAGCTACTTTTTTTGAAACATTTTAGAAAGATGTGTTGTAGAACATTTCTAAATTAAAAAAATAATTTTTTATATATTAAGAGTAAGAGAGTATTGAAGAAGAAAATATATTGAATAAATATGATTAAATAGCTGATAAACAAAAACTCTAATAGCTTTTTAAAAACTATTATAATAGTAATGATAATAATGGCGACGAATTAAGAAAGTTTATAGATGAAGTTTTCTAAAAATCTAATTAAAACGAAGAAATTTTATAAGATATTTTAGATAAACAGCTTTAGTTTTATGAATTAGAATTAGTTGATGAACTAAACAAATAGATGAATTAAATTATAAATAGTATAGGAGAGTGCATTATAGGTTATTACTAAAATTAAAATCGAAAACAAATAGTCAAACAGATGAAATTCAGATTGACTAGTTTAATCAAAAGTTTATTGGATATATTGAAAACTTATTAATGTTAGGATAAAGATATCTAAGAAGAAAAAAAAAATATTCAGATTAAATATCAAACATAAAAAAATTAAGCTGCTCAAGATTATGATAACTAGTAACTAAATACTTTATTTTATCAGTTGAAAGAAAGAGTTTAATTAGATTTCTAATAAATGGTCTTAATTTAATAAATGCTAAATGAAAATGAAAAAATTGAAGAGAATGAAAAAATGTAAAAGTTATTTTAATTAGTTTAAAATAATAACGATAAACAGTGTACATAATAAATTGTTTAGAATTACAAAAAATTAAAATATATTTAAGATTTCACATAATCTTGTGAATTTATAGAATCATAAAAACCTGAAAATTAAATCCTTACTTAATTTAGTAGAGATGAAAATTAAATTTTAAAGATAATCAATTTATCACAAACAGAAATAACTTAAGTTTATTATAATTAAATAATATAATCTAACTATGATTATATAATTAAAATTAGAATAACTCCTTTTAAAGGCTATGAAAAAAAATATAATTACATTATTGGACTTTAATAAAATTAAAATCAAGATTTTTTCTCACCTAATTATTTTTTGACTAATTTACCTAATAACTAATGCTAATATATGAAAGGTTTTAAAATAAATGATAATGAAATTAGCTTTGATACTAAAATGAGAGACTTAGAATTTAAAATAGATTAATAAAATAATTATATTTTAATTTATGATTTTCCAAATCATGATAACATATCAAAAATTAAAATTTATGATTTTGAATAAAAAACATTTTTTATAACCTTCTAGCATATAGAAACTATTGAAATTATAAGTTTTTAAAGAATTTAACATTTTAAACCAAAAGATTGAATGATTATTTCCAATAGTATCATTCACATATTAAATATTGCTTTATAATTGAATTTATATTATTGTTTTGTCTTGATATTTGAAAATGTATGTCTAAAATTATCATAAGTTTATATTCAATTTTAAGATTAATAAATAAAATATTTTTAAATCTTTCTGAAGGGGAGGGGAGTTTTTATAGATAGAATCTAAGTTAGATTGAATGAAAACGAAAGTTTCATTCATTACTTAATTGTCTTTATAGTATTGATCCTCCTTTCCCTCCCCCCTAAAAGAGTTAATAATTCACAGAATTAATAGCATAAAAAATTTTATCTTTAATTTATTGTTATATACATTATTATTTGTTTTTGTTTAGTTATTTAAAAATCTTTGAACCAAAAGTTTTTTTTTATTAATTTTTAAAAGAAAACTTAAAACATTTATTGAATTATTAATAATTTATAGTGAATGAATGAATGTATCAAATTATAAATATTTTTTGGTCATTCCTATCATTTTTTATAAAATCTGTTTAAGGTTTAGAAGATCTAAGTTTTTAAAATTTTTATTTGTAAATGAATAAACTACTTTTTAGAAAGAAAAGTAGAAATCAGAAACTACAAATTTTTAAATTAATTAATTCAACCAAATAAACAAGCATATTTGATTTTTTTGAAAATGAACTTAGTTAATATTTAGTAAAATTAACAAATTAGGAGATGTGCAACACACTAAAATTAAGAAATTGAATACATTAATCTTTTTTTATCACAAAAAGATTAAATTGATAAATTGGGACTCTGCTATAAATGTATTCCTGCCTTAGATATTCAGGGAGAATAATTAATTTTGTGTCAAGAAATGATTAAAGAATCTAGTGAAGATATTTTATAAAATTGGCCACCGATATATTAACCTAACTTGTTATAAGACTTATAATAATCTTATAAAAGACATTCATAAGAAAATGCATATGAAGATATCAATTAGTTCTTTAATGAGTTTTAAAATGAAATTGTTTCAAATATTTAAAGCATTAAAAAAACCATATTATCTTCATTAGATTAAAAATTCTTGAAAAAACAAGTAATAATCTAAAAATATAATGAAATAGCTCAAAAAGAAAAATTCTAAGCATTGTTTAAGGATTATTATTTCTAATAGAATTAAAGAGAGGAGGAATTTAGAAAATTCGTAGATGAATAATTTTAAAATAATGAAGAGATTACAGAAAAAATAAAAAATTTACTTAAAGAATGTAACTTTACTGAATACCCAAATTTATTTTTGTGGAATAAATTAAAAGATATGATCAATATCTTGATTTAATTAATAAGCTAATCGTTTGGTAAATTTGATGATACAATTTTTTAGAATTTATAGTAATTAGAATAAAAATTATTTTAGGTATTATCATAATTCAAATTAAATAACAATCAACAAGATAACGAAAATTATCTTTAAATTTGTAAACAAACCTTTAATATTAAAGCCTAATTTATTGATTTCACATCAGCTAAAACTTAATGTGAAAATAAAAACTAAGCAATTGAAAATATAGCTTAAATTCTATAAAATATAAAAAAAACATAAGATGAAATGAATTCTTTTTTACGAGTCAGTTAAAATTTAATAAATAAATCTTATTTTAAAGGTGGAGTCTATACTATAATAGATTTTAATAAAGATGGTCTTTTACAAATTACTAATCAATAACCATATGAGAATATATGTATTATAAATTCACACCCTATCCTACCATGTGCAAGTTATACAATCAAAATTAAATTTTAACCTTTTTAGTAAAGTGAAAAATTATTTTAAATTAGCTTAGGAGTAGTTAAAGACCATAATGAATATTATTTTAGTAATGGATTTGGAAATATTTAGTAAAAGGCTGTTAAAGGTAGCACATTTAATAATTCTAAAATTAGTTATAGTCCTAGTATGAGATAATTAATTATGTAAATTAATTTATAAAAAAAAGAATTTTAATTAGCAGACTTTCCACTTAGTTAAAATATCATTTAAGGATTAAGAGATAGTTTAAATTATGACATAAATAATTTAAATAATTTTTTTATTTTTTTTAAATTAAGTAAAATTTAGTTCATGGAAATTCTAGAATTTAAACAAGAGATTAATATAAGTAAATTATGAGCTTAATCAATAATTATTAATCTAATTTAAACAGAATTATTAATTTAAATTTTTATTTATTTTTTAGTGATTCATGTTTTCATATTTTTATTATTGAAGATATGAATGTTAATTATTTTTATTTTTTATATTAAAATCAAAAAATTTTTCAAAATAATTTTATTATGTAAAAATAATTGATTAAATTATATTTTTTAATAGGTAATTTTTATAAAATTATTCTCATAAGTTAATTAATTTTATTTTTATAAAATAATTTATTTATTTATTAATTTATTTGGCCGATTTTAGAAATTAAAATTTTATGATACTAAATTTAATATGAAATAGAATAAATTTTTTAAATTAAAATTTTAAAGTATTAAAAAGGATACATTCTTGAAGCAATATTAATTTTTTTTAATTTGTAGTTTATATAAATTTATTAAGATTTGTAGCATTTTTTTATTTTTCAAAGTTAATTAATTTGTATTTATAAAATAATCTATTTAATTTAAGGTATTTTTATATTTTTAATAAAAAACCATTGTTTTTAATTTATTTATTATTTTCCAGTAAAAATATGATAAAATCAAAAGCAAAAATATTCAAAATACCTTATAAATATCAAAAACTTTTTGAGGCAATTCAACTATTTTTAGTCTTTATAAATAACTAAAAAAGCTTAATAATTTTGTATTTGTTTTCCAATTAAAATAAAAGGTTTATTGAATAATATCATTAAAAATGAAAGAATTAAGTAAGTTTGTAAAATTCATATTTTGAATGCTCAAATAAAAATATTAGCCTCTTATTATTTATTTATTTAATTTAATTAAGAGAAAGTATCCATCCAGTATCTTTAATATTTAATAATTACTAATATTCATACGATTTTTTCTATTCTCTAATAAGTTGTGTGCAAAAAGGATCGAGGTTTGTTTTTATCTGAAATCTATTGATGAAAAATGTAAATAAAGATTTTGTAATCAACCAATTTAGTTTTTTGTGTGTGCAGTCAATTAAATTCTTTTTAACTAAATTAGCTATGATAAAATGAAAAGAAAAAATTTCTTAAACAAATTATATGTAAAATTCAATATAAAGATCAATTAATATTAATTATCATAAAAGATTTAGATGAAATTTCTTTACCACTAAAATTAAAGGGTTTCCAGTGTTGTTAGTTAAAAACTATAGTCTGTTTACAATTAATAATACATTATTTAATTAAAATAAAAGTCTATAGCAAATTATACAAAAAACAATTATTAATGTCGGTCTCGAACATAAACGTCTCTGACTCCAAAAAGAAGTATTATGAGAACCCTTATTTGATGCCAAATCATAAGCCTTCACAGTCATTTGGAAATGAGAAGAGTCGAAATTTGCAATTATCTTTAAATACTACAAGTGTTACAAAGCATTCAAATGGAATAAAAAAATAGGATAGTTTAATTAATATTATTAGCCATAGATCAAGTTGTGATAATGAAGATGAGTCTCCGTAGAGCTAAAAATAGTAGATTTACCAAATAGAAAAGTAGAAAGCTGAAAATAAAAATAAAATGATTGAGGATTTTAAAAATTTTATCATTAAATAGCATCAGTAGAAGAATACTAGCAGCAATAATTTAGACATATTTAGCAATGAAAACAAATCTAATACAATAAGCTATGCAAACTCCATTCTCGCTATCCCTTCGTTTCAAAAATTGAAGAGTTAGACATCCTTTAAAGTTAATGAACTTGATTCTAAAAATGGGAAAAATATAAAATTTTCAGAAGATACTAATACTGTCTAGACTCAAAACTCAGACACTATTCCTATTAAAAGAAAGCTTATGAGACAAAATACTATAACTTAAGCAATTAATAAGAAACTAAAAATAGTTCACAAAACACGAGACTAACTTTTTAATGAGAAACTTTAACTTTTTAAAGGAGTAAGTACTTATATTGAAACAAAGTAGTACCTTTAAAATCTGAATCTTTTGAACAAGAAGAATTTGATTTTTAATATGAAAAAGAATTAGCAATGGAACGAAGAATTTAATCAGATTAAAGAGAAATAAGAATTTAATGAAAGAAGTAAAATGTATGATAACTGCACTGATGAGGACAATGAAGAAGGAGAAGAAGACTAAGACAAGTCTTTTACTTCACAAAAAGACCAAACAATATCCAAAGAGGATTAAATTAGATAGAAATTTAATGTAGAAAATCCTAATTTTGATAAGAATGTTAATTTGCTACTAGATAGAGCACACAAACATGTAGTAGAATCAAAAAAGGTCAATCATACAAGATAAAATAAAAGTTTAAATGATATAGATTAAGAAAAAAACATGTTTAAGTATATAAGTGAAGTAATTTAAATGATAGATCCTCAAGAATTTTTAGACAACACTGATGAAAATTAATTTTATGAATGTTTAAAGGAAATTCTTCAAGAAAATAAGAAATTGGCTGAGCTAAAATAAGAAGCGAGAGAAGAAGATTAAATATTACTTGAGCAGTAAAAAAAGAAATATGAATATGAACTTTTGAATTAGTTATATAAAAACCCTTAACTTGTGGAGCATCTCAGCAGTGAATAAATACAAGAGTTTATAAATCTATAAATTAAATAAAAATTTGAACCTCAAGCAGCAAACTAAGAGCATAAAAGCATCACAGAAAAGCTATTAGGTGGTTTAAACATAGATTTGAAGCATACAAACTTAGATGCAAAAAGCCAATACCAAGAGTAAAAAATACTTTTCAAATATTAAAATTTTCAAACAATAATTTCATTAATTGATATTTTTTAATTACTTTAAATATTAATTAAAGAATTTCATTTTAAATTAAACAAATTGTAGATAAAAAAAATCAATTTAAATTTATTTTCTAAAATCTTGAAATAAATTGAATTAATCAATGAAAAATATATTGTTAAAACACAAAAAAAATTAGCTCAAATAAAAATTTATGAATGATTCTAAAAATAAAATTTGTAGAACTAAAAATATTATTTGAGTTCATTTAAATAATAAAAACTCAAGAAATTAATAAATCAATGAATTCTTATTTTAATTAATTGCTATTTTGCTTTAAATCTTCATTTAGCAAATATAATTTTTATTTAATAGCTCAAACATATTTTTTCAAGTATAAATATCTTTTTTTAAGATAGAGATTAGCTAAATAAATATATTTTGTGATTTAACAAAATATCAATAAATGAAAAAGATCATTACTTAATTGATTTTCATCTGAGTTATTTAAGATAATTTTTTACATTGATTTAATTTTTGTTTTGTTTATTAAGAAATATAGAAAGACTAAAATCTCTGTTTTATTATTTACAACAATTTTTAAAATTTATTTTTTTTTAAAAAAATTTCTTGATTGTTAAGATGTTCAATTGAAAAATTAATTTTTTTGATAATATAAATTAGATATGTTGAGAAGGCTACTCATATTTAGAAAACTTTAAAGAGACTTAATGAGAACATGTTTAAGTAGAAGTGGGCTAATGCTCTTATGAAAAGGAAATAGGAAAAAGAAAGAATGAGAAATTAGATTATAAAAAAAATACAAAATAATGAGATAGAGTTTAATAGAATAGATGTTTTATTTCCTTCTAAAAATAAAATGAAAAATGTAAAGAGCAAAGTAAATTCTAATTTAGAATATTCTAATGGAGGTTATATAGTAAGAAGCAATTCCATAGATGACTCTCCTAAATAAACAGTTCATGAGTTGTTTGATGAAAACATGCCCATCTAAAATAATTTAAATCATCAATCACACAGATCAGTTTAACAAGACAGCTAATCAAATTCTACTTTTACATGCTAAGGTAAAATTAGTTTTTTCATTGCTATGTTAATTTTTTATTTAAAAAAAAGAAGGAAAACAAGTTGGATTCTCCACAAGAGACATCATCACAACGTAATTTAATTTAATTTATTTTTTAAATGCAATTAAAATCTTTAAAAAAAAGTAATTCTTTAAGACTAATTGATTTTAAGGAACCGGATAATGGCAAGTAAAAGTAATAAAGCTATTATTATTAAACTCCATCTGGATATATTAGACAAGTTACTAAAGTAGATCTTACTGAAGAAGAGAAATAAAAAAAGTAAGAATTATTCGAAAAACAGCAGCTAAAAAAGCAATAAGAATAGCTAAAAAAAGAAGTTCTTTAAAACATAAATCACTTTAATGCTAAAAAGAGCAGTGCACCTTGTTTATCGAGCATGGAACTCCCAAAAATACAGTCAGGTTCTAATTTAAATATTCCTTAGTCTGCACTTAATTCTCCTAACACTTCAAAAAGTCTGAGCAATTATCATATGATAAAAGACTCTTATTAATCAAAAAAATAATAAATACCTTCAAAAGCATCATCTTTGTTAGCATCTCCTTCATACAAATAAACATAAACTCAAAGCAAATTTATAAAACTTGGAAACAACTAAAACAAAAAAAGCTAATCGAGCTAAAATATCTATTTTAATAAAATTAATAGCTTTCACAGCTAGATGTTTACTCCATAAAAGTTAAAAGATAAATAAAATAACGACAAAAATACAAAATCTACAATAATTAAATATCAATCATCACACACCTTAGATAGTTAGTTTGATGTATCTCCTTAAAAATCTTAGCTATTTAATATGTTAACTACAATTTAGTCTGAGAAGAAAATACAAAAAAAAGAAAACAAAGAACTTGAATAGCAAATTAATAAAATATAGAGCAATTCCTCATTAGACTTTACTAATTTAAATGGAAATTAAATAGGAAGTATGAAAGATATCCTAGACATTGATTTCTTGAAATTTTCTATGTAAAAAAACAGACACATCCATGATACTAATATAAAAAACTTCTTGAAACTAAATAACTGAAATAAAACTAAAAAATCTTATTTGTTTTCCTAATTTAAGAATAAATTTATTTATTTATTAATATTTTTGAACTTTTGTAATTATTATTTTATCAATCAATTTATTGAAATAAACATTCAAGCAAATAACTTAAAAAAAATGACTATTTTTGAAATAATTTATTTTATACTTAAATTTTAAAAATAAATCTCAATTTATTAAAAAAATATTCAATCAAAATAAATTTTAAAGAGAGTTTTTAAAAAAATAATTTATTTTTTTTTGAATCATTTTTAAAAATTTTACAAAAATAATTAATTGTAAATAAATTTTGATTTAAAAAATCAATTTATTTATAAAATATATTATTAATGATTTAATTTATATGTTGAAGTTAAATAAAAAAATTAAATTAGTTTATTTTTTAAGATATTTTAAATAATTTAATTTATTTGTTCGAGGTAATTAAATATTTATTTTTGTTTGGAAATATGTTTGCTAACATCAGAAAATACCTGAAAATAAATAAATAAATAAAAATATAATAAATTTTTTGATTTGAAATGGAATCATAAAAGTAAAGATTAGTCACTTATTTATGTGTTTAAATTGATCGTATTAAAAGTAGAAGAAAATACTGTGAGACAAAGACTTATAAAATGGATTAATGTTATAAAAAATAAATAGCGAGGATTTTATGATGGTAATAGTAATATTAGTGATTATGAAAAGAAAAAAAACATATTGAATAAATAAATAGATTATAAAATAAAATTTTTTGAAGAAATGAATTAATTGAAATAAAATGAAATGAAATGCTACTTGTGTGAAAGATAAAATTAAAAAATTATATCGTTATGATTAATTAGTAGGGTTTAATTAAATATTGCTTGATTTTGATACAAAATTAATAAATTTGTTATTAGGTTAAAAAGAATATAATAAATAAAACACAATAAATAACAAATAAACCAAATAAAGATATTATAAAATTTTATTCATAATTAATCTTTTAAAATGGCTCCTATAAATAATAAATCATAATAAAAGGGTAAACCACACCCAGCTAAGGGCGGTAGATAAAATCAATAAGACAAGCCCAAAAGAAAAGTTCCAGCTTGGGAAAACAAATTTAAAGATGAAATAGTAGATTATTTTGATGGTGCTCAAGACGCAGATGGTGAGCAAATGTTTAATAAAATGCCCATTCTTAAGGAAAACAACAGGGTTATGAAGCCATCCAAGAAAGCAAAAAATTTAAAATAAAAGAGTGACATTATAAATTCAGATGACGAGTTTGAAAGAATGATGATGGGAGGTTAGTCTAAAAAATTAAAATCTGCTGACGACGACATTTTCGGAGGAGAATCAGGCTTATTCACTGCTGGTGAATAGTCTTTCAGCAATTTCTTTATTTAAAATAAATATGCTTTACTTCAACTTGAAAAAGTCCCAGTCCTTGTAAAAATTTCTTTCTTTTACCATTTTAATTCTAACATTTTTCAAAATCAAAACTTACTCATTTCTACTTGTTTAAATAATAGAGATATTCTCCTGGAACTTAAGTTTTAACTGCTGTCAGCGAATATGGTTCAAACGGACAATATATGGTTGTTAACTTATCAAGAAATAAAAAGGCTTTCGTCACTGTTGCTGATGCTACAGAAGCAGTATGTTTTTATCTTATTTTTATGATAATTTTTTTAAAAAAATCGAATAGTTCTTGAATTTGCTGCATCTTCTACTTATTTGCAAAACAAAATAGGTCATGATGAATAACTATCATTTATCTATTATTGAATCAAAAATTTATATAAAATGCAACAGATTGAAATAGCTATTTCGTTTATTTAAAGATTTTAATATGAACAAAAATTTAAAGATTATACTTTTGTTCAATATTTAATTTAAATTTATTCATATAAAATTAGAGCAAGGAAGAAAATGATTTAAGAATTTATGATTAAGGTGAATATTTGATTGGTGAAATAGTTCCTAGCATTAAGGAAGGAAACATGAATGTTTCAATTAAGACTTCTAAGGTCAATAGCGGACTTTAAATTAGCGATATTCATTTAAATATGATTTTACCAGGTCTTGTTTCAAGCAAAGAAGACCACGGTGCCAAGATTGAATTCAATGGAGGCGAGAAGTACTTTGGCTTTTTATCAAAAGATGAAGCTAATAACTTTGAGGATTTAGAAGAAGGTAGAGTTTATATGTTCAGAGTTATTAAGAAAGAAGAAAAGAAGAGATTAGTTCATTTAAGTCAAAAGGTTTCTGATTAGGAAGGAAAGTTTGTTGTTAGCGGCGAAGTTGACATTGAAGATGGTGCCGATTTACATCACTTAGCTAAGCCTGGTAACCTTGTCAATGCTGTCATTTTAAAGGTTTTGAACAATGGTTTGATTGTTAGATTCCTCAAATAGTTTATTGGTTTTATTTTCGAAGATCATCTTGACAAGGAAATCTCGGCTTACAAAGAGAAAGAAAAGCTTTTAGCAAGAATTATAGCATCTGATTTCGACCAAAAGCAAATCAATTTATCAGTTAAAAAAGCTCATATTGACTTAAAGCCCTATGAAGATAATTCAATCGTTACTGGTGATGTTCTCACTGATGGCTTCGTAGTTACTAAAGCTTTATACGGTGGCTCTTATTTCGTTAAGCCAAATAATTCTAATATTTAATAATCATTCTTGCACAAGGCTCACATTGAAAAAGTAATTTCTATTTTTTGGAAAAAATTTTAATAAATATTTTTCTTAACGAGATTTTTCATAAATAAGCTTTTTTTTTTACAATAAATTAGGAAGAATTGAAAGAAGGTTAAACCTACACTGATGCAATTAAAATCAAAGAAATTAATTATTTCGAATAAATTCCCATTATCACTGCTAAGGGAGAATTAGTTAAGCGTGTAACAAACTGGAATGATCTAAGACCAGGCATGCAACTTAGTGCAAAAATCGATAAGATCATTTAAGGAGCCAATAATTAATATAAATTGAAAGTAGCAGTTAATGATAAAATGATAGGTTTAGTTGATTTTTACAATACTGCTGATATTCCCAAAGCTGGTCCTGTTCCTAAAAACTTGAAGGAAGGTAGAAAAATTAAGGTTAGAATTATGAGTGTTAATCCTTCTGATAAGACTCTTCGTTTTACCATCAAGCCTGCATTATTGAATGAAGAAGATGACAAAATTCTTAAAAATATCTCCAATGCCCAAGTCGGCGACTCCTACTTAGGTTTTATCTCCAGAAAAACTGAATATGGCTATATAGTTTAATTCTTTGGCGATGTCATTGGTTTACTCACTTTTAAGGACATAGAAGAAATTAACGGACACAGTCGTGATGAATACAAAGTTGGTTAAGTTATTAGAGTTTATATTGCCTTTGTTAATGCTGAATAAGGAAAGATTGGTCTCTCCATTTCTGAAAAAGGAGTTTCTCAATTATAAAAATAAAAGCTTTCATAGAACACCTCAAGAAAGACTTTGTTCGAATTCTAAGCAATCAATGAAAACGTTGAAAATATCTCTCACAATGTTGGAGATGTTTTGGAATATATTGTCGAAAACAATCAAGCTCTCTAAGACGTTTTGACTCTTTACCACAAGGAACACAGAGCCATTATTGCTATTGAGCACTTATCAGACTTTAGAAATCACTACTAATCTCTCAACTAATACTACAGAACTCTTCCTAACAAGGTAAATAAATTTAAGATTATAAAAGCTCTTATTAATTATATCAGAAAAAATTTAGCATTAATTTAACCTAGTTCAAAGCAAATAACTTTTAGCATCTAAAATAATGCGTTTAAATTACTTAAAAAATAAAAAATCTTGGAAATTTTAGAAATTTCTTATTTAAGAAATTCACTGAAAATGAAAAGATTTTTAAATTTTTATTAAAAATAAATAATTTTAATTTAAAGTTTTTTATGTTTAATGTTTTTAAAATTAATAAAATTAGGGTAATCAAGTAACAATTAAATGTAAAATTATTCATATCATGCCAAACAAGAATGTTATTGTCTCTGCTAAGCCTAGCATTTTGAGCAATATGAATCCCAATTCTTTAGAAAGTGTTAAGGCTAATAATATCTACACTGCTTACATTGATAGAGGTGCCCGTAAAGGTGTCTTGGTTAAGTTCAATGAAAGAGTTAAATTTTTCATTGGTAAGGAAAATTTGGATGAACACGCTGCATTCCAAACTTACGACAGTGTTTTAGTTTTTGTTAAAAATGTTGAAGGTGATAAAATCACTGCAAGCTTATAAAATGAAGCTGTTTTCAAGAAACAAGCCCACATTAACAGCTAATTCAACAGATTCATTGAATATTTTAATGACGAATACATGTTAAACAAGAAATTCACTTAAGGTGAACACAAAAAAACATGGAATAAATATAGAGTTGGTAACTACGTAAACACTACCATTGAACTTGTCAAAGAATTCGGTATTGTAGTTAAAGTTAACGATTCACCTTTAACAGGTTTAATTATGAACGAGCACGTTGCTAACACTAGAAGCACTTTGGCTGAAGGTCAAACTCTCCTTTGCAGAATCACAGACATTGATTTCGAAAAGCAAATGGTTGATGTTATTCCTAGTCCCATTGATGATAATACCAAGTTGACCACTCTCTTACAAAGCAACAACTTCAACTTAGACAAATTCCTTGAATTAGAAGTATTATTATTTCTTATTATAAATCCTTAAACAACTTTATTCAAAATTTTTTTAGCTTTCCTTCAATATTCAATAGTTCATTATTGATATTTAATTTTTAAAAATTTTTAATTAATAGAATAACGAAACTATTGATGCAACTGTCATTTGCTAGAAGGGCGAATACATTATTTGCTAGATCACCAAGGCTCCTAAAGTTTTTTGCTACGTTAACATGACTAACTTTAATAATCTTGAACACGAAGAAATGCTTTTCGGATAAAAAATCAAAAACCTTAAGTGTGTTAACAAAGAAATATTACAAAAGACTCATAAGAATGCTTAATCTACCAATATGGCTTTAAGAAGCAACTATATTCCTTTATTCGAATAATAGGTTAACTAACAAAATAAAGGAACAGCTATCGAAGAAAAGAGCGGAATTACTCTTAAACCTGGTATTAAGGTTGTTGGTAAAGTCCTTAAGACTGTTGGCTTCAATGTCTTTGTTTAACTCAAGGGTAAACTTTATGGAAAATTACATAAATCATAATGCCAAGATGCTGAATAATTTGCTTCTTTTAAGGAAGGCTAACAAATTGATTGCAAGATTCTCTATCTTAAGAAAGACAAATCTCTATAGATTGATTTAACTACTAAGTAGGCTCACATGAATAGCACATTACTTGAAGAAAGTGAAGTTTTATCTATGAGCATTGATAATTTCAGAGAAAACTGTGTTGGTTAAATTCACCGTGGTGTTGTAAAAAGCACAGATCCTTCTTCAATTCACCCTGTTTACATTGAATTATCCAACTATCATCATGGTTACTTCAGCGCTTTCGATCTCGACGCTGAAGATCTTAACTAAATTAAGAAGAAATACAAAAAGGGCTCCATAGTTGAATGCAGAATTGTTTCTTTATCTTCATCCAAAGAAAACGATCTCAAGCACATCTAACTTTCTCCTAAGTTATTGTCTGCTGATGAATCTGCTGAAAAGAAAGACTCTATCAAGGTTGGAGATCTCGTCACAGCTAAGATTGTTAAGAAAAACAACAATGGTTTCCGTGTTCAAATCAGCGATAATCTCTTCGGAAATGTTGATATTACTGAAATCTGCGATGAATGGATTGCTAATGCCTCTTCTTCCATTCAAATAAACTCTTTTGTTAAGGCTAGAGTTATTGCTGAAGAAGGTGATCACAAATATCTTTCTCTCCGTTCTTCAGTTACTAATGAATAAAACTGGAAAAACTCTTTAGGTCCCAATGGAACCACTATTAACTACAAAAAGTACTTCTCCGATAGCGAAAAGATTGGAGATCTCAGAAATAGAATTATTAAACTCGGTCCTGGTTCTATTAAGGTCGGTATGGTATTTGTTGGTTACATCAACTAAACTAACGATAAGGGTTGCTTTATTAAGATTGGTTAAGACACTGTTGTTAGAGCAAGCTTGAACGAATTAAGCGATGAACATATTGCTAAGCCTTAAACTCATTTCTACCAAAATAAGCTTGTTGTTGGTAGAATCATTTAAATTAAGGAAGATGGTAAAATTGAAGCTTCTCTTCGTGAATCTGTTATTAAATACGGTTACTCCATGGATGACAGCAAATTATAAGTTGGTGCTACCGTCTATGGTACTGTCGTTGGTCACTACTAAGGCAGAGCTTCCGTTTCAATAAGAGGATGCAAGTTTAGAGCTTCTCTTGATAAGGATGACACTGATTTGTAATATTTTATTTAAAAAATCATTATTTTTATTAATTTTTAATTTTAACGAATAGCACCGATGAAGAAAAAATGGGTTATGTTGAAAAACTTCTCCCTATTGGTTCTGCAGTGAAGGCTAAGGTTATTAAGTACGAAAAGGAGCCTAAGGTCAAGATTATTTTGAGCACTGAAAAGCTCGTCTTTGATAAGTACAGCAACGTTGAAGAAGCTGAAAAGGAAGAAAGTGAATAAAGCCATTTGGATCTCCTTATCAAATCCGTAGATGAAATCAATGTCACTGCAAAGGTTGCTGATGAAAAGACAACTGAAATTAAAATTACTAAAAACTATGCTCTTAACCAAGAAAATAAAACTGAATAAGATGAAGAAAAAATGGAAGAGGAAGACGAAGAATAGGAAGATGATGAAGACAACAAATCCGATTTAGATGAAGATGAAATATAAAATCTTATTGCTAATTAAGGAGTAGAATTCGAAGGATTTGAAGGTAACGAAGAAGCTGGTGATGATGATGAAGGTGAAGATGATGAAAGCATTTTGAGTGAACAAAGTTTACTCGATGAAGAATTCGGTGAAGAAGACATCATCTCTAACAAGAAGAAATCAAGAAGATAAAAAGAAATCATCAAGCGTAAAAAAGAAGAAGAAATCAGAGAATAAGAAAAGAAATTGATTGATGAAAACGCTTAACCCGAAAACAGAGATGACTACGAAAAACTCATCTTGAAGAATCCTAATAGTTCTTATGTTTGGATTTAATTCATTGCTTTCGTCATTGAAAAGGAAGGAATTCAAGCTGCTCGTGAAGTCACCGAAAGAGCTCTTAGAGTTATTAATTTCAAGAATGAAAATGAAAAATTAAACATTTGGACTGCTTATCTCAACTTAGAACACAACTTTGGTGAAGAAAAGGCTCTAGTTAAGGTTTTCGAAAGAGCTAAAGCTTCTTGCAAGCCCAAAGACGTCTACTTCAAGTTACTTGAAATCTACAGAAGAGATTCTAGCAAATACGAATTACTCTTCCAACTTTCAAAGGTAAAATACAAAAATTAATTTATTTGAATTAAATTTAATATATAAAAAAAAAGAATATGGTCACTAAATTTAAACACTCAAGCAAGTGCTGGATTGAACACGTTAAAAATGTCATTTTATACAGAGACAGCATGATTGAAAAGAAACAAGAAAATAAACTCAACTAAAGCCACGATCCCAAAGAAGTTTTAAAGAGAGCTTTGATTTGCTTAAAGAAGAAGAAACACATTATTGTCCTTTCTTAATATGCTAAAATCTAATATCAAAGCAAGCAAGCTGAAACAGGACGTACCACTTTTGAAGCTGTTGTAGCCAACTATCCTAAGAGGTAATTATAAAAATTAACTAACATATTCTTAATAAACTAATTAATTGTTTTTATTAATACAGAACTGATATCTGGAATGTTTACATCGATATGGAAATGAAGTATGGTACCTTAGAAAGCGCTAGAAACTTATTTGAACGTGTCATAACTATGTAATTCAAGCCCAGATAAATGAAATTCTTCTTCAAGAAATATCTCCAATTCGAAGCTACCAAAGGAACTACTGAAAGAGTTGAAGAAGTTAAATAAAAGGCTGCTGAATACGTCCAATCTCTTATTGGTTAAGATGAAGATAACGAACAAGAAGAAGAATAAAATGAAATGGATGTTGAAGAATAAAATGGTGATGAAGAAATTGAAAATATAGATGATGACATCGAAGACGAAGACGATGAATGAAAGAAAGAAACTTCTTAAAAGTGATAAAAGAAAATTTTTTCTTCCAATTGTGATTCATAAAATTAATTAATAGAATTAAATATCAAATAAACAAAAATGAATAAATCAATAAAAAATATAAACAAAAAATAATATTAAAGCTTTAGAAAAATAAAAAATATATTAATAAATAAATAAATAAAATATTTTAATTGTATTATATTATCAATCTATTCTTATTGTAAGTAATTATTGTCCTCAAAAATTACCTTTTCAAATTCAAATAAATATTAAATTTAATTTTTATTTCAAAACTTTTCTTCATTAATAAGAAAACAAAGTATTTAAATAAAAATATTCCTAATTGCTAAAATAAAAAAAACAAAAACCGATAATTTATTATTAATTTTGAAATAAAGATAAACAAATCAATAATAAATCTTGATTAACAAAATAAAATTTCATAAAAACTTATCATAAAAAAAATAAAATTATTTAGAAATTTAATTTATTAATATAAAATAATTTAATATATTATTTGAAAAAAATTTAAATTATCTTAATATTTAAATAACTCATTTCCAAAAATAAAGTTTCCATATTTAAAATCTTAGAATATAATTTACAAATGAATGTAACTCAAAAAAATATATTGATATCATTTAATTGTTTTTTTAATCAAAAAGAAAATATAACATCATATGAAATAATTTCTAAATAACAATGTATTTTGATTCAAACTACTGAATTATATTTATTATATTAAATATCTAAGTAAAAATACAGTAAAATAATAAGAAATTAATGAAAAATATGTTCTATTTACTAATTTTTAATTTAAGATGCAAAAACAAACTGCAATTTTTTATAATATTTGTCAAATTTTATTTTGATTAATATAAAAATAAATAGCAGAAATAAATGTGCTTCTTTAATGTAATTAATAATAATTAATCAAATTTTCCATTCAAACGATTACCAAATAATTTAAAAAATGGATAAATTTAATTTAATATATCTTAATATAATAAGAAGAATATAATATTAAATATGCATTTTTACTCTCTTTTAAAAAAAATTAATTAATTAAATCAATAAAAGAATAATTAAAAATAATTATGATTATTCCATTTCTAGAAATACATAAAAATAAATATTACCAGAAACAAATAATTTCATTATTACCCTATTTAAAAAATACATAATTCTAATCTAAGTATTTAATAAAAATTTTTAATATTAAAATCTATATCATATTTAAAATTAAAATTAATAAGTAGTGAAATTTTGAATATTATACAAAAATGATTCCTAAATAGATGCACTACTTGGAATCAATTGATATATGAATTTTATAATTAATATAATTATATGGTAACTTATGAGAACCTGTAAAATATTATTTTAAATTTAGATTTATTTTTTTATTTATTAAAAGAATATTTTATTCAGTTCAATCAATTTTGATAATTTATTTTTCTAAGTGATTCAGGAGAAATAATAAATAGAATTTTTTGAATTTGCCCTCTCAGATTCGAATCTGCTACTGTAGTTTTTTTTAATTTTTATGAATAAAAATCAATTTTATATTTGAAGAATTTTATTTAATTTATTTAGACTGCTTTTTCGAAGTTAAATGGAATCTCTTTACTATATTGCAGCATTATCTAATCTAGTAAAGTTATTTACATTATTTATCATATTGCTCTATTAATTAATTTTATTTTGTTTTATTTATTTCTTAAGAGCAAATTAGTTTGAATCGACTTGGCTGAATTGATTTGATTTTTAGCGGTTTGACGAAATTTATTCTTTAAGGTCAAATATTTTAGAATTTGAAATTCCCAAAGATTAAATTGGCAAAATTATTTTCGATTAAATACTTGAATTATTTGAGCTAACCATTTCTGGCTATTCTTCATCTAATTTTATTAATGATTGTATTTAAATGAGCTAATTTGAAGACTGTATTTGATTTTAACTAAACATATTTTAAAGACCATTCGTTTTAGTTAGATTTTAGATATTTTTTAACCCTTATTATAGTTAAATAACATTGAAAGTCTTTTCTTTTTTTTCTTATAACTTGTTTTTCTCAGCTAATTTTATTTATAGGAGATTGTTAAAACTATCTCCATTTACTACATCTTTGTATAGATTTCTAGCATTTATTGGTTTATAATTCTTAAAAAAGTCTAGTGTTTATTGATAATTTTTATATCTTTAAGACAGAATCAAGCTATCTACCTACTAAGAAATGTTTTTAGATTTCTTTAGAGTCTCTTAATCGATTCCAGTTGATTAAATTTTTATTATTTTGTGTTTAATTTCACTTCTGTGAGTACAAAAGTTATTACTACTATCCAAGGATACATATTAATCATTCTAATCTGTAATATGCTCGCTTTAACTTTTTTTTTATCTATTTGAATTTCTTAGATTTTTATTGAGATACCTTCTAGGGGAATACTCAAGCAGTTTTTCTTGGCTCAATTTTTCTAAATTTAGAATAGGCAGATTAAAGTTAAGTTTTAACTCTTGACCTTTCTTTTTTGGTGTTTTCACCTAAGCAAAAGAGCTTTGTTAAAATTAATCAACACTCCTAGGAGAGTTGAGTGTTTATAAACTTTATATTCGAGTAGGAATTTTTTCTATCTAAATCATTAATTTCTCGCTTTCTACACTGTTTAAAATATTATTTGAGTGAATTTATCTTTATGAATGTTGCATTTGTGTATCAGTTATTTCTTCGCTAAATTTAGAAGGTGTTTAAAAAGCCATTGATTTTTAATTAATTAAATTTTGAGAGAGCAAAGATCCTAAGCTTAAACTTCTTTTATTATGTGCCACATTTGGAGAATAAATTCTAATGGGAGAATTTTAATTCCTGATTGTTGGATCTTTCTGTTTGCTATTGTTTAAATATTCATTTAAGTCTAACTTAGATTTTGGTTTTTTATTAGCATCTAAATAAATTAAACTCTTATTTTCTTATTCTATTTTCATTCTGTCCTCCCACAAGTAAGACTTATATTAGCTGATATTTTCCTTTATCTATTTTTTCCTCATTTTCAGTAGCTGCTTTTTATTAAATGCCAAAGACTAAAATTCATATTTTTATTCAGGATCATCATATATTATTTATAAAAAATCTTTCTTCCTTATAAAATAAAGGATACCATCTATGCTATCACACTTTACACTAAAATTTCTATTTTTAAATTATAAAATCTCCTCTTCTCCAAACATTTATCCTTTAACTAAGCAAAACAACTATTTTCAAATTCAACAAAAATTATTTATTAAAAAATTTAATATATTTTTTATTAACCAAACAAAAAATTATTTTTACTTTTAAAATATTATCAATTTTTTCTTAAATCTTTTTGAATTTTATTACTTGAATAAAGGAAAGTAACTCTTTTTAATAATTTTGTAGTATTTTTAAATAGTAAAAATAAATTTACTTGTATTTGCTTTTTAGGTGAAGTATGCAATTAATTTTGTTTATTTGTTATAGTTTTTTCAAAAGATTATGTTTCATCGAAATTATCGACTTAGCCTTAAGAAAGATTCTTTTTATATTTAAAATGAGTAGTTTCTTCATTTTATTTGTCTACATCATTCAATCGCATAAATTGGTAAGAAGTAAAATTGCCTTCTTTTACTAAATAGCAACCTAGAGGTGCTTCTTTTTCTGAGTAAATTGTTTCCCCTTTTTTAAATTTTAAGACTAAAAAATTAAGAAAATAATTTTTAATCCTATTTTTGCTCCAGTGAGGAAATGAATGAGATATTTCCTACATTAATAAATGAGTCCTACTTTCATCAAATTTTTTAATAAATTGATTGTATTATTTCTTATCTAGACAAGCAAACTCGCAGTTTTCAGCTGCTATCAGATATAAATTACTCTTTTTTTGATATAATAAATCTAAATTTCCAAAGTGATAGCCAGGCTAATAAGTTTCTATCAGCGTTAAATTCTTTATATATTTTTCTTCAACTAACTCTCCTTCTTAAATATTTATTAATTCATCATCTTTAGAATTTACTAAATTTGTATCTAATTATTCTTATTGTAGCTCCTTTTCTTTTATTTCTTCCTAAGATTTACATTCTTCTTTTAGATTCACATAAACTCCTATCTTTCCACGAATCAAGAAATACATTCTTTTTAATGTTGTCCCTATTACAAAAAATTAAACATAAAATTATTTATTTTTCAAATTTACCTGAAGTTTGTATGCAAATATTTTCTTAGAACTTAGTATAAAATGCATTCTTTGCGCATTTAAGTATTACTTATGGACTTTCCTCATAAATATCTTTGTTATCTATGAATTCTTTAAAAAAATGAAATCTTTGAAACAATTGCGCTAATTCAGCTACTAAATCTTCAGATCTCTTTTTTTCTTGAATCTACAGCAAATCAATAAACCACTATTTAATCGAACAAATAAAAAAACTTGCAATAAAATCATTTTATTATTTTTAATTCTTTACTTAAATTTCTTTAGAATTTAACTCTATATCTCTACCACAATCTAACATTTTTTACCCTAAAATTTAGAGTCCTTTTAATAAAGTTAATCTAAATTATTTATCTGACTTGCGTTAGCGATTATTAGTATTTATCAAAAAAGTTAAAAATCAAAATTAAATCTTTGAGTTTTTTAACTATTATTTTATGTGATCAATATCAAATCTAATTACTGGAAATAAATTACTTGTTTTATTGAATAAGTATGTGACTTAATTATTAGATTTGAGTAAAGAATTAATTACTAATATATTTATAATTTATTTTCATAAAACTTAATATATTTTTGAATTTTAGTTTATGCAGTCAACAATTAAAACTTTAATGATACTCTTGAATACTAAATTTATCTAAGTTATTTTAATATATTTTTTTGAAATTCTTTATTTTTTGTTTTTAATTTTGTGAAGATATTTTCTTCTAAAATTTTTATAAATTGTATTGATTGTCAATAATTTTCAAGTGAAAAAAGGGAGTGATGAATGCCATAAGAGAAGGCTCCAAAAGTTGTGATCAATGATCCTTAAAAGTAGATTGGAAATTAATTAAATTTAAAAAATAACCCATAAATAATTTATCTCTTTTTAAATAACAAATACTTTTGTTTGTGATTGAATATAAATAATTCATTACCATTTATTTATAAAGTATTTCTTTAATTTTTGAATGGTTATTTTTATTTTACATGAAATTGAAATAATTCTAATTTAAATATTTTTAATTCATAAATTATGAAGAATTCTTGCTTAGTTTTGAGATTAAATAAATGTTTTCATAAAATATGAAATAAATATCTTTTATTTTTTTTATTATAAGCTTTTTATTAGTAATGTTCAACAATTTTTTTTAATCATTATAGGTATTTAACATATTTAAGGTATATGCTTATTTTAAAAATATTAAATTTAAAAAATTAATTTTTTTTATCAGTGTATAAGTGTATGAATAGAAAAAAATAATTAATAATCAATAGATTTAACTTTATTTTTGTTTAAAGAATAAGTAAGATCAGAAAAATTAATAAATTTTGCTTTAGATTTATTTTAAAAGATAAATGAATATTTATTTTGAAAACTATAATTTCTTTATTGTTTAATTTTGCAAAATTCTTATTCTAATTTTATTCATTAATTAATTTTAAAATAGCAAACATACACTTATTAAATTATCCTATTTAGGATTCTGATCTTTTATTGATTACTTTGTAATCAAAATTAGATTATTAAATATTTACATAATAGTTGATGGATCTGATTAAAATTTAAAATAAACTATTTTGATAATAGATCAATAAAATTTCTATTATATCTGAAAAACAACTCTAATATATTTCAATTTTTCTTACTAATTGTTTTCAAAAAAGAAATAAAATTATACTTTCACCATAAATTAAATAAATATAAAAAGTTTAGTTAGTATTTATGTGTTGAATAATTTTAATAAGTCATAAATTCATTTTAATTTAGTTTTAGAATAAAAAATTTAGACTTATTTATATTACTAATTTTGTTTATCTAATTTTTTATTAAGTATATACATGCATGATTAGAAAAAAATTATTAATAATGAGTACTTTAGTTTTGTTTAAAAGATAAAAGAATTTTGAATTTTGAAAACTATTAAATATTGTCAAATTTATTTCTTTATTGATTAATTTAATTTTGCCAAATTTTTTAATGAATTTTAGAATAGTATACTTACACATATTAAATTATCCTATTTATAATTCTCATTTTACATTGATTAGTTTATCATCAGAGCATTTTTAAATCAGTAGGTAGAAAAATTCTTTCTGCCTTACTATTTTTTTGCTTGACAAGTATTTCCCTTGGAGGGCTAATTTTTAAGATTTTTTAAAAATCATTTTTAACAAATTTGTATTATTTATAAATATTCAGAAAATATGGTGAAAATTTATGCTGGTGAGAATTTATGAGGATTTACTGTAACTGAAAGAATTAATTATATTTACTTCAGTGTTTATCAAGAGTTAATATTTTTTCTTTTGTATATATTTTGTATGTGTCTATACTAATTACTTTTTTTTATGAATGATAAGGTCCTTTTGATTTTTTAATTTCTAATCAAATTTGATTGGAAGAAATATTTTGATGAGATAAGGTTCTTTTGATTTTTTAATTTCTAATCAAATTTAATGAATGTATTAATTATTTTTGTTTCAGTATTTATCCAATCTTAATATTTTATCTTTAATAAAAAAAAATTCAAAATTTATCTTATTTAAAAACACACTACTAAAGTATTAATTAAGATATAATTTAATAAACAAAAACAACAATCACTAATAAAAGCTAAAAAGCTAGTTAATTAATTACAAAAACACCTAAGAGAAAATATCAAATTATGAAGACTCTCCAGATTGAGAAGATAAGAGAACTCATGATGAACCCCAATCAAATCAGAAATATGTCTGTCATAGCCCACGTTGATCATGGTAAGACTACTTTAACTGATTCTTTGTTAGCTAGAGCTGGTATCATCTCAGAAAGCAACGCTGGTAAAGCCTGCATGATGGATACTGACCCAAAAGAACAAAAAATGGGAATCACCATTAAGTCAACTGGAGTTTCCTTATACTATCAAAATACTGTGACCAAGTAGGAGAGTATCATTAATTTGATTGATTCTCCAGGTCATATTGACTTTTCTGGTGAAGTTACTGCTGCATTAAGAGTTACTGATGGAGCTCTTGTTGTGGTAGATGCTGTTGAAGGTGTTGCTGTTCAAACAGAAACAGTTCTAAGGCAGGCTTGCCAAGAACGAATACGACCCGTTCTTGTAATTAATAAGCTAGACAGACTATTTAGTGAGCTTAAGGATGATTATGAAAATATTTATCAGAGATTAGTAAAGATCATAGCAAAGGTTAATTCTATTTTGGAAATGCACGAAAATGACTCTATTAGAGGCTACACTTTAGATCCCTCACTTGGAAATGTTGCTTTCTCTTCTGGTAAACAGTGCTGGGGATTTACTTTAAAGACTTTTGCTAGAATTTACAGTCAAAAATTCTCAACAAAGGAAGAAACTTTAATGACTAAATTATGGGGAGACAACTACTTCAATCCTCAAACAAAATAATTCACCTCAGAGGTAATCAGCATTAATACCTAAAACAAGAAAGCTAGTCGCTCATTCATTGAATTCGTTTTAGTTCCTTTAGATAAGTACTATTCAGCCTCTTCAAACGCAGAAATTGAAACTCTTTCCAAGATGGTTGAAAAGCTCAACCTTTCTTCCATTCTAACTTCAGCTGAATTAGAAAGACTCAAATAGGTTGATGTTCAAGAGAGAATCAAGAGGTCTATGAGGGCTTGGTTACCCTTAGCCGATGCCATACTTGAAATGGTTTAAGATCATTTACCTTCACCAAAAGAGGCTATGAAATATCGTAGTTTGTATCTTTACGAAGGACCTGCTGGTGATGAGGCTTGTGCAGCAATGAGAGAATGTAATTCTGAGGGACCTCTCATGGTTTATATTTCAAAAATGGTTTAAACTGAAGATCTTGGTAGATTTTATGCTTTTGGTAGAGTATTCAGTGGCACAATATCTCAAGGCATGAAAGTCAGAGTCTAAGGTCCTGACTATAAACCTGGAAGCAAAGAAGATCTCTTTATCAAAACAATCTAGCATACATTTTTGATGATGGGTAAACAGCATGAGCCTATCGAATCAGTACCAGCTGGAGGTACCGTCCTCATCTTAGGTGTTGATAACGCTCTTACTAAAACAGGAACTCTTACAACTTCAGAAACAGCACATAATATCAGAAACATGAAGTACACGATTTCACCTATATTGAGAGTTGCTGTCAATACTCCTAACTAACAAGATCTTACACGTCTACTTGAAGGTCTTAAGATGCTTCAAAAATATGATCCTCTTGTTCAAGTAGAAGTTGAAGAAAATACAGGATCCTATGTTGTTGCTGGTAGTGGTGAATTGCATATTAAAATTTGCTTAGAAAAACTGAATGATTTCACCCACAACTCTATTAATATTGTTGCTTCTCAACCCACTGTATCTTACAGAGAAACAATAGCTGAAAAGAGCTCTTAAACTTGCCTAGCTAAGACTGAAAATAAGCTTAATCATCTGTATGGTACTTGCGAACCACTTGATGAAGAATTAGGATCAGCAATAGTGAGCAAAAAAATAAATATTAAAGACATTAACAACTAAAAAATGATTAACAGTTTGGTGAATGATTATTCTTGGGAAAGAGAAGATGCAAAGCGTATATGGTGCTTCGGTCCTCTAGAAAAGGAGTCCACTAATTGCATCGTAAACCAAACAGTTGGTATATAAGGTATGCCTGCAATTCAGCCTTCTATAATAACCGCCTTCGAATGGTGTACTAAGGAAGGTCTTTTGTGTGATGAGCCTCTTAGAAATATTCGCTTTAACATAATGGATGTAATAATACACGATGAACCTGCTCATCACAGAAGCAATCAAATAACCCCAGCAGCTAGAAGGCTATTTAAGGCTTGCTAATATGTGAGTGAACCTAAAATTTTGGAACCATTTTATTTATGCAACATTAAAACTCCAGATGAAAGGAAAGGACCTATATATGCATTCCTCAATAAATTCCTAGATAAGAGAAGAGGTTTAGTTTTAGGAGAAGAATATGATGATATATTTACCGTGATTCAAGCCTACATCCCTGTATCTGAAAGCTTTGGATTCGACCAAGCTATAAAGTCAGTCTCCTAAGGTATGGCAATGCCAGCTCTCTCATTCAGTCACTGGCAAGCAGTCTAGGGTAATCCACTCGACCCAGAATCAGAATCAGGTAAGATTGTTAATGAAATAAGAATAAGAAAAGGTTTGAATGCTAAAATACCAGAACTCAACTATTATCTTGATAAACTTTGATCTCTTAAATAATATTAGTTAATTATTTTGTCCTTATTTAAATATAATTTGTATAATTATTTGTTCTTTTTTATATTATAATGCAAGTAAATGAATTACCTAATAATTATAATTTATATACTTAAAAAGGAAATTTAAAATTAACTTATTATCCCTCTTCCTATTTAAAGATCGAATTTTTTTATTTATACAAACATATATCCTACGAATAAGATTATTATATAGAAGAGTTATTGATAAAATTATTATTAAATTCAGAGTTGTCAACGAATAGATAAAATTCGAATAATTTTGATAGAAATTTAACGAAATAAAGATAAATAAAATAAAGTTTTCACTAAAAATATTATATCTAGATTCTATTAGTTCATAAATTTAAAAAAATGGAAACTCGAAATTCTATTTGCTAATTTATTCAAAAATATTTTTTGGTAAAATTCGAGAAGAGGAATTATTTGTAAATTTATTCTTCATTCGTAGTTTGTTTTGAATTATTTTTCATTAATTCATAAAGAGTTAATTTGATTTTAATATATATCAATATTTAAAAGGTATTGATGATTTACTTGATAAATTTTTTTATTGTTTTAAATTTATAGGTCTATCCGAAATGATGGAAAGTACTATCAATACTAAAAAACTATTTATATATTTTCAGAAAGGTTCATTCAATAAAAAATTAAATAAAATGATAAACCCTACTGCTGAATATTATTGGAACTATTTAGAGTTTTTTATTACTATTTTAAATAAGTTTAAAACAAAAAGTACTTTACTATTAAAATATTCCCCTTCTCATACCTAATTTATATATATATATGATTGGTATTAATTGAAATCTTTTGTAATTAATTTAAAGCATGGTCTTAATTTAAAAAGATAGTATTTAAATATTTTTATGAATTAAAAAATACAAAAATGTGATTTTACTTAATTTCTCGTTAATTTTATCTATAATTTTTGTTTTATGTGAATATTAAATAAAAAAGTTTATGTTACTTCATAAAATGTTGTTAATATAGATTGTAAAACGAAAGCTAAAAATTGTGGTAGATAAAAAACTTTGAAGGAGGAATATGTACAAGACTTAGTTGATCATATCACAAAAATTTAATTTGCTACTAGAAAATCTTTAAAATAAAATAAAGATATTAACTAATTAGGCTTAACTGATCAGACATTGACTAATTATTTTAATTAAGTATGTTGCAAATAGAAAAAAAAAGACAAAATATTAAAGAAATTAAATAAATATTTTTAAATGATCACTTATCCTTGATAAGTTTGATGACAGTATTGACTAAAGCTAAAAGAACTTATTCAAATTAGAAATTAAATCAAAGATTTATAGCTCATCGTTGTTCACTACATTATAAATAACTTTCAAGAGAGGATTTTTTTCTACAGTAATAACAGTTTCGAAATCATCTATTAATTTATTGAGACTATTTTTGATTCTTGTACATACTGATAGAATTTCAGAATTTTAGATATGTTTGCTCTGGCTATTAATAAAAAACAAGATTATTATCTTTTATTCATTCATTTAAAAAAAAAAATTACTTTATCTCTCTACAATCTTAGAAGAAGCACCATTAAAGAAGCTGTAAATGCCAACTGAGCAAATATCTTCTTTACTAACAAGTCCTGAATCATTAAACTCAGATCTTAGGTCAGCATCAAACTCAAATGAAGCAACATTTTTTCTGAAGATAGGTTTTTAAATATGTTGAGATAGATTAGAACTTTTTTAAGCAAGTAATCTTTTACCAGTAGTTTATTCACCTTCTAAATTTGTTTAAGACTCACCAGTTTAAGTAGATTTGTTAAAAACAGAGTTATAAGTGTCTATAGCTTCGTCATATGTTTGAGAAAGAACACTCATACCACTAAAAGTAGAGGTAATTAAATTGATAAAGCTATTATCAGCTTCGCTTTCCTAGCTTACAAAAGATATCTTGCATTCAGAATTAATTCGTTTAGAATAGTAAAAATACAATCATATAGTATTAAAATTAATTTGTACCACTATTAAGGTCAAAATCAAACAACATTACTAACCACTTACAATAAAGGGAGTATAAATAAGCAATTTTATTTATTTTGATTTATTTTCAATTGTTCCAAATAATTAAAATGTTTATTAAATCGTTTTGAATATAAATATATTTTAGTTCTTTATTTAACCTTTTATTAATCAACTAAAAATAATTTTTAACTTATTTATTTGTTATTTTAAAAATATTTTTCAAAATTTTAAGATTGATTTTAGGTAATAAATTGCTTTTTAACATTATTACTAAAAAAGAATTCAATAAATAATATTATTTATATTGATATTCCTTATTCAAAAATCTAATATAAAACTAAAATATTTATTAATTATAGAATAGAATTTATTTATTTCCAATCTATCATCCTATTCAAGAAGAATTATTTATTATTATTCAAATCAAACTAAACTAGAAGTATTTTATTTCTATGAAGAAGAATTATTATTAATGCCATCAGAATTAATGAGATGATTTATTTTTTGAAATATAATCATTAATAATATACATCTTTTGTATTTATTTTGTTTGTGTATGTCTATTATCATAAATTAAATTAATTACTTTTTTAATGAATGTTAAGGTCCTTTTTTATTTATTGAAGCAATTAATTATGTTTATTTCAATATTTATCAAACCTCAATATTTATTTTTATCTTTTGTATTTAATTTGTGTGGGTATATACCTTAATTGAAAGAATTAATTATATTTGTTTCGGTATTTATCAAGTTTTAATATTTTTCCTTTCGTATATATTTTGTATGTTTCTATACCAAATAAAATTAAATTAATTACTTTTTTTTATGAATGATAAGGTCCTTATTATTTTTTAATTTCTATTCAAATTTAATTGAAAGAATTTATTATTATTTGCTTCGGTATTTATCAACTGTTGTTTTTTTTCCTTTTGTTTTTAATTTGTATTTGTCTATAAGAAATTAAATTAAATTAATTACTTTTTTTGATGAAAGATAAGGTCCTTTGTATTTTTTAATTTCTAATCAAATTTAATTGAAAGAATTAATTATTTTTGTTTCGGTATTTATCAAATCTTAATATTTTATCTTTAGTAAAAAAATATTCAAAATTTATTTTATTTAAAAGCACACTGCTAAAGTATTAAGTAAGATATAATTTAATAAACAAAAACAACAATCACTAATAAAAGCTAAAAAGCTAGTTAATTAATTACAAAAACACTTAAGAGAAAATATCAAATTATGAAAACTCTCTAGATTGAGAAGATAAGAGAACTCATGATGAACCCCAACCAAATCAGAAATATGTCTGTCATAGCCCACGTTGATCATGGTAAGACAACTTTAACTGATTCTTTGTTAGCTAGAGCTGGTATCATCTCAGAAAGCAACGCTGGTAAAGCCTGCATGATGGATACTGACCCAAAAGAACAAGAAATGGGAATCACCATTAAGTCAACTGGAGTTTCCTTATACTATCAAAATACTGTGACCAAGTAGGAGAGTATCATTAATTTGATTGATTCTCCAGGTCATATTGACTTTTCTGGTGAAGTTACTGCTGCATTAAGAGTTACTGATGGAGCTCTTGTTGTGGTAGATGCCGTTGAAGGTGTTGCTGTTCAAACAGAAACAGTTCTAAGGCAGGCTTGCCAAGAACGAATACGACCCGTTCTTGTAATTAATAAGCTAGACAGACTATTTAGTGAGCTTAAGGATGATTATGAAAATATTTATCAGAGATTAGTAAAGATCATAGCAAAGGTTAATTCTATTTTGGAAATGCACGAAAATGACTCTATTAGAGGCTACACTTTAGATCCCTCACTTGGAAATGTTGCTTTCTCTTCTGGTAAACAGTGCTGGGGATTTACTTTAAAGACTTTTGCTAGAATTTACAGTCAAAAATTCTCAACAAAGGAAGAAACTTTAATGACTAAATTATGGGGAGACAACTACTTCAATCCTCAAACAAAATAATTCACCTCAGAGGTAATCAGCATTAATACCTAAAACAAGAAAGCTAGTCGCTCATTCATTGAATTCGTTTTAGTTCCTTTAGATAAGTACTATTCAGCCTCTTCAAACGCAGAAATTGAAACTCTTTCCAAGATGGTTGAAAAGCTCAACCTTTCTTCCATTCTAACTTCAGCTGAATTAGAAAGACTCAAATAGGTTGATGTTCAAGAGAGAATCAAGAGGTCTATGAGGGCTTGGTTACCCTTAGCCGATGCCATACTTGAAATGGTTTAAGATCATTTACCTTCACCAAAAGAGGCTATGAAATATCGTAGTTTGTATCTTTACGAAGGACCTGCTGGTGATGAGGCTTGTGCAGCAATGAGAGAATGTAATTCTGAGGGACCTCTCATGGTTTATATTTCAAAAATGGTTTAAACTGAAGATCTTGGTAGATTTTATGCTTTTGGTAGAGTATTCAGTGGCACAATATCTCAAGGCATGAAAGTCAGAGTCTAAGGTCCTGACTATAAACCTGGAAGCAAAGAAGATCTCTTTATCAAAACAATCTAGCATACATTTTTGATGATGGGTAAACAGCATGAGCCTATCGAATCAGTACCAGCTGGAGGTACCGTCCTCATCTTAGGTGTTGATAACGCTCTTACTAAAACAGGAACTCTTACAACTTCAGAAACAGCACATAATATCAGAAACATGAAGTACACGATTTCACCTATATTGAGAGTTGCTGTCAATACTCCTAACTAACAAGATCTTACACGTCTACTTGAAGGTCTTAAGATGCTTCAAAAATATGATCCTCTTGTTCAAGTAGAAGTTGAAGAAAATACAGGTTCCTATGTTGTTGCTGGTGGTGGTGAATTGCATGTTCAAATTTGCTTAGAAAAACTCAATGATTTCACCCACAACTCTATTAATATTGTTGCTTCTCAACCCACTGTATCTTACAGAGAAACAATAGCTGAAAAGAGCTCTTAAACTTGCCTAGCTAAGACTGCAAATAAGCTTAATCGTCTGTATGGTACTTGCGAACCTCTTGATGAAGAATTAGGATCAGCAATAGTGAGCAATAAAATAAATATTCAAGAAATTAACAACTAAGAAACGATTAACAGTTTGGTGAATGATTATTCTTGGGAAAGAGAAGATGCAAAACGTATATGGTGCTTCGGTCCTCTAGAAAAGGAGTCCACTAATTGCATCGTAAACCAAACAGTTGGTATATAAGGTATGCCTGCAATTCAGCCTTCTATAATAACCGCCTTCGAATGGTGTACTAAGGAAGGTCTTTTGTGTGATGAGCCACTTAGAAATATTCGCTTTAACATAATGGATGCCGTAATACACGTTGACCCTGCTCATCACCGCAGCAATCAAATAACTCCAGCAGCTAGAAGGCTATTTAAGGCTTGCTAATACGTGAGTGAACCTAAAATTTTGGAACCCTTTTATTTATGCGATATTAAAATTCCAGATGAAAGCAAAGGACCTATATATGCAGTCCTAAACAAGAGAAGAGGTATAGTTGTAGGAGAAGAATATGAGGATACACTTTCTGTGATTCAAGCCCACATCCCTGTATCTGAAAGCTTTGGACTCGACCAAGCTCTAAAGTCAGCCACGTAAGGTAAGGCAATACCAGCTCTCTCATTCAGTCACTGGCAAGCAGTCTAGGGTAATCCACTTGACCCAGAATCGAAATCAGGTAAGATTGTTAATGAAATAAGAATAAGAAAAGGTTTGAATGCTAAAATACCAGAACTCAACAATTATCTTGATAAACTTTGATCTCTTAAATAATATTTTTTAATTATTTTGTCCTTTAAATATAATTTATATAATTATTTGTTGTTTTTTAATACTTAAATATTTAATTTACTCTTTTAACGAATTAAAAAAATTACTTTTAATTTATTTTTTTTATTTTCTTTTATAAAAAATTTCAATGATAAGTTTAACTAATTAGCTGTGTTTCATTTTATAAATTTAAGTATAATATTTATATTTTAAAAAATGCTTAAAATAAAGAAATGTGAACTCTACTTCATTGAAAAAACTTGAAAAATGTTACTCATCAAACCATTACTTATGATTCTAAAGTTCACATCCCACCAATTCCAACACGAACCATCCCTAGTCCATTTATTTTTAGTAAATAATCAATAATATCAAATACATATTTAAAAAAAACTAAAACTTCATAGATAAGTGAAATTATAACTTATTTCATTATAAAATAAATGGAAAAAAAAATAAACATTAAAATAACTCAATATACTAAAAGGGTAATATACAAATATAATAAACAAATATACCTATAAAATAAAACTACCTAAAATAGGTAGTTTAGGTAGTTTAGGTAGTTCAGGTAGTTCAGGTAGTTCAAGTAGAAAAAAAACTACCTAAAACAGGTAGTTTGAGTAAATAAAAATAAAATAAAAACAAACTACCTAAAACAGGTAGTTTAGGTAGTTCAAATAGAACTTCTATTAAATATATTAAAAATAAAGAAAATTAAAATATAATATTATTTTTAAGATGTATTCTGAGTGCATTTATATGTGCGAGTATTTCTATTCTATTCTACATCTATTTTATTGTTACTTTTTAAATATTCAAGAAAAAAAAAATATTCTTCAAGTTTATTAGAAAGAAAAAATAAGAAATGGCAAGATTAATAAATAATAAAAGTAAAATGGGAAAATAAAAAAAGGAGTTAAATTAACAAAGAAAAGAGATGAAGAAAAAAAAAAGCACAATTAAAAGAAAAATAAAAATAAAAATAAATAAATCAAATAAATTAAAAAGTTAATGTTTTAAATAATAATAATAATTAAAAATATCAGAATCCAAAATAAATAAACTCTTTTTACTTAAGGTTAAGTGTCAAATCTGAGAGACTAGTGCAATTTGCTAAAGCAAAACCTAAGTTTGATGCACCAATTGCATCAATTTAATTGCAACTTTAGAAATAGTGAAGAAAAAAATTTAATTTAATTATTAAGTTAATTAGAAAGAAAAAACAGAGAATAAATATTTAATAATAAAATTAAAAGATGAAAATAAAAAAATGAGTTAAATTAGCAAAGAAAAAAAACAAGCACTATAAAATAATCAAGTAAAAAACTATCTCATAAATTAAAAGTGATTTAATGTTTTAAATTAACTTTTATAATTGAAAATATCACAATCCAAAACAAATAAACTCTTTTTACTTAAGATTAAGTATCAAGTTTGAGAGATTAGTGCAATTTTTTAAAGCAGAACCTAAGGCTGATACACCTTCATTACCAATTTCATTTTTACTTTTTAAATATTGAAAAAAAAAAAAATTGTATAATTATTTAGTTAATTAGAAGAAAAAATGGATAAAAAAGATTAATCAAAAATATAAAAGCAAAAATTGAATAAAATGATGGGTTAAATTAACAAAGAAAGAAAAAGAAGAAAAAAGCACAATTAAAAGAAAAAGAAAAATAAATCAAATAAAAAGCTTTCAAATATTTTAAAAAATCTTTATTGTTTAAAATTAATTTTTATAATTAAAAATATCACAATCCAAAACAAATAAAATCTCTTTACAAAAGATCTAGTCTCAAATTTGAGAGATTAGTGCAATTTACTAAAGCAGAACCTAAGACTGATGCACAATTTGCACCAATTTAATTGAAACTTTTTTTATTAGTTAATTAGTAAGAATAAATAAGGGAAAAATATGAAATAATAAGATTAATTAATAATAAAAATAAAAATAAAAAATGAGTTAAATTAGCAAAAAAAGAAGAAAAAAAATCAAGGACAATAAAGAGAAACAGAAATCAAATAAAAAGCTATCAAATAAATTAAAAGAGCTTTGTTATTTTAAATTACTTTTTATAATTAAAAATATCATAACCAAAACAAATAAACTCTTTTTACTTAAGATTAAGTGTCAAATTTAACAGATTAGTGCAATTTGCTAAAGCAGATCCTAAGGCTGATACACCCTCATCACCAATTTAATTGGACCTTTTAAATATTGAAGAAAAAATAAATCATTAAATAGTTAATTAGAAAGTAAAAAGGAATATAAAAATTAATAATAAAATCTACAGGATAAAAGAAAAAAATGAATGAGTTAAATTAGCAAACAAAAAAGAAAAAAACAAGCATAATATAAAGAAAAACAAAATTTAAATTCAATTTTATAGTTAAAAATATCACAATACAAACAAATAAACTGAGTTTACCTAAGATAAGGTGCCAAATATGAGAGCTTAGAGCTATTTGCTAAAGTAGGACCTAAGCCTGATGCACTATTTTCACCAATTTAACTCGAACTTTTAAAATATTGAATAATTATGGAGTTAATTAGTAAAAAAAAATATGAAATAACAAGATTAACCAATTAATAGTAATAAAAGTAAAAGGTGAAAATAAAAAAATGTGTTAAATTAAAGAAAAAAGAAAAAAAAAAGTCCAATAAAAAATAAAAAGAAAAAGAAATTTAATAAAAAGCTACCAAATAAATTAAAATAATTCTATTGCTTTAAATTAATATTTATAATTTAAAATATGAAAATCCAAACAAGTAATTTTTTTTATCAATTAAAAGTACTAGTAGCAAAAAATGAAGATTAATAACATTAATATTGAAAAATGAATAATTAAAAATGGAAAATGAAAATTAAGTTGAAATGGCTAAAAAAATATTTTTATAAATGAAAATCAATGAAAAAAATGGGAATTTAAATTTGAAAAATAATAAATATTATGAATAAATTGAAAGTAAAATATATAAAAAATATTAATATTTATAAATTACATATACGCCAGATTAATATGGAGATCCTAATGAGATTAAAGTGAAGAGTTTAAAAACTTTTTTTATTAATATAAATTAATTTAAAGAATATTAATAAAAAAATTAATATTTACTTCTTCTAATGAATTATAATATTTAATCTCTTACATCATTTTTTTTTATTTCGAAGATATTGAATAGTAATTGATGGAATTTAATTAATTAATTATAAATGGATAGAAATAACTAATAAAATATAAAAACTATCAAATGTTAATTTGTAAATTTGCTTTTAAGAATAGATCATAGAAGTTAGTTTAAAATTAGTTATTTAATCTTAATATTTTTATTTAATAAGTTTACTTAAAAATATAGTAAGAATTAGAGATATATAGCTTGTCATGTGTTGAAATAATTCTATACAGTAATTAATGTTCTTAAATTTTATAAAAATAATTTTTATTTAGTAGATTTTTTTGTTTTAACCCAGTAATGATTGGAATCTTTATAACACCATATAATAGATGTCGGCAGGGAAAACTCAGGGGATTCAATAACTATTTGTCGAATTATAGGTTTTATTTTGTAAACTAATTTAAAATTATAATATTAGAGTATCAATTCCTTAGTTGAGCCTGTTTGTATGTATTTTGAGATTTTTATTTTCAAAAATTATATAAATTTATATTTTTCTCAAATTCTGTTCGTTCACCACCATTTACTTACAAAATCTATAAATACTTCATTTAGAGTAAATTTTTAATTAATATTAGCTCAAGTATAAAAATAATTAAGATATAGAAATTAAATATGTCTCACTTATGCTTTTAATCTATAATATCTTTCTTTCTATTAATAGTAAATTAATTACCTTAATTAAAAAAGGCAGCAATTTAGTAATATTAATTTACTGATTCATTATTCTATTTATATACTTAATTAATTAACTTGTAATAGTTCAAATAAATGGAAGATTATGATTTATTATTTATGCCAACAAATAATATTTTTTAAGCAGTAATAATTTTTTATATTTAAAAAATAAAACATATTATAAATATGGGTTTTTTAGGATATTAATTTAAAGAAGTTTGTTTCTATAAATAAATGTTTGTTTCTTGTTTATTTTAAGAAATGTTTAAGTATAGTAAAAAATGTAAAATATTGTAAAATAGAACTAACAATTTTTTAATGAATATTAATTTGCTAATTTAGTATAATTAATATGCTAATTTAGTATAATTAATATGCGATTTGATGTAATACATAGATACAAATTAATAACAAGCATAATTTTAATTAATACTGGAAAGATTTAGATTTTATTTCATTTTACTATGTAGACTTTTAGTTATTTAAACATAAAAATTAACAATTGAATTAAAAATAATATATAAAATAAAATAAAATATAAATAAGACAGACTGCTAAAAATTATTAAATATTTTTGAACTCTCAAGTTTTGCTATTAACCTTTAATAGATTTATTTCTATCAAAATCTTTAAAAATGAAACAAATCACACTTTCTAAACCTAAAGTAGAAAGTGACTTTAATAAACTAGCTCTAGTTATTATCTTTGCTTTATGCTTTTAAGGAATCACAGCTTAGGTACCAACACTAAAATTTATGTTGGACTCAAATGAATGCTCAGTTAATTATGGGTCAGGTCTATCAGCTCAAATTGAAAACTTAGTCTAATAATTGTATACTTGCGAAGAAGTAGCCTTAGATTTTGATTAAGATGATTAAAAACTGTATTAATTTGTTACCTTTCATCAAATTCAAAATCAATTTGAAAGTGCACCTGATGAGTTTAAGCTTTAGTATTAAAAGTCTAACTTGCCAGAATACTTTTTATATAAAGAATTTACTCATAAAGAATCCTCATGTGGTGATTATGAAATTCTTGGTATGCTTGGAAGTACATTTAATGATTGTTATTATTGTTTGGGAACAAAATAATGCACCAGAAAATCAGAAATAGTGGCATTAAATAGCGATTTAAATGTAAATAATTATTTTTTTATTCCTAATCTATATTTTGGCAATTAATTTTTAAAAAATAAAAAATGCCTATTCCAATCAATAAGCGAATAAAGCAATTATTTTGCTCTATAAAATTATTTAAAATAAATAAACAAATTAAATTTAAAATATTTTTTTTTAAATTATAAAGGAAACTAGTATTAACCATTCCTTCTCCATACAGGAAGCATATGTCGAAGTCTTTTAATTATTGTGGAATTGTAACAATCCAGATAATTAAATCGAAGTAACAGGTAAATAATTAACTAACTAATCTACTTTTAATCATCTTAAAAAAAAAAATTTGCATAAAAATTAAAATCTATTATTAGTATTTATTTTGACTTTGCTAGTTAAAAAAAATGTAGACAAGATTAAAGTTTGAAATTTATTTTATTTAGATTTTAAACTTACATGCAGTGTTTTAATTATTGAAAAATATATAAGCAAAAACATAATTTTAATTAAAAATTAATAGGATAATATGGCGAAATTACTGAAAAATAACTTTTAGAGACTAATAAAAATGGATTCGATAAAGTATGTTTTATGTGCAAAAGTTAAAATTGCAGTATTTGTACAAACGATCTGTCTTCATGTATTGAATGTGATGAAGGATATCATATGTAATAAGGAGGAGTTTGCATTACATGTCCTTTAGATAAATGTTCTCAATGTGATATGAGTATTTTTTTTGCTGTTTTTATATTTTCAGAAAATTTTAAATCAAATGTAGTTATTATAAAGTTTATTTATATGAGAGATTATGGTTATCTTATGAATTCATTAATCTATAAATAGTTTGATTATTTATTTTCCACGTAAAGTCTACAATTATAATCAATCTTACTTGATTAATTAGTACTTTAAGTGTAAAGTGGAGAAATAGGAATTTTATTAAACTTTATAGTACGACAACTTTAATTTCAAGAATAGTAAAAATAAAGTCTAAAAATAGATATATAAAAGAGAAAGAATATATTAATTAATTCTTTCTTTATTTAACCTTAAAAGATTTATATTAATTTATATTTCAATTTGCTATATAAAACAGAAAATGAATCTTTCACTTGTTAAGAATGTGAAGAAGGATTTTATTTACTTAATGGTGAGTGTGTTGATAAATGCCCTTCAAATTACAAAACTACATAAACATAATGTATTCAGTGTTAATAGGGTACTTTTGCTTAGGGAGATACATGTGAATAATGCTCAGAATTTTGTTAAGTATGCACAGGCCCTTCTTTTTTGCAATGCTCGTAATGCTATGAAGGATATAATTTTGAGTAATTTAATTTTTTTTACTAAAAGAATTTAAAATTTAATTTTTGTTAAAGAAATTTAATTATTCTAAAATATACATTTTTATATTATTAATTTCCTTTAATAAAATGTTCTAGTTAAAAAGAAGGCTGTATTATCTAAGATTTTGGTTTGACTCTTTCATTCAAACCAAAGACATTTATAGATCCTATAACAAATACTGAGAAAGGTGTTATTGATTATTATTAATTTATTTTTTAATTTATTCTAATTAATTATTAAAGAATGCAATTTTTCATGTGATGAATGCATTGACTCCTCTGATCTTTGTACATAATGCAACCCTAAATTAAATTACTTCATTAAAGTGTAAAAAGTTATTTACATTATTTTTTTTCATGTTCAATTTTTTGATTTTTGTTTATTTATGTTTGTTTAACTCATCAAATAATATAATAGAGATGATAGGTTTAGATGCTACAACAGATGCCCTCTTTACTTCGAACCTAGCTAGTCAACTGAAGATTAGTAAAATAAGTAAATTGAGTGCGTCAAAAGCGCAAGATACACATCTGATCTTGAAGAAGCAGATAAAATAAGAAGTGAAGCTAAAAACAGATGCCCTAAATAACAATACTGGTAGTTCTATAAATTTATTTTTAAACAATATTATAATTTATCTTAACTTTTATCTAAAAAAGGGATATCTTAAGAAAACAATGTTAGAAGTGCACTAATAATTGTATTTCTTGCAGCAATGACTCTTCTTGTCTTGAATGTGAACCTGATTATTACTGGAACGATGATCATAAAGCATGTTCTCCATGTCACCCATCTTGTAAAAAATGTACAGGTCCACTCTCTAATTAGTGTTTGCTTTGTGCTAGAGGAGAAAAATTATTCTCTAATGCTGATGGAGTTTGTGAAGAAGCTGTTTCTCACTTTTCACCATAGTAAAAAATTTTCTCTCAAAATGAAATTTATGGAGATTTGTAAGTTTGCAAGGAATTCTTAAACTAAAAGCCAAGCTATTCTGTAGAATTTTCATAAAAATTCTCAATTAGTGATAGTTAATGGGAAACTATTTAAATGATGCCTATAAAAACTTGCACATTTTAAGAATTCTAAAATCGCTACAAATATTTCTAAAAGAACAAATAAAATTGTGATGACAAAGAAATATCTTAATCTTCTGTTGGAAAAAATGGAGAATTGGTTGCTATTTACTCAATGCTCTTATCATAATCAAGAGCTTAAATTTCTTCAAATGAGGTTAATCCTTAAACATTAGTTGACTACGCTATTAGCAAAGACTTCTTTAGTTTTAGCTTTATTTTCAATCCAACTAAAACTTTCGATTGCAGTCATCTCTAATGTGTCTCTTAATTAGATAGTTTACTTTATGGTTTTTCTAAAAGTGATAACACAAAGGAAATCATTATAAAAACAGAAAAAGATATTATTCTTACTTCTGAAAAATAAACTCCATTAAATTGCTTCTAGAATGGCTAATAAGTTAACTAAAACACTGTTGAAGAAATCGAACAGATTGTAAATAGTTCATAATACACATTAAATACTGCTTCAAAGTAGTATTTTATATTGTACTTATGTGGAAAAAATTAGCTAGGTAACTTCTCTTAAAAGCCTTTGCTTGTGCAAAAATATTTGGGAAATGGCTTCTTTGAGGTAATTAATTTTATACTTTTTTCTTATTAAATTTTTAAAAAAAATAACTAAATAAATATACAATTCCAAATTAAATTAAAAAAAGGTGATAAATGTAAGTAATCCATTGTCTTCTTAAGTTGAGGTCATAAATTTATATGGTGCTTCAACCTAATAAAATAGTTATTTAAAAAATTGCAATACTTAGTTATCTAACTCTTTTACTTCATATAATGTCTAAAAAGTAAGAGTTATTTAAGTAATCGAATAAGATCGAGGCACTGATAAGTCAGAGTTGATGTTCTAATAATACAATAGTAAAGTTAGTTCAGCAAATACTATTCCAACTAAATGCTCTTGTCCTGAAACAAAAGAATACATACTTGGAAACGAAAACTAAGGCAGCTAATTTATCACAGTTATTACTCCTCAAAATAAGATTTTAACAGAGTCAATTAATGTCTAAGATATAAGCCACATTTTAAAGAAATATAACATAGATGCAGACATTATGAAGGCAAATCGTTTATCAATAACTAAAATAGAAGCTAATTTATTGTTCTAAGAATACATTGAAGAAACTATTGAAAGCGCAAAAAAATGCTATGGAATCAGCAACTCAACTCCCTTATGCATGATAAATATTTTAGCAGATCTTTTATTCTCTAGTAACTTTGAATGTTAGTTTTCTCAAGAAATAACAAGCATCATTAAGAAGTCTGATTTTAGAGGACTAAATAATTTTATTAAAAAATAAAATTGGTGTAATCTTCATTAAGAAAGATGTTTAAAAGCGCAACAAACCATGAAAAGTTGTATTTGAACTCTTATAATTGTCTGAAAAGTAGAAATAAATTGTTGAATTCAATTCAATTTATGTTATAAATTAATTAAATTATTTGTAAATTAATTTTATTTTTTTTGTATTTATTTAAATTTATTCATTATTTTAAAAGAATAAATCATTACTTGCACTAATTTTTATTTAATTTTTTACGTATGAAGTATTTTCCTATGTCATAAAATGAAATTTTTTATTAAACAATTTAAAAATAAATAAATAATAAATCATTTTTTACCTACTCTCTATATTTAAATAATAGACTTTTAGGTATATATTAATGAAAATAAAATTAAAAGAAATTATTGAGTTTAAATATTTATCTTTTATAATATAAATACAAATATGCAATATTTTAAAGTTTTATTATTAATTTTTTAAAATAAATGAAGAAGATATTATAACCAGGGTATTTTCGTCAGAAGCGTCAAAGATTTAAAATTTGACATAAATTTTTAAAATTAAAATTATTTTAATATTTATGATCCTTATAAAATAATCATCACTGAATTAAAATATCCTTATATTATAGAATTAACAGTAATTATAAATATAAAAATAATCTATTTTAGGTTTATTCATCAAATTACAAAATATAAAAAAATGAAATAAATAATATTATTCTAATATTTTTATATTTATTAGTTCTATTTTCACAACTTTTTATCACCAAGAACTTAATTACAAGATAACTAATCTTTTTGATTTGAGACACTTACTTTTTACTTTCAATTTTTATAATTCATTGATCTTGAATTTACTTTTAAAATAAATTAGTGAAAATGACTAAAAAATAAATAGAACAAATTTTTAAATGGATGGAATATAATATTTAAAAACAAATAACTAAAAATAAATTAAATAAAAAGTAATAAATAAATAAATAAATTAAAAGAGTTAGTTATATCATTTTATATTCACTTAAAAATAACACAATCTAAAACAAATAAATAAACTGTTTTTTACATTGTCAAATTTGAGAGATTATTGCAATTTGCTAAAGCAGAGCCTAAACCTGATGTACCTTCATCGCTAATTTAATTCTCACTTTTTAAATATTGAAGAAATAAAATATATTTAATTAGTTATTTAGAAGCAAAAAATGAAGAAAAAATATGAAATAATCAGAAATTAATTAGTGAATTACTAATTAAAGCAAAAGTTAAAATGAAAAAATAAATTAAATCAACAAACAAAGAAGAGAAGAAAAAAAACACAAGCAGAATATAAAAAAAATAAATCAATAGAAAAAAAGCAAATAAATAAATCAATAGATTAAAATATTAGTTAAGTTATTTTTTAAATTCATTTTTATATTAAAAAACATCACAAACAATCCAAAACAAATAAACTATTTTTACTTAAGATGAAGTGTCAAATTTGAGATAGTGCTCTTTCCTAAACCAGAAACTAAAGCTGATACACCTTCATCACCAATTTAATTTTTACTTTTTAAATATTGAAGAAAAAATATAAAGTTAATTAGTTCTTTAAAAGGAAAAAATGAAGAAAAAAAATGAATTAATAAGAAACAAGTTAATAAAAGATAAAAAACAAAAGGTAAAAAAAGTAAAATTGACTTAAACTAACAAAGAAAGTAAGAATTAAAGAAAAAAAATACAAGCAGAATTAATAAATCAAATAAAAATCTAAAAAATAAATTAAAAGAGTTAGTTTTGTTGTTTAAATTCATTATTATATTAAAAAATAACACAATCCAAAATAAATAAATAAATAAATAAACTGTTTTTACTCAAGATTAAGTTCCAAATTTTAGATATTAGTGCAATTTTAAAAACTAGAACCTAAGCATGATGCATCTTTATCACCAATTAAATTATTACTTTTTAATATTGAAGAAAAAATGTTTAGTTAATTATTTTGATAAAAGGAAAAAACGAAGAAAAATATGAAATAATAAGAAATTAATTTATTAATTATTAAACAAAAATAAAAAATGAAAAAAAAATTAAATTATCAAAGAAAATAAAACAAAAAAAGCACAAATAAATGAATAAAAGTAAAATAAAAAGCTAATAAATTATTTAACATGTTAAGTTATATTATTTTAAATTCGTTGTTTTTTTTTTAAATATCATAATCCAAAAACAAATAAACTCTTTTTACTCAAGATAAAGTGTCACATTTGAGAGATTAGTCCACTTTCCTAAATCAAAACATAAACCTGATGCACCCTCTGAACCAATTTAATTTTTACTTTATAAATAATGGAGAAAAAAATATTTTAAATAGTTAGATAAAAGGAAAAAAACGAAGAAAAAATATGGAATAGTAGGAAATTAATTAATTAATTTATTTATTACTAAATAAAGCAAAAGCAAAAGAAAAATTGAGTTAAATTAACAAAGAAATAAAAAACAAAACAAAAAACACAAGTAAAAAAATCAAAATTAATTATTATATTAAAATAAACCACAATCCAAAACAAATTAACACTTTTTACCCAAGATAAAGTTTCAAATTTGAGAGATTAGTGATCTTTCCTAACTCAGAGCATAAACCTGATGCACCTTCTGAACCAATTTAATTTTTCCTTTTTAAATATTGAACAATAAAGAGATAGTTAGTTGACTAGTTAGATAATAGGAAAAAAGGAAAAAATATTAAATGAATTCATTAATTAATAATAAAGCAAAAGTTGAAAATAAAAAAATGAGTTAAAATAACAAAGAAAGAAAGAAAATAAAAGATAAAAGAAAAATAAATCAAATCTAAATTAATAAATAAATAAATTAAAATAATTGTTTATTTGTTTTTAAATTCATTTTTAAGTTAAAAAATATCACAATTCAAAGCAAATAAACTGTTTTTACTCAAGTATAAGTTCCAGATTAGAGATAGAACACTTTTCTAAACCAGAACATAATTACGATGCACCAATAGCACCAATTTCATTTTCACTTGATAAATATTGAAGAAAAAAAATATATTTAATTAGTTAGTTAAAAGGAAAAAATAAATAAAAAATTTGAAATAATAAGAAACAAATTAATTAAAAATAAAATAAAAGATGAAAATTTATGTTAAATTTTTTTTATTTAACAGACAAAGCAAGAAAAAAAGTAAACAAATACAAGAAGAATAAATAAATATAATAAAAATCTAATAAATAAATTAAAAGAGTTAGTTAGTTATGTTGTTTTAAATTCATTCTTATATTAAAAAATATCACTATCCAAAACAAATAAACTGTTTTTACTTAAGAGAAAGTGTCAGATTTGAGATATTGCCCTTTCCTAATCTAGATATTAAGCCTGATGCACCTTCGTCACCAATTTGATTTCCACTTTTTAAATATTGGAGAATAACATATTTTTAAATAGTTAGACTAAATAAAGCAAAAGAAAAATAAGTTAAATTAACAAAGAAATAAAAAACAAAAAAAACACAAGTAAAAAAATCAAAATTAATTATTATATTAAAATAAACCACAATCCAAAACAAATTAACATTTTTTACCCAAGATAAAGTTTCAAATTTGAGAGATTAGTGATCTTTCCTAACTCAGAGCATAAACCTGATGCACCTTCTGAACCAATTTAATTATTACTTTTGAAATATTGAACAAAATATAGATATATAGATAGTAAGTTAACTAGTTAGATAATAGGAAAAAATGAAAAAATATGAAATTAATTCATTAATTAATAATAAAGCAAAAATTGAAAATGAAAAAAAATGAGTTAAATTAACAAAGAAATCAAGAAAGAAAAAAATAAAAAATGTAGAAAAATAAATCAAATATAATTAATTAATTAATCAATTAAATGAATTATTTATTCATTTTAAATTCATTTTTAAGTTAAAAAATATCACAATTCAAAGCAAATAAACTGTTTTTACTCAAGTTAAATTGTCAGATTGGAGATAGAACACTTTCCTAAACCAGAGCCTAAGCTTAATGCACCTTATGCACTAATTAAATTAGACCTTATTAAATATTTAAGAAAAAATAGAGTGTTAATTTATTAGATAAAAGGAAAAAAAGAAGTAATAATATGGAACAAATTAATCGCTGATAAAAACAAAAAGTTGAAAATGAAAAAATAAATAAGCTAAATAAATAAATGAACAAAGAAAGAAAAAAACACAAGAAGAATAAAAAAAATATAAAAAACCAAATAAAAATCTAATAAATAAATAAATCAATCAAAAGATTTGGTTAAATTGCTCTTAAAATAACTTAATCCAAAATAAATAAATTGTTTTTACTTAAGACAAAGTTCCAAATTTTAGAAATGAGTGCAGTTTCCTATACCAGAAACTAAACCTAAGATTCCTTCATCACCAATTTCATTATCCCTTTTTAAATATAGAAGAAAAAATAAATAAAGAGTTTATTAGTTTTTTTAAAATTAAAAAATGAAGAAAAAATATTAAAATTAAAAAGTTGAAAATGTAAAAATGAGTTAAATAAACAAAAAATAAAGAAAGAAAAATAGAAAAATAAAAGTAGACTAAAAAGTGAGAAAAAATTCAAATAAAAAATTAATAAATAAATTAAAAGTATTAATTAATTAGTTAAATAGTTTTAAATTAATTTTAAAATAATATTTAAAAATATCACAAACAATCCAAAACAAATAAATAAATAAACTGTTTTTACTGAAGATCAAGTATTAAATTTGAGAGACTAGTGCAGTTTCCTAAACCAGAACCTAAGCTTGATGCACCTTAATCACCAAATTAATTGCCACTTTTAAATATTGAAGAAAAATTATATTGTTTCTTAATTAGTAAGAAAGAAAAAATAAAGAAATAATAAGAAATTAATAACTAATAAAAACAAAAATTGAAAATGAAAAAATAAATTAAATTAAATTAATAAAGAAATAAACAAGAATAAAAATATAATAAAAAATAAGTCTCATAAAAAGCTAACGAATAAATTAAAATAGTTAGTAGTTTTGTATTAAATATACTAAAAAATATCATAATCTAAAGTAAATAAAATATTTTTACCCAAGGTAAAGTATTAAATTTGAGAGATTAGTGCACTTTCCTAAACCAGAACCTAAGCCTATCGCACCTTGAGCACTAATTGGATTGTTACAACTTTTTAAAATTGAAAATAAAATAAAAATTAAATTATTTACTTTAATTCCTTCTAATGATCCGTTGCTTAATTTCCATTCAACCAAAATATTTTTTAAAAATGATAAGCGCCATTAACCAATCAAAAATATATTTGTAAAATAAAAAAATAAATAAATATAATCTTTAGTTTTTCATTTATTAATTAAGATCTCTTTTTTAAAAAATTAAAAAACATATTTATTTTTGATGGTCTTTATATTGAAATTTTAGTCCTTATTTTTAGGAACTATTAGCAAGGAATTAAAGTATTAGAAGCAAAAAATGAAGAAAAATATTAAATAATAAGAAATGAACTAATTAATAATAAAATAAAAAATTGAAAATGAAAAAATTAGCTATATTAAAAAGAAAGAAATAAAGAAAACACAAAAAAAATAAATCAAATAAAA